TCATAATAGATTGTTAGTAATGTGTCTTATTGCAATGATGTTATGCATTCAATCTACATACATGTATAATTATTTTAAGTTATTTATACTTTTGGAAATATAAAAAAGTTACTATTGTTTTTAGAATTGGATCAACATCTAATAATGTGCCTGCAGCTCCTACTGACCCAAAAAATCAAGTTCAAATTAATCCATATAATGGACTTCCTTATACACCACGCTACCATGAATTTTATAAAAAGAGGATAACACTACCTGTGTTCGAATATCGTGTTGATTTCATGAGGCTTTTAGCAAATCATCAATGCATAGTGCTTGTAGGAGAAACAGGATCAGGAAAAACTACACAGATACCACAATGGTGTGTGGAGTATTCAAGATGTATAGGAATCAAGGGTGTAGCATGTACTTCACCAAGAAGAGTAGCAGCAATGTCTGTTGCACAGAGAGTCTCAGAAGAAATGGATGTTTGTTTAGGTAAAGTTTAATTAAATATTCTTTAATTTATACTTTATATGAATTTTCATATCCAAATATTTAATAGTATTTATTTTAAACAGGTCAAGAAGTTGGATATAGTATTCGTTTTGAAGACTGTAGTTCTCCAAAAACTATGTTGAAGTATATGACAGATGGTATGCTTCTACGTGAAGGCATGTCTGATCCTATGCTTGAAGCATATCAAGTAATTTTACTTGATGAAGCTCATGAAAGAACTTTAGCTACTGATTTACTTATGGGTGTTTTAAAAGAAGTGATAAAGCAAAGACCAGATTTAAAGCTTGTAATTATGAGTGCAACTTTAGATGCTGGAAAATTTCAACAGTATTTTGATAATGCGCCACTCATGAATGTACCTGGTAGAACACATCCAGTTGAAATTTTTTATACGCCAGAACCAGAAAGAGATTATTTAGAAGCTGCTATTAGAACAGTTATTCAAATACATGTGTGTGAAGAAGTGAGTGGAGATCTACTTTTGTTTTTAACTGGACAAGAAGAGATTGAAGAAGCTTGTAAAAGAATCAAAAGAGAAATGGATAATTTAGGTCCCGAAGTTGGTGAACTTAAGTGTATTCCACTATATTCAACATTACCTCCAAATCTTCAACAAAGAATTTTTGAACCTGCTCCTCCAAACAAACCCAATGGTGCTATTGGTCGAAAAGTTGTAGTATCAACTAACATAGCAGAAACATCATTAACAATAGATGGTGTAGTCTTTGTGATTGATCCTGGGTTTGCCAAACAGAAGGTAAATTTTATTACCAATAATTTTCGTTTATTATTTACCGAGATACATTGATTGATTAGTGGACATGTTTTGATAGGTCTATAACCCCAGGATTCGTGTAGAGTCACTTCTTGTATCACCAATTAGTAAAGCTTCTGCACAACAACGTGCTGGTCGTGCAGGTCGTACTCGTCCAGGCAAATGTTTTAGGCTGTACACAGAAAAGGCATATAAAAATGAAATGCAAGATAATACTTATCCAGAGATTCTGCGATCAAATCTTGGTAGTGTTGTATTGCAATTAAAGAAGTTGGGAATTGATGATCTGGTATTTTTTATTATAATATAAAAATATTTAAATGAAAGTATAATAAAATAATAAATATTTAATATGTTCTTATATTTATTATCATAGGTACATTTTGATTTTATGGACCCACCTGCACCTGAAACTTTAATGAGAGCACTGGAACTTCTCAATTATTTAGCAGCTCTTGATGATGATGGAAATTTAACAGATCTTGGAGCTGTAATGGCAGAATTTCCTTTGGACCCACAATTAGCCAAAATGTTAATTGCTTCTTGTAATCACAATTGTAGTAATGAGATACTTAGCATTACTGCTATGCTTTCAGGTAAAGTTTTATAACAATTAGAAATATATTAATGTTATTAGTTAGCAATTAAAAAGAGAATTTAATATGTATAAAATTTACTATTTATATGATTTTTTTTACTACGAGTAAGCGTTAAGAAATTATTTTAGATGTAATTAAACGAATTTATAATAGTAAGAAAAGAATTAGAGTCAAAGTCGTGGTAAGTTAGCATGGTAGTGTATTGATGAATGACGTTGTATTAGTCCCACAGTGTTTTGTGAGGCCAAATGAATCAAAGAAGGCAGCAGATGATGCAAAAATGAGATTTGCTCACATCGATGGTGATCATTTAACATTACTCAATGTTTACCATGCTTTCAAACAAAGTAAGTAAATTTTTATTTTATTTTGTTTCTGTTGCATTTTTGCAAGATATTTTTAACTAAATATTGTTCCTAAAAATTATATTAGATTTGGAAGATCCACAATGGTGTTACGACAATTTTGTTAATTATCGATCTTTAAAAAGTGGAGATAATGTCAGACAACAATTAAGTAGAATAATGGATAGGTTTGCTTTGAAACGCACTTCTACTGACTTCACGTCAAAAGATTATTATATAAATATAAGGAAAGCTCTTGTGAATGGTTTTTTCATGCAGGTATTAATGCACTACATTACATTACTATAGATACTAATCACAGTTATAATAGTCTGTATCCATTCTTTGAAACTAGGTGGCTCATTTAGAAAGAACAGGCCATTACTTAACAATTAAGGATAATCAAATTGTACAATTACACCCAAGCACTTGTTTGGATCACAAGCCAGAATGGGTGATTTATAATGAGTTTGTACTCACAACCAAAAATTATATTAGAACAGTTACTGATATTAAACGTAAGAATGCTCCTATATGAAATATACAAAATACAATTTATTTTGCGATAAATATTTACAATAAATAAAATTTATATTTTTAGCTGACTGGTTACTAAAGATAGCACCACAATATTATGATCTACAAAACTTTCCTCAATGTGAAGCAAAGAGACAATTAGAAGTTATTCAAGCCAAACTGGATTCAAAACAATATCAGGAAGGATTCTAACCTCTATACATGTTAGATATATTTAAATATCACATAACGTGGCTGAAAATTTTCGATCAAATTTATGATAGAGAAGGACATGTAATTGATTGGAATATCAAAATCTAAATATGTCACATTACTGATTAGAAAATGTGACTTAAAAGTAAAGTTCCTTTCTCTTCAATTTCATCTTATAAAATGAGATGCAAAAATAGAAATCAAGAACATTGCGACTTCATAAAAAAACGGAAGCTTGGATGCTATAACAAATAAAATATCCGCAGCTTAAAATAGGAAAGAAATGGAAAGTAACAATCTATTGACGTGGATCGCAATTAAGACACAATTGAATGATAAATGATTATTTATGTACATTTAATAAAATCTAGTGGTTAAGTGATTTTACCAGTAGAATTTGTTGGAAGACATTTACACATTTCGAATGTCATGCTAGGACAAATAGATTAATTTTTGTATTAAATGTTAAAGGAATACACCAAACACAGAATAAGTGAACGGTTACTTACGTAATTAAAAAACCATTTTTGTAGCCTGTAGCCAGAGAATTTCTATCTTGTCTTCGTCTCACTTTTTACCTACGATATGTGTAGGCTTTGGATATTAATTCATCGTAACGTATCAATCCCTTTCCCTTTTCTCATACAATGTATTTATTTAATTTTTCTATGTTGAAATGTACGGTTGCTGTATTATGCACAAGTACTGTCTATCTCGTGCACGGCTACGCTGCTATGGTTTAGTTATGAAATATGTTACAGGGTGACAGACAACGTTACTCGAAAAGCAGTGAGACATTTAGAGGAACTACAATAAATGTGATAGTTATATTACACAAAGGGGGACCCAACTTATAATTACAAATTATCAACAAAAAAGAATGAGAGGAGATAACTTTATAACTTAATATAAAAGTTAGCTCTGATTAAAAAAAAATCAAATTGTTCTAATTTATGAGTATTAGTATAATGAAAATTACAAGTTGCTGTTATTTTGTAAAGAAATAATTTTCAATATAAAGATTCATGAATTATATAATTTAAATTTTTTCATACATGACATACATCTTAATAATTATAATTAATAAAAATATTATATTTATTATCAATACTTTTGATTAATCTTAGTAGAAAAAGTATAAATAGAAAAATGTATGATGTATGCTATGGAAATTTAGGATCCAAATTTTCTAATTATAATAAGTTATGATTGTAGTTATAATCAGTTAATTAATTGAAGGTAAAAATTCTTTTCATCTCGTAGATTATAAGTAATTGACAAATGCCTTTATAATACAATTTCGATATTAGAAATTAAAATGTTAGATTTTATTGATTCAATTAGATTGGTTAACGAAGTAAAAGAATTTCACATGTCCTTACTTTTTTAATTCAGCATAGCTGAATCATAAAAAATACGAGATTATATTTATCTAGTATGCATTACACAGTACAAAGAATATACGGTACGATGTAATACATATATATATATATATATATATATATATATATAATGTTTATACATATGTATATATATGTATATATATATAATATGTGTATATATATGTATATATATAACATGTATATATATACATATATATATATGTATATATATGTATAGTGTTTAAATTTATTTTGTGAACATAGATTTTGATTACAAAATTAAGGTCTCACTGTTAGTAATAATTGTCTTGCTACACTGGAATATAATTATTTCATTTTTTAAATAAACAATAATAATATTGCAAAATTAATAAGGTATTGCAGTAACCGCCTTTATTCTCACAAATGCTGTTTTATTATATTGTACCACTTCATTCCAATAAAATAACACGATTATATATTTGGCTTTTGTTTAATTAAATTCTCGTGAAAATCATTACTTTAGATTTTTATTATAAGAAGAATATTATAGTAAAAATTATCAAATTGGATATATCAAATTGTAAACAGATATTGAAATTAATTTATTAAATTTATTGACTAATTTTTTTAAGCGTATAGTAATAAGAATATATATTATTTCGGAATTGTGATTTAAAAAAATGAGAACCACTGTTAAAGCACAAGACTCGTAGTATTTCATCATTCAGTATACACTTTCGTTAAAATCTTCTGAAAATCATGGCATCGATCACGATACCGGTAGCAATGAAATTTGCCCGTTTTACAACAGATATCGTATATCAAATGAATAAAAATTCATTGCTCAGGTAAATATTTAGAACAGTGCATCATAAATATGACCAATCAAGTTCGATTCCTTTTATTGTTAGTTCTTTTCAATGATATTTGTGATGTATGTAAGGTTAACTATTAGATAATCTATTCTTATTAGTTGATTATTGCTTACTATTTTATTTTAATAGTTTAATTTTACTGATTTTTGTAATAAAAAATTAAACAATACAATTAATACCGTGTACGAAATGTATAAATTAGTTTGATTATTTGTTTGATCACTATATGGTGTGTGAGTATGCATGAAGTATTAATACCTGTGAAAAAATTGTAGTTAGTGAAAAAATTGTAGTCAGTGGAAAAGTTTAGCAGCTCTTTTTGCATATTTACATTATTTTGCTATTTTGTTTACATTAATATATTTACATTAATTTGCTATTTTATTTTATGAAAAAAATTATTTTAATTCTAGGTTGTCTCGAACATCTCGCATTTTTCCTTGGCAAAAGCAAGGATACAGTACAGTAACTGAAGAAAAAAAGAATGAGGGAGGTGCACAAACACCATTGCAAGAACCAACAGCGACTGAAAAAAAGTTAAAAGGAGAAATGGAACTTCTCATCAAAGAAATAGTGGAGCTTAAAGAAGTAAAAAATACTTTAGAAGATAAATATAAGAGAGCATTAGCTGATGGGGAGAATCTTAGAGTTCGATTGACCAAGCAAATTGAGGATGCCAAGCTTTTTGGTATTCAAGGTTTCTGTAAAGATCTTCTAGATGTAGCAGATGTGTTAGGAAAAGCTACTGAAAGTGTGCCTAAGAGTGAATTAACAGATAAGAATCCGCATTTAAAAACGCTTTATGAAGGTCTAATAATGACTGAAGCACAACTACATAAGGTAATGTATAATTAGTAAATACAATCTATTATAATATAGATTACATAATGCAAATAGTTACAGTAATATATTGATAACAGGTTTTTAAGAAGCATGGTTTAGTATCCTTAAATCCTATCAATGAAAAATTTGATCCAAACCAACATGAAGCATTATTTCAACAAGTAAGCAATTTTAAGTAAATATTATATATATAACATATAATATAGTATATAATAGATATTCTATCAATGTTTAAATAAATAATGTATAAATGACCTGTTATATCTTTTTAGGAAGTAGAAGGAAAGGAACCAGGAACAGTTGTAGTTGTATCGAAGATTGGATATAAACTACATGAACGGATAGTTAGACCAGCATTGGTTGGTGTAGCAAAAGGATAACTTTTATATACTTAAAATAAATTCTATAATATGATAGATTATATAAACATGATAATTTTTTAAGTGATATAAAATGGAATGACATAATATTACAGTAATTTAAGATAGAAGACATTTAATAGATTTACACAACAAATGAGGTCATTAAAAATATGTCGAGTTTATGACAACTGATAAACAATATTTTTTATTTATTAATAGAGTGTTATACAATGTATGTTTCATTATGAAATAATTCTAATTTTGTTTACATTACAGCATTGCAAAATAATACTTAACATTTTCACAAATCTGTTGATATTTTTTTAAATGTAAATGAATTTTTACTTATTAATCAGTATAAACAAATATATTTAAATATTTTATATGATCAGTAGAAGATTATTAGCGGTGAAAAGTGTAACATTTCTATTTAATATATATTTTATCGGTTCTATTTTAATTATAAAAAATAAATATCAATGAATAAGTACCAATAATTATAAAAATACTATAAATTCTACGTAAGTAATAGAAATACGATTTCCATATGTGATAATATATATGTAACTGCTAATATCACAGGTAAAAATATGGTATGAAAAAATTTATTACTTAACATCTTTCAAATACTTTGTATAAATTAGGTAAACTGGCTATTTGCAATATAGTTGAGTCATGAGCAAAATGTTTTGGAGGTAATAAACTTTCCTTAATTGCTGGATATAAAATATGTTCTGTAACATATTTCCAGTCATGTGTATTATGAACAGGATTCATTTCACTGAAGTATTTTGCTGTTTCTCTGCAAATATTTTGAAAACATGGCTGTTCGGTAGTCCAATCAACCTCTGTTGATAAGCGCAAAATATATATTGGTAAGCCTCCCTCAAATGGAAAGTACTTATCTGAAAATAAATATATTATTTTCATATAATATCGTAAAACAATAATTAACAATATATCATTATTACCTAATAATATTGGTAATGATTTTAAATTTCCTTTTTTATCTATGACTATAGAAAAATATTCTTTCATCATATCTGCTTTTTCTAATAATAATTCTTTCACGTTCGTAGCTAGTTCTTCTTTCGAACCATCTTCTTCCGTCCATCCTGCTTCTTCAGTTTCTAATCCTAAGATGGCTAAATCATATAAAGATATTGGATCCTAAAAATAAATAAAAAATAGTAAAAAGTAATAAAGAATCATAAATATTCTAATATTAAGATATTGTTTTTAATAGAGAACTTATTTTACATGCAACTTACTGAGAACTTTATGATACCATAATTAGCAAAATCATACAGCATAATTTCATAGAATAGTTCCTCTCTAAGTATATAGAACAAAAATTGATTTTTTAGTTTTAATTATATATACAGGAAAGATATCAGATATGTATCAGAAAATTAGACTTACGCTAATTTTTTGGTATTGCATATATATAAATTTACACCACTTTGTATTAATGTAGATACTTCATCAATACATCCAACAAATATTAAATTTGATAAAATTTCTCTTAATCCTTGGTGACAGTTATCTTCTACTTGTTTTCTCAATTTTAACACACTAGTTAATTTTACTTCTCTTCTAAAATTGTTTACAGAATAAGATTTGAATTCCTGTATTGATTTATTTTCTTTAGTAACATTTGGTTGAGATATGCAATCAATATTATCTATAGTACATTGTTCCATTTTATTATCATTATTTTGTTCTTGTATATTAATAATTGGTTTTATTTGTGGCAGTTCTCTTTCCAAATCTTCAATATTCTTATTACCGAAATATTGATATACTCTTTTACGTGCATTTTTTGCAATTGAATCATTACATTTATTTATTTCGTATTGTTTTTCATTACATGAATCATCTGAATCAGCTTCTGACATTAGTAAAACTTCTCGGTAAGTATTCAGATTAATATTATTAGTAGTAATAACACTATTATTTGATGTAGATGCAATTGCTTCTGATAAAATGGGTTGTGTTGATTGGTTTGTAATGGTATTTAAATGTCCAGATTCATTATTTTGTAAATACTTTTCATGTAATTCACTATTTTGTTTGAGAAATGCATTTTTGTTTGTTATATCTATCTTTTGTACATTTACAGAAATATTATCTGTAACAACATTATTTTTAGTATCATTTGGCATTTTTAATTCAAACACTTTTTCAGTTTGAAGATTTGATTCTGTCGTTTGTTCAGAACTATTATTTCTACCTATTTTCATAGCAGTATTTATAGTAAAATTAAACTTATCAAGCTTTTGATCAGAAGAATCAGTTCTGATTAAATCTCTTTGATGTATTTTCTTTTGTTTTCCTGAATTCTCCTTCTCAAATTCAGGTAGTACTTCTTTCAAAGTTTCCTCAGTGACGTCTACTTTTGGTAAGCGTGCTTGCAAGTAAAAGGTTCTTGAAGCACTATCACCAGCTAACTTTTCATCCAAAGCCAATTTTATTTTTTCAATTATAGAGTCTTCATAAAGAAATCTAACTTCATGTTTTGTTGGATGTACATTAACATCAACATTATTTGAATTAATCTCCAAGCATATGTAACAAAATGGATGAGTCTTTTTTGGAAGATATACTGTATATGTCTCCTCTAACATTTTTTTAATTGCTGCAATGAATAACATCTATATTAATAGGATAAAAATTTTATATAAACTTCTTAAATTATGTTTATAATATACTTACGAGTAGATTCTACAAGACGGTTATTAATAAATAATAAAAATATCATCCGTTTACTTGTGTAATTCGGATTTGTTATTAGAGCATGCATTTTAAATTGATAACTTTCATCTTGAAGCTCAATCTCTAATAACTCTCTTGCCACTGGATTTCCATATAAAATTCTTATATTATTCATTTTAGTAGAATTATGTGTTGTTCGAACCTTATAATAGTACAATAAATTTAGATATATAATGAAATATAAATGCTATTTTAAATATTTTTAAATTAAAATAATTTTGAATGATTATTTTACTTGTGGTGTTGTCTCTCCATGTTTTTTTAATATAAATCCAACTTTGGGATTATGTATAGCATATTTTATTACCACATCTGTAATTTTAGTAAATTCTTCGGATACATTGGACAATGCTTTTCGTCTAGTTGCAACATTGTAAAACAAGTTTTCAATAGTTATTGTTGTACCTTGATTACCAGCACATGGTTTTGGTGGTTCTTTCAATTTACTGTCGATATATGCTGCTCTAAAATATTAATTCAAGTATATTCCAAGTATAATAATAACTATTCTTTCATTTCTCTTCATTTATCATTATAAGTAAAATATAATACCTGTATGCACATTTTTCATCAGATGTTTTAGTTGTTATAGTTAGAAGAGCAATATGACTAATACTTGCTAAAGCTTCTCCACGAAATCCAAATGTTGATATTGCTTTGAGATCTTCAAAATTTTGTAATTTACTAGTAGTAAATCTTTCACATACAATTTCCATGTCATCTTTCTTAATACCTGTACCATTATCTTGAATCTGTAATGCATATACTTGTTAATATCATTTTAGTATGCTCGATAAATTAGTATAAATACCTGTAATAATTTCAATCCTCCTTCTTTCACTATTATCTGTATATTTGTGGCTTTAGCATCTAAGCTACGATATAAAAATACATATAATGATAATAGAAATGCAAGGAATTTACAATATTAAAGTGATATTACCTGTTTTCTATTAATTCCTTTAATGCATTTGCTGGTCTCTGAATTATTTCACCAGCTGCGATTCTATTTACTACAACTTCATCTAATTTCTTAATTTTGGCAGGTAAATTCATTTTTATAAAAATAAATAAAACTATCCAAATAAACTTTTACAACAAAAATTTTCGAAGGTTATATACGGCGAGTTGACTTGAAATGTTCTTCGTTCCCGCCAGATTCATACGAACTATACCAAGCTTCATGGAGCAGCACTAATGTGCCTTTTATTTATCAAATGCCAATCGGAATATGTAATAAAAGTTTTTTTGCTCATTAGTTACTTTCAACATTGTTATATTGTATGTATAAATGTGTGTGCCGTGTGTGTATATAAAATGCAAAATATTTATATTTGAAATATTATATTCGAAGTTTATTTTAAATTTAAGAAATTTCACGAAATTGGCTAAATTTATTTTTATTTCATAGTTATATATTCAAATACTATGGTCATAGATTGAAAAAACATATCGTGATTGATTTTTATATAGATAATTTATGTTCGCACCATATAATGTATCGATTGAAAAAATTTTTAACAGCCAATACATCTTTGATGATTATCTATGGTATTTTAAGAAATGTAGTTATTTGATACATAACTTTGATAATTTACGCCTACAAAATTTCATATAGAAATTTCATATTTTACATATAGGTTATCTTTATTTTTATCGTGAATAATTATATATATATATATAATTGTGTGTTAAATTTGCATTTCTTAATATAGTTTCAGATTATACATAGAAATTTCGTTGTATATCGTACTAGAAACGTCATGAACGTTCATGCATGTAACAACACAACACATATTTATTTCTATTCAAGAATGCCTTACAATGTATAAATAACTAAAAAAATTCAAAGGAAATAAAAAGAATATTATAATTGTTATATAAATTCTTTAATTTTAATATTAAATAAGTAATACGATGTCCGATCATTACGGAAAAGTTGATATTTAGATCAGAAGAAATATTTGGCGCAGTATAAAGAGAAATGTTTTTTGCGGTGTTAATTATAGCTACGAACGATGTACGATATAACGCGTCCCAGTACTTTCATCCCTTTTCTTGCTTCAAGTACAAACGCAATTATAAGCTATATATATACATATATACCTTTATATGCATGCCAAAACCTGACCACCAATGGCGAGCCAAGATCATCGAAATGGACATTAGGATTGGTTGGTCGAAGAAACTTCTCGAAGCGGGCGATTCAGTCTATTAAAACTTCCCCGTGCAGAAAAGTTACAGAAGTCTTGCAGCTACGAGTGACAAACGTTGTCTAAATATTCGCGACAATTTACAGATTATCATTTTTATTATCAAAAAAGAAGTACAAAGAGTAAGTACATTTTATTCGTTTCCGTTTTCTATCCCTTTCCTTCTTGCTTTATTTTAAATTTCAAAAAAGTTGGGTATTTGGACAATTTGTGTTGGATCAACTTTTTATCATAAATGTTTTATCATTCAAATTTGATCGAAATTGTCTACTTTCTTTTTTGTCTTCTTTGTTTTGTGAGATTTAAGTAAGGAAAGGATGAAGATGAAATAGAATATGTTCTTCCTTTTATATTCAATACTTATAATGAGCTTTGAATGAGATGGTCATTACGGAGATCGATAAATCCTATTTGGTCGACTGTGTTTAAAATTTCATTCTAGGTGATATCGTACAACGTATATTTGGACATAAAAAGAGATATAAGATAAAATTTGATTCGATCGTAAGCCTTATTAAAAAAAAAAAAGAAAAAAAACAAAAGAAAAATGAAACATTACATAATCATATCTAAATTGAAAGTGTTATTTTCAGTTCTCGTAAAGTAGAACGAGATTCGAGAAACTTCGACTCAAGTTGATGCTCGAAGCGTATCTACGTAAATCAGTATAAGAGTTAGTTGACGAAAAACAGGTTATTCTTAACTGTCCGCGGGAATATATGAAAACGATATGATATAATATATTTTTATTTGTCTTTCGACAGAGACAAAGTGTGAATCATGTCAAAGGCTCCGGCGGTTGGAATCGATTTGGGTACTACGTATTCCTGCGTAGGTGTCTTTCAACATGGAAAAGTTGAAATTATTGCCAATGATCAAGGAAATCGGACTACGCCAAGTTATGTAGCCTTCACCGATACTGAACGATTGATCGGAGATGCGGCAAAAAATCAAGTTGCTATGAATCCAAGTAACACAATTTTTGGTACGTATTTGTGTTGTCATTAAATAAGTTGAAATGAATTAACAGTTACATCTTGGTTTTGTTATAAATTTCTCGATTATGATGAGCAAAGATAAGTTTTCTCACGTTTCGAAAAATCGATATGATTTTCATTTTTTAATTAATGATTGCATAGATATTACAAAGTAAATGAAAATTTAATCAACTTAATTATCGATGATAATAATTGTACCAAACGTATTAAATACGTTTTGATTTTCTTTATTTGTCTCATGCTCACGTTAACGACCTCGTGTAATAGTATAAATGCAACACACTATGTTGTGTTGTGAGCACGTGATGACCCAAGATTAGCGTAGTATTCATTCGTTTTGCGACATATAGTATCATTATTATAACTCATAGAGAAACTCAGCATGCATTTTTAATGTTTCTAGAGAAAAAATATAACGTTAAAGACAACATTTTACCTTGTTCGCAGCATAATTTTTTTGGAATAATATTTTATCATTTTTAATTATTAATCTTTTTTAAGATGCGAAACGATTGATTGGTCGCCGTTTCGATGATTCAACGGTACAGAGTGACATGAAACATTGGCCTTTCATTGTGGTGAATGATGGAGGTAAACCGAAAATTCAGGTTACATACAAGGGCGAAGTGAAAACTTTCTTCCCAGAAGAAGTGTCTTCGATGGTTCTGACGAAGATGAAAGAAACGGCAGAGGCTTATCTCGGAAAGACTGTTACCAACGCCGTTATCACTGTGCCGGCTTATTTTAATGATTCTCAGCGACAGGCAACAAAGGATGCCGGTGCAATAGCTGGTCTGAATGTTTTGCGTATTATTAACGAGCCAACCGCTGCCGCCATAGCCTATGGTCTTGACAAAAAGACGTCAGGCGAGAAGAATGTGCTGATTTTCGATCTTGGTGGTGGTACTTTCGATGTTTCCATTTTGACGATCGAAGACGGTATCTTTGAAGTGAAATCGACGGCTGGCGATACTCACCTTGGTGGCGAGGACTTTGACAATCGTATGGTCAATCATTTTGTCCAGGAATTTAAGCGAAAGTACAAGAAAGACTTGAGTAGCAATAAGAGAGCTGTTAGACGCTTGAGAACGGCTTGTGAGAGAGCAAAGAGGACCCTTAGCTCATCGACGCAAGCTAGCATTGAAATCGACTCATTATTTGAGGGTATCGATTTTTATACTTCTATCACTCGAGCTAGATTTGAGGAACTATGTGCCGATCTCTTTAGAAGCACTCTAGAACCGGTAGAGAAGGCTTTAAGGGACGCGAAAATGGACAAGTCACAGGTGCATAGCATCGTCTTAGTCGGTGGATCTACCAGAATACCGAAGATTCAGAAACTCTTGCAAGATTTCTTTAATGGCAAGGAATTGAACAAATCTATTAATCCTGATGAGGCTGTGGCTTATGGGGCCGCTGTACAGGCCGCTATTTTGCACGGTGATAAGTCCGAGGAGGTTCAAGATCTGCTGCTACTCGATGTTACGCCGTTGTCCCTTGGTATCGAAACCGCTGGCGGTGTTATGACGACTTTGATTAAGAGAAACACTACGATTCCTACGAAACAAACTCAAACGTTCACCACTTATTCGGACAATCAGCCAGGTGTACTTATCCAAGTTTATGAAGGAGAGAGAGCTATGACCAAAGACAACAATATCTTAGGAAAGTTTGAACTTACGGGAATTCCGCCAGCACCGAGAGGTGTGCCACAGATTGAAGTTACTTTCGACATTGATGCCAATGGTACGTTTGAGAAGGTTTGCTTGAACAATTTAAATCAAATAGTCAATCAATAATAATCTTATACATGTTATACGTTCTTTATCATGTATGCTATTTAATATATGTTTTTTATTTAATTTTTCAGGCATCTTGAATGTTTCTGCGATTGAAAAGTCGACTGGAAAAGAGAATAAAATCACGATTACCAACGATAAGGGCCGCTTGTCAAAGGAAGATATCGAAAGGATGGTAAATGAAGCTGAGAGATATCGGAATGAAGACGAACAACAACGAGATAGAATCAGTGCTAAGAATGCTCTCGAATCTTATTGCTTCAACATGAAGAGTACGATGGAGGATGAGAAGGTGAAGGATAAGATAGATGCTTCAGACAAGCAGAAGATTCTTAACAAGTGTAACGAGGTCATCTCTTGGATGGATAGTAATCAGCTAGCAGAGAAGGAGGAATTCCTGGATAAGCAAAAGGAGTTGGAGTCAGTTTGCAATCCCATAGTTACTAAATTGTATCAAGATGCTGGCGGTGCTGCTGGTGGGTTTCCTAGCAGACCTGCTACTGGTGCCGGCGGTGGCGCTGGTGGTGGACCCACCATTGAAGAAGTTGATTAAAAATCATTTCATTATATCGAGCATTTTTTTTTATTATGTCTTTTATAATTTATTTATTTCTCCTTAACTCTTTGAGATGAACTAAATTTGATACTTGGTGGTGCATACATTATTCGTGTGAATCTATACTATCAGCTCCTTTTGTCTTTATATGTATTTTTTTTGCTGAATATGACCGTCACTGTACATGTTTTTATTCAGATAATGCTTGAGAATATTTTTTTAATCTTCAATAAATGTTGTTTTTAAGAATTAGATGATTTATCCGACTCGTCCTTATTTTTATTAGGATTACTATTGTTTGAATATTATTTATCGTTCTATTGATTCTCATTAATGATATTTATTTGATTTGGACGTTTTCAGGTTGATAGAATTGAACGAGGATTATCAAGTAAGTCGTAATAACACCTATGAACTAAAAAATATGAATTAAATTACTACTTGATCAAAGAATATAATGATATATTAGGATAATTTGTTTATATTGATCGACGAATCCGGTGGACTTACACCAGTCAAGAGAGCGTTGTTTATTTCAAAGAAGTCGCAGGCGGTAAAAGAGATTGGTTGTTGCTGAAGTTGATTCGAGAAATCGTTTATTTCATTTCTGACACAGTCACGTTCGATATTTGACCGTAACAGATTTTCCATGCTGAAGTAGTTTAAACCGAATCTACCGATGTCGAGAGAAATTCGTCGACGATCTTCGTGTTGCTGTTGTTGATGCATTTGTAACGAATAATCGTGTTCGTTGCAAATCGCCAGAATGGACGACGGTTTATCGCGATCCTTTTTCTCATGATTTGGAATGATAGAGTGTATTAATACACCTGTCTTCTTGAATTCTCGATTGGTTAGCGTACATACCCAGCACATTAGCGCGAATTGTCCTGCATAGATTATCCAAATGATGTTATTTATCAGCATGAAAGTGTAATTATGCTCAACAACACTCATGTAAATTCGAAAGAGCGTTGCAACGACCATCGTGAACGAATTGGCCGAGCAAAGAAGAAGCTGTACACCATGTATGTCATTTATGAGAGTCACCAACTCGCAAACACCTACGGAATTAAGTTTCGAGATTAAAATATTGACTATAAAATGTCTAATTTTTCTATAATCTCATTTACCATTGTGTAATTCTCTTATACGACGAATCTTGAATGCGATTAAGGAAGCAACCAACTTGTTGTCTAGTAGCTCAATCATTCTATTGATCTTTCTAAATCTATTACAGATCACGTAGACGATGGTATCGAAAACGAAACTGTTGATTGCAGACTGAGCGATGGTATAGTACAGAAGGAGGTCGGAAGCGAATATCTCTTCTGGTAAAGTGAAATAGTAATAGAGAGCATGTATTAATAGAGACACTGGTCCCAAAAAAAATGTCAATATGACGGCCAAGATCTGAACCGTCTTAATTGATCGTTCATTCATCGATACCTCTCGTATGATCTTTTTATTTAATTTTTCTATTTTATTCATTAGCAGTGGCCACTTCCCGTAATGGCTGATGCCATGGAAAACGTAATAATAGGATGAGACATAGCACATGACCTTGTTCATATAGTACATGATCTTGTAAATATCGCTCTTGAAAATAGTACCAAAAGTGAAAAAATCAATGGCTCCGTACGCGACGATTACCGTGCAGATTCCAAAATGAAGAACGCGAACGATTATTGTAACAAACTTTGGTAATCTTTTCGGACGGGCTATACCAACTCCCAGAAACCAAGAGACATAAATTATCACGCGTAAAGTTTCTTCGGTCATCGATGTCGTTCTTTGTTCAACTTGCACATTCATTTCGTCTTCCATTTTGTCGAATGTTTAAAAAAATAAGAGTAAGATCACTTGAATGTCGCGTTTATTTTTCAAGAATACTGGATGGTTTGATACTAAAGCTGGTAGGAACGTTTACAATTTTGAGAGAACGTAAAAATCATGCGTTATGACTTCGTGTAAAATTTACAAGATGGTGATAAATTTAGTCGAAAGGACTTCATCACGCCCTTTTAGGGAAATTAAATTTGGTTTCTGTGTAGTACTACGCACGAAAGACACGCATTGTTCGTTCGTTACACGCATGTATATGTATGCATATTGGAAAAAACGAGCTTTATTTGCCCAACGACTATATTACAATTTTTATTATACAGTAAACATTTAAAATGAGATAAAACGATAACGTGTTGGTTGTACATCGACCTTTACAAATCATGCGGCAAATCGAGTTAAAGTACTTTTGGAGATATGCAGACTGAGATATATTCTTATTTCTCTTTTTGTCATTTAAATATCTTTTTTCTTCCATTAATGAATAATTAGCAGCTCTCGATCGACGACGATCTATCGGGTAATATTACATTTTGCTTTTTTCTTTTTGGTTTTTTTCTCATTTTCCTTTTTTTAATCTTTGTTTTTATAAGTGCGATCGTTGCCAAAGACGCATATATATAATTTTGTGTGCCTGTTGCTTCTGTTTCCTTTTTTTGTTTTTTCCTTTTTTTTGGTATTTTTCTTTTTTTAGATGGATTATATGTGAAGATTCGACTTTGCGATTGAAGTGTATGAATTGCGGTCTAAGGATTTTGCGAGGGATTCCTCTCCAATGGTATGTATATATATCGCTCTTCTTAGTTTTTTTCGTTTATTTTTTTTTGTTTACTCTTATAGGGAAAGGCAGCGTGAAATTATTCGAACACGGAACGCGTCGATATACATTTTGCGACGACCCCGAACTGGTTTCTTTTTCGCAAAATAATTTCCTCGGTTCTACGCGTCGTTCTTTTCTTTTATATTAAATGATTCGAAGAACAAGTAGACTCGCTTTTTACATGCCGACACTGCTTAGACTGATTTATTTGAAACGACGGCAGTTGTGAAGAGACGAAGGACGATCGCGATAAAAAAATGATCGGAGAACATATTTTGTTTTAATAAATAATTAGCAATATGTTTGATAAAAAAAGAAAAAAGTAGAAGAGAGAACGAGAGAGAGAGGGAGAGAGAGAGAGAGAGAGAGAGAGAAAGAGAGATAGAGAGATAGAGAGAGAGAGAGAAGGAGAGAAATAGAAAGATAATGTGAGATAGAGAGAGAGAGAGAGAGAGAGAGAGAGAGAAGGAGAGAAATAGAAAGATAATGTGAGATAGAGAGAAATGACAAATTGGTAGAACGATCGTACAGGATTGCGAGTAAATGCGTGACTCTTGATAATTAAGAAATTGGTGTACCGTTAGTTGACATAAACTAATGTAAAAAGAGACCTTCATTTTTATCCTTTTTTATCAAAACAATCTTCTCGATGCGTTTACGTCTCTCGATAAATACTAAACATATAAAATAAAAGTATAAAAATAAAAGGAACTAAATGTTATCAAATATTTTCTAATAACTATCCTCATACTTCAAATCGTTTCGATATAAAGTAATGAGATCGGGAGATTTACTAATAGATCAACTTCTCCTTTTTCATTATACAGAATGAACCATATTGCATTAATTATTCTAATGTGGTGATGAATCAGTTTTCAAACAATTAAATATCTAACGATAAGTGATTTTAGAAGACAAGTTTAGTCTCGATTTTTCGAGAAAGAGAGGAAAAATGCCTTGTCAATCGTCTTTCCATTGACGCAAAAGTTTAGAAGACTACGCAAAATGATATTCAATTTGCATATATTCTCCATCATTACCATTTGTCCGTCAAATACCATTTTTCGTTTGATATGTCGTTTAATTATCGACGAAGAGCTGAAACGTTAACTGATACGACTTACATGGCCCATGTAACCACGATTTACCCATACGGAACAAGTCGATATATTATATATATGTATATGGATATACTGCATATAAATATTGTAAATATGTTACCGATACAATATAAATAAATATATATTATGTAGTATATGAAAGGCATATATATATCTATATTATATCTTTTGTTTCGTTTGGGTTATCTAAGAACACATGAGATCGCTCAATAATCAATCGCGCAAGGATTCCATAAAAATCTTTTTTCTCACAACGAAAACGTACGTCGTCCACAGATTTTATGCATATATAATCTGTTGTTGTTTTCTTCGAAATACTGTTTCTTAGATAATGGTAATTATCATATATCATTAATATTGTAATAATAAGATAGAAAAAAAATAGATTGGTGCCGATGCAAAAACGACAGATATTACTAATCGCGTTCCTTTAAAGGATCTAATCTTTCATAAGACCTTCTTCTTCTTGTTAATTCGGAATAAAACGCTAGTTACTTGAAGTTATGTTATTGGCATACTGTTTTTAGTACGAAACTCCATTTTATGACGACGCCCGTTCCGCATTATTGTTAAGCATTATTAATAAGTCGAGCGTTCGTAAATGAAGCTCGACGAACATTGTTTTTTTATTTTTTTTTGTTTTTTTTTTTTTTTTTTAAATTAGTCACGATTTTATTAATTATATTTTCTAATTAGATCGGATGATGTATCGTTCGATCGTTTCGAAGAATCACGATGACGAAGACTCACAATCTCGATCTATACTTGAAAAATGTCTACGGAGGCGCGCGGCGCTACATTCGTGTCAAAGATGGATGTTGTCGGGATTGCGACAGATGGAACGTCGACTTTTCTATTGGTGGCCACTGCTTTCGTCGTTGATAACGCTGTTTTCATTGTCTCTGGTGACTCCGAAGTTGTCGGTACCTGCTGCGATTTAAATATTTAATCATTTTGATCGTTTATATTCGTTGTGGATACTAATGAATATTATTTGTAACTTACAAGAAAATATCTCAACCCGCAAATACGGAAAATTATGAAACTTTATACAACATATGTAAAACATATATAGATATATATTATTCAATTCTTTTTGTTCAAATTCACTCTAATGGGGATAAAATTGACCCCTGACAATTTAGTTGTTTTTTTTATTTTATGTTGTAACTAGCGAACTGTAAGAGACAGAAAAAAATTTTAAGACAGAAGATATTTCTTTTAATTAGGACTATTATTCGATAAAAAATATATCAATTATTTATATGATTAGAAAAAAGATATAAATAAATACTTCAATAATTTCATTGTTCTAAAATTCATTGTTTTGCGTAAAATCTTAATCAGTAGTTTAAACGATTATGAAACACAACAGTACTTTTTTTTAATACAAATACAAGTTTTGTTGTATTGATGAATCCTGTTCGTTGATAATCGAAGAAATTTTGGATCCCATTGTATCATATGTATACTGCATGTTTTTCTAAAATTTATTATGACATTGAAACATAAATTGAAATAGTAACATTTTTTATACAGTTGGCCCATAATCTGTGGCACAAAACAATCAAGGGAGATTCTATGGTTCAAAATAAGAAGAAAATCAAGAATAACAAAATTACTTTGGAGGCATCGTTTTCGAGGAAAATGCATTTAAAAATTAGTCGAGTACATATGCACGTAAAGACTGATATTACAATTTTCATTACACATTGTTGTTGTGACTATTTTGTATGATGCTTCTCTCTCTATGTAAGAGATAGTATATTAATATCTCTACGATACTATATCTCAGATGAAACATCTATTTGAAGAATTTCACTTGAAGAATAACTCATTTGATTTGAAGAATAATTCATAATATTCTCATTACATATGTGTTTTCAAAGTTATTTAACTGAACTTGAATTGCTTATTAAACTTTGTTTATTAAAAATTGCACATTAAATTGAATTGCATTATTTTACCTGCTTATTATGTTAACAGTAAAAAGTTATAAGATAAGTTATATTAAATAGTTCTTTTTTTCCCTATATTTCCATCTAGTATATTTACCTACTGAGTAATGTGCGGAACAAAAGTATATGAAATAAATTACATTATTTTTGTTTTAGAAGAATACTGTTTGTCACGTACATACGTATGAAACAATAGGATCCAGAATTTTTCGATTATCAAAAAACATCATTCATTGATACAACAAAACTTGTATTTCTATTAAAAGAAAATTGCCGATTAAGATATTACATAATAAATGACTTTTACAAAAAAGTATTAATATCTTTGTTTAAAACTTTTTTCTTATTATATAAATATATTAAATAAATTAATATATTAAATATATTAAATATATTAAATATATTAAATATATTATATAAATTAATATATCTTTTATGAATAGTTCTCATTAAAAGAAGTAACTTTTTCAAAAATTTTTTCTACTTTTTATAGTTTGATAGTTACAATATAAAATCGAAAAATAGTTGATTTTCAGAGGTAAATTTTACCTCTTTATAGTCAATTTGCATAGCAAAAAAAAATTGGGTTATACATACCTATATATATTTTACATATCCCCAAAGTTCTATAATTTTTTGAATTTTCGTTTTGGGGATCTTCCCTTGTTAGTTGTTTCTAAGATATTTGCGTACCTCGTTGTAAAATACTTCTTTACCCTCTTCGACTGATGGTAAAAGTTCGTCCGTAGAATGAGGAGTTCTAGGACTTGGTGTAGGTGCTATTTGTTGTTGCTGTTGTTGCTGTTGTTGTTGTTGTTGTTGTTGTTGCTGCTGTTGTTCACGTTGTTTTTGTAATCTCAACTCCTGGAGAGCCTGTCGTTGCTCTTTTTCATTCCGTTCTTTTTCCAGTCTACGTGCACTATAACTACGAGCTGAGGATGTTGAACTGTGAACTGATGCTAAGCTAGGTCGACGGGAACCTGTCAAAAACAGGATCTAGTGTTGGTTCGAGAATCGAAGACTTCGAAGTTGTGTCTTTGTTTTATCTAAGATAGTTCTTCTATGACTCCTAGCAGCCGAAAAAGGAAGAAAAAAGAGGATTCTAGCGCATCGGTTTTTGTCTAATGGCACGAATTATATATATATGATGCGTGAATCTAGGATATTTCTGTAAGAATACTAATCAAGCGAAAATAAATATCGCCCGTAAGCCATCATTGTCGTACAGTCAAGCTTTTTACACGCTTTCGAAGAATGGTGAGAATTATTATCGTATATTTATTTTTTCATATCGATATATATGGACCGTCGGACCATCGTTTCGCGTAGTAACTTGGATAGACGGAACAGGTTCGCAGAGATATGTTGGTGTGGATATCGTGTGAATGAAAAGTGGAGCACAAGTGGCGGGGAGAATTTTACCGAGCAAACAGGCAAAAGGCCAAAGCGGAAGCACACATCGTTTATATTTCATATTCGAGTGCTACGCGGAGACTATCGATTTTATATGTAGCTATTAACGTAAAATTTCAAATCTTACAAAATTATTCAAGTAATCTTTGTGATCTTAATAATGTTTAGCTCGTTTTCTATTACTATTCTCTATTTTTAAATTAATATATTTTCATTTAATGATCTTACGTAAAAAGAAGCGTTTATTTAAAATATTCGAAAAAGGATCTTCGAATACTAAATTCGCCACTGTTTCAATCTAAAATAATATTTTTCTTTACAAATGGACATCATTTTTGCTTTGAGAAAAGAAAATAAATTTTTTTTCCATTATTTTTTCTATCAAAGCGTGACAGCATCTTGAGAATCATATGCACGGAAATTGTATTTGAAAAGCAGAACGCAACATCCGTGAAAAATGAAAGTTGAAAATGCATACGTCGCTCGATCATTGCTGTTTTTTTCATTTCTAAAGGGCGTATAGGAATTATTAATTGATAGATATAGCGGAAAATAATAAGAGATATAGCGAGATAGATAGAGAGAGAAAGAAAGGAAAAAGAAGGAAAGAATGAGAGGGGGAGAAAGAGAGACAAACAGAAAGACAAATAGACAGAGAGATAAAGCTTCTTCAAAGTCAAACACTTTGTTCCACACTACATATGTATATGAAACGATAACGAAGCAGTCTTAATGTTCGATCAATAAAATTTCATTGACGTTTCCGACTTTTGAACGTCAAACATTGCCCATCGAAATATAGGAAAAGCAGATTTTTAATGGTACATCGAGAGGGATCCTAATAAGTAGAAGATGAGAAATAGAAATACTATTGAAATAGTTTGTCGCAAAATATAGTGAAATGTGATATGAATGGGGTACCAGAAAAATATTTTTATATCTGTATCTTTAATTACAAATCGTTTTCAATATTTAAAATAAATTGGTATATTATGGAGAAATGAGAGAAAAATCAGACAAAAGGAAGAAAAAGGAAGATATAAAAAAGATATAAAAGAGGGAAAAAGAAAAATTTCGCGTCACCTGCATTACACGATGCAATGCGAAAGAAATACAGGCAGAAAAAAATAAATGTCCTACATTATAAGCCAGTTTTGTGAGGTTCATGTTTTGACTGTGAAGAAGATATATTGATATAATAATCTCGCTAGTTCGAGACGCAGAAGATGCGTTAAATGCTACATACGTAAAAGCGGACTAGTCTAAAAAGACAAAGTCGTGAATGACTTCTCCTTTGTTCGCCGGTTTCTCGGTGAAAATGTTAAACCTTTTGTCCTTCAATTTATTAATATTTTTAAATAATATTTTTGGATTCACTAAACGAATAGATAAAATGATCATAATTACATCGAACTTTAAACCTACATCAAAAAAATAACAGCTTGAATCGTATGTAGAATTCGTGACCGATAATTTTCATTTTTTTTCATTATACCGAGAAACTGGCCGCGAAGCGTTCCATGCGATTTGTAATTATATTAAATGCGTTGTGTGTGCAGCGAGCTAGCTAGTGCGTAAAGATTTCGCGTCTCTCTACAAATCTTACCAGAAAACTTTCGTTCGTTAACGAGCAACGAAATCGGCCGCTGCCATCTTGCTATCTCGTAACACACTCGCGAAGCACACATTGTGACGCACACTTTCCTTATCGTGTGTGTAAGGTTTAGTGTTTTTTTATAAATTACTTTTTTATTTATTTATCTATCGTGGATGGATATGTCTGTATTTTGCTGTCGTGTAAACACGATCGAGAGCGATCCATTCGTCTTCTCGTAGCGATATTCCGGATAACTTCCAGCCCTATCATAGTTTTCTTAAGCAATCATCATGTGTGGCTTGTGTGAAAGAGATCGGTTATGTTTCTTTCTTTTCCTATTTTATATTCTTTTTATATCTTTTTTCTTATTTTTTTTTAGATAGAAGAACGTTGCGACCGATGGTCCGTCGTGGAAATAACGGACAAAAAGCTGTAAATTTTTTTCTTTCTATTATAAATAATATAAGATCGGTCGTTTTTTAGACGTATAACGGAATTAAATAAGCCGCATTCATTTTCTGCTTTAGTTAAAAGGAATATTCATCATGATTTTCTTAAAATAATTTGGAGAAATAAAAAAGAAAATGAAGATTAAGAAATCTATGCGAACGATCACAGGTCGATCGTTGAGTTTTATAAATTAGAAGATCTAAATCATGTGATTGACTTTTGGCTGACCAGAACTTGAGGAGAGTCGGAAATGTAACTGCCTAGATAAGCAGCGATTTTTCTACGACACACACGTATACATAAAGAAACGATATAGAAGGAGAAATCTCGTTGAGATGCGAAGATTTTTTCAACGCCATTGCAAAAACGGCGTCATCTTCGTTGTCGGTTTCATGAAGCGAGTCACGTTAAAAGATAGAGAGAGAGAGAGAGAAAGAAAGAGAAAGAGAGAGAGAGAAAGAGAGAAAGAGAAAGAGAGAGAAAGAGAGAGAGAGAGAGAGAGATAGAGAGAGAGAGAGAGAGAGAGAGAGAGAGAGAGAGAGAGAGAGAGAGTGTGTGATCGTCTACCGAGGCCGTCGGACGATCCCTCAGCTACGTCACTAAGGGTACGTCGGTGCTTGTTTCCGCCTTTGGTCGCCTGCAGGTGACACGATATAAGCAAGATGGCGGCGGCTCGTGCCGCACCTGCTCTCGATGTCGGTACCAGCGGACCGCGACTACCACCGCTGCTAGGCCTCCTGGTGAACGCGCAGCTCAGCGATCCGCCGCCTCCGCTTCTCTGGCTCGAACGCGAAGATGGCCGGCCACCGTGCAGCGTCAGAGGTATACCTAAAGACCGTTGAGAAAGAGAGAGAAACTCTAATACTTTGTCCACCTTCCTTTTTTGTATTTCCTTTTGTTTTGCGATGAACATGACGAGTTCAAGATGATTGCGTATTTTTTTTACGTTTCTTGAGAAAGTATGAATAAAGAAAATTGATTTTCCATTTTTTCTTCTTGAAAGTTTTTACGTTTTTGTCCTTTTGAGAGTCCCTAATTTAGCGTTTCATAGTCACGCATACGTTCTGGCTCGATATCCAATGTAGGTAATGAGGTGAGACGAGAATAGATGAACTTCGGTACGGCAACCATGCTTGTGATACGATATAGTTCGCTTTTATTGATTTCTTATAGGCTATAAGATGGATGCTTTAATGGAATATGTAAGTATACTCGTGATACGAAATTGGCGCATGCAAATAATATTCAGTTAATGATCGTTCTGAGTTTTGAAATGATGTTAAGGAAATTTCTTATTAGACTACGATAACAAACAATGATGATGACGATGATGATGACACTAGTGCATGTACGATATAGCTATATGAAATGGCATGCGATTTTCAGGCAAGCGAAGGCAGATCGATGTTTTCCTTCGCGATATATTTTAACTAACTTACCTGTATCACTAGAGAATAGCATAGGTGGTGCATGATTCGCGTTAGCATAATGTCGTGGTCTTGAGTATCTCGCACGGCTGAATAGTTTCAGGACAAAACATATCATGCCCGTGAAAACAGCTATGCCAGATGCTATGCAAAGTAGTGTCGGTATATCTGTAGTTATCAGCACGAGATCTGTCAAATGATGAAAGATTTATGAGAGATCTTTAATGTTTCTTTTTCTGATAAACGTCATCGAGGAGTAAATGTAATTTTAAGACGTTCGATCGTAGACACGACTTTTTAAGAGACGCTACGAAATTTTGTGTTTTTCATTTAAAGAATCGGACAGTAAGCTGGCACTGCTCACCTTCGGCGCAGAAGACCTTCTTTGTTGGTCTGGACAAGGTGACTCTGTGATAGCCTTCCTCGCAGTCGCACACCGCATTGTGCTGCACCTGTGTGCATGTCGAGTGTTGATCCGTAAAGATGCAAGTCGCACGGTAAAAACATTGCTCTCCGAGTCTTTTCGCTGAAAGAAGATGAATTTTTTATTAACGTTTTTTATTTGAGTGAAGCTATAATTATTTATAGCTATACTTAATGTTAAGAAAGCTAAGCGTTCGAAGAAGGAGTTTGGAGAGGTAACGAAATTGTGGAATTTATCGCGTACGTTTGGCACATCCTTTGCTAGGCCCAAGACGAACGGGGTAGAATTTTTCACACTCGCACAAGCCAGTGATGGAATCACAGATCACGTGCTGCAGTTCCGGATTGCACGTAAGTTCGCACGGCGAGCCCAGATACTGGCCCTTCTCTGTAAAAGATACAGAAACGACAGATATTAATCTTTGTACGTAGGAGAGTTATTGATGTGGAATTTAATTTTGAAAATTATCAAGGAAGATAGGTTGAGGATGCAGAAGAGAAGCATAGCATCGAGTCGTCTGCAAGTTGTAAATTAACAGAAGGATAATTGGAGCATTCGATAATGAATTCCTCGGCAGTCCCATCTCTTTCTGTGGTAAACCGAGATATTCCTGCATTTCGGTTTTGGTGTCAGCGTGTCTATGTACGTATGCGCATATGTATATTGCAGAGTCTTTGCTGAACTTTGCCATTTGCCAAGGACCGTAAGCTAGTGTGCACATATTCTAAACGATTAAACGACCAGTAGAATAAGTCCGTGTATAAACCGACCAATATGGAACTTGCCCAGCGGCCATTCAAAGTTTTCGTTCTTAAATTTTACTAGATTGTCAGTAACGACATAACCTAATCGAGGGAATATACCAAGGAATTTCGTTGCTCTTTCTCCGACTGTAATTGGACATAAATCGGAGAGTTATTAAAGCATATTGTGAGATTTGTTCATATCTTTGAGCGGGCATTTTGCCAGCTCACTTACATTCGTTTTGCCATATCCCGTACAACTATATGTTGTTATTACGTATATTAGTCGTTGTAGTCTGCGTAACAACGGATAACTTTATTGGCACGCTTCCACAGAATAATATTATGTTAATAGGATGCATTCGTTCGTAATTAAAGGTTCTTGACCAAATCCTTACTTCTGTGACGCAATGGATTATTAATATTTCATGAATTATCATCAATTTATTTTCTCTATCGAAAAATTTCTACTAAATTAATTTACTCTATCGAAAAGTTCTTTAACTGGGACGCTCGATAAATTGATGAGAATGTTAAAGTCTAAATACTAAATGAGCATTTTTGTAGTTTGTAAACATGTCATTTTATACAGTTTAACAATTTGCGTCTTTCTAATCGTAACATATTTCGAGTGTAATGTCGAAAGAAAAGAATACGTGGAGTCGTTCTTTTTAGCCTCTTTAACTCTCTCTTTTTCAGAAAATAGTGGAAATACAATATTTAAAACTATAAACGCGTCGAATTAAAGGCAATTGTGATCCTTGTACATGCTTCTACATGTGGAGCTTGAGCGTTTGCAGCATCTATTAAAATCAATACCGGTGGCGTGCTTGGCGCGAAAATCAAGAAGAGCATTCCTTTCTTGATACTGAAACTAACGCAAGCGCAAATCCATGTGCAAACTGCGCACTGCAACGTCGTTACTTTTTTCGACTCCGCTTCAATTATCGGAGTATTATATAATTTTGCATTCGTTTTCATTATGATTCTAAATAAAATTCATTTGATAAATCTGATAAATTTTCAGTAAATTTTTAAAACATTTTAATAGTCTTATTAAACTGTTGAAAATATTGATCATATTTTAACATATGAAATATCGCTTAATAACATATGATTTACTAATTAAATTTGTAGAAAGAAGTTGATGAAACATTCACGAAAGAGAAACAGTTTATGTGAGTCGTTTGCGTGAGTCGAGAACATGATTGGGGGATTATTTGAAGTGGCTTAGCTTCAAATTCGTAAAACATTGTCTCGCGAATTGGGTAGAGAATGAATGTTTATCGAATGAATGTTCTCGAGAAAAGTAGCACGATTTTCATAGAGCAGGCGCAAAAAAGGCAATGAAGATATACCTTCAGGTACATCATTCGCTCTATCTTTTTTGTTCCTGTAGAAATGAAATGAAGTCCAAGAGGTAGGAGGGGACTTTATTGATCGTAAGGATACCGATAGCCTTCTATCGTTTCGGCTTGTCGTACTTTTAATTAAAATTTCAAGGCAAATAAACGATCGATGTTAGATTTCATCGTTGTTAATGGAAGATAGGATGACATAATGTGCCTTTAGTCACGTCTTTGAGAACTAATCGTCTGTAAAATAAAATAAAAAATCAAAGATCGAAGATCCTATCGATTTTCCAATGCTTTATATGTTACACTTGTTTATTTTTTAACTATGAAAAGGTACGATCGTAAAACTTTATTTATAAGTCCAAAATCTATAATCGTTCAGGGAGGATTGTCATCGAAGAATATCTTTATGTTTCCTATGAAGCAAAAGATTTCATTTTCTTTCATTTTACATTTTCTTCTGACATTATTTTTTCTGAACGTGTATACATGTAGCAAAAGCTAATAACACGGAAGACATCACAGATTATTTCCGTTTGTTGTCAAATTTTTAAAAAGGACCTTTGTAGAAAGTTATTCTTTTCCTAGAACTTATTGAGGTCATCGTTGATGGTAGTTGAGTGTGCTACTTTGTCACTTCAACCGATGGGCGTATCGAAAATAATGATAAAAAAGGAAAAGACTGAAGACTCGGGATCGAGGAAAGGAATGACCTTTGCTGATAAGAACAGCTCACCTGAAACATAATTGATTCCAGCTCGAGGCGAAAAGAATGAAAGAAACGGATGATGAAAGGAAGAAAGGAAAGAACACTGAAAGCAGTTTTCAATAGTTTAGGATTACAGTAAAAAGGTTAAGAGAAAATTGAGGAGAATTTTAGATGAATTTAAGGGTAAATAAATGGGAAAGGCGTGATTACTCACCTGCAGTAATATTCGCCTCAAAGTAGTCGTCCAGATCGTCGAGTATCTCGCCGTCGTCGTAGACGGCGACGTGGTCGTCGAGGTAGCTCGATGATTCGTGCACGTCATCACCTCCCACCTGCCGTCGAGAGATTCGAGGACGATTCCCCGAGGAAGAACGATCGGCAATAGTGGTGGTGATTAGATTCGAGATCAGGAAGACGATGCTGCAGCCGAACAGGAGCCAGGAACGACAGGAGAAGCGGGTTGGAAATCTCAGGGCGGAGGGAAATGCGCTCATCGCCCCCGCGGCGCGAGTCAACCCCCGAAACCGAGCACCGCTGGCGCATCGACATCCTTTCCCTTCGCCCGTCCCCTCCCCCACTTCTTCCTCTTCCTCTTCCTCTTCTTGCTTCTGCTACGAGCCACCCTCGCCCTCTATCCCGAGACCGGCACCTTATATCGTCGGCTGAGGGAGTGCGCGAGCTCCTCCCTGCTCCTCCTTCTCTTCTTTTCTCTCGACTTACTTTATGCCTTCTTTTTCTTCTTCTTCCTTTTTATCTTCTTCTTCTTTTTCAATTTTTTTTGTACTCTTATCCTTCCTTTCGTCGTCACGTTGCGTCGTCGGAGTAACTTTTCCTAAACGTAGGTGCAGTTTTATTGTTTTTCGGGAATAAAACGCGATCTGAACGCAGACGTTACCACGCTGCTCCAGCAGCGAGTACACTCTGATCGAAGAGAAACCGCTCGAAACTGCTAGTTGCGTCTTCTCCCGCATTGCAACCCCACCGACACGGCCCTTGGCTCCCGTTTAACGCCGCTCACCGTCCGTCACCCGCCGACCACCGACCGTTGCCTGCAGCTGCGCGATCTGCTCGATGCTCTCTGTTGCTTCGCATTGCGATCAGGGTGGCTTGTTTGTTCGCTCGCTTACTCGTTTACTTATAATATTCGGCACTCTTCGGATGGAGATGACAGACGATAAATGATCGATCAGAGGTCTCGGAGAAAGTATACTGATGTGGGTTTTCGCAAATATAGTTTTCTGCGATATTCTTTATATGCGTAACTAATTTTTATGTCTTTAGTATTGCATGTATAAAACTCGTAGTTGTAGCTATGCATTTATAGTCTTGTACTGATCACTTTTTCGAATTTACATATACATTTAAATTCAGAGAAAAATATTGTATAATCCAATAAAAATTCATATAGGACATGTTATTGAATTGTTTTCTTTATTTTCACTTATTTTGCAAGCTTATCGAGTGCTTTCTTATAAATGATTATAGTTCCAATCGTTAACTATAAATTTTCTTCATTAACATAAGTTACGACTTCCTCTCTTTCACTAGGCTATAGAAAATTTTAATAAGTTAAAATGTCAGCTAATTATTATTGCATAAAATTATACCATATTTAAATTCTATTGAAAAAGTGATGATTTCCACGAATAAACGTTCTGTGTTCTAGATGCCAATACTGTCCATTGTTTCTGGAAAAGACATTATTGAACTAGAATAAACTCGTCACATTGAAAGATAAAAAAGTACACGAGCAATGATTTTTCTCTTTCTTGATCGTTTCTTTTTTCTTGATCGTTTTTATTTACGGCGTAACGTGCGAATATGAAACATATTGAAATAATCGAAAATTATTTGATCGTTTTAATATTGTAGCTAATAAGGGAGGATCCCCAACCCGGAAATTTAGAAAATTATAGAGCTTTAGGGATATGTAAAATATATATATATATTATAAATATATATATAACGCAATTTCTTTTTATTATTTTTCTTTTTTTCTTTTTATTATTTACAAGTTCACTCTAAATTTCATTCTTAGAAATTCGGCTATTTTTCGATTTTATGTTGCAATTAGCAAACTATAAGAAACAGGAAAAAAATTTTGAAATAAAAGTTACTTCTTTTAATAAGAACTATCATTTTATAAAAGATTTATTAATTATTTATATAATTAGAAAAAAGTTATAAATAAAGGTATTAATAATTTGTTGTAAATGTTGTAAAATGTATAATGTATTGTAAATGTTGTAAAAGATATCTTAATCAGTAGTTTAAATAACTATAAAAAAGCATAATAATTTTTGTATTTATATTAAAAAAAATATTATTTTGTTTCATAATTATTTAAACTACTGATTAAGATTCTATGCAAAACAATGAATTTTAGAAAAAATTATTAATATATTAATTTTTTTTCTAACCATATAAATAATTAATATACCTTTTATCAAATAATGGTCCAAATTAAAAAAAATAACTTCTGTCTTAAAATTTTTTCTATCTCTTACAGTTTGCTAGTTATAATATAAAATGAAAAAATCATCGAATTTTCAAGTGTCTATTTTATTCCCTTGGAATGGATTTGAATAGTATAAAAAATTGAATAATAGACATCTATATATGTTCTGTATATTGTTCAAAGTTTCATAATTCTCTAAATTTCCGAATTGTAGATTGTAAATATAATAATAACATATATAATGTATATTTATAGGTTTATACATATAGATATGTATGTGTACATACGTGTAATAAACAATCTATAAAATTACCATAATATTTTCAGTTATGTTGACATAGGATTTTTGTTGACGCCCGAGAAGACTTCTAATCTCTTATACATACCATTATTAGATTAGATAATCTTCGTCTCTAATTATCAGAGTATCATTATCATATATCAATGAATTAGTTTGCTCGTTCGGTACTAAAGAAAATAGAATTTCATTATATAAAAAGAGCTAATTATTAAATATTAAAATAAATATTAAAATTTTTAGAATTACATAAATTCGTTGGTTGTTTTCGACATTTGCGAATGATAACATATCCACTTATAGCTGCAACTAGTGTGATCGCTATTGTGATTGCTACGAGCAACTCCGTTATACCAAAAGAGCTTTTTAGTGTATTATTATGTGGTCTCCTGTAGCATGGCAACTCTGGAAACGCAGAATAGCTCGATTAGTTTTGTATTTTCACTTTGTGTTGCAATACAAATTGCTAATTTGCTAGCTGTAGGCACTGTACCTGTACTAAGGAAACAAGCAACTGTTGGTATTGTAAGTGATTCATTCGAATGTACGACGAAACACAATGTCGCATTGTCAAGAGAGTTGGAACATTGATAACAAAGTGGCGCGTTATCGTAGCTTTTCGTCAATGTGCTGTTCGTCTCATTTATGATTGTAACCCTATTAAACGGTTTGCATTATCGATATAACATATTTATATTATCATTTATAAAATATGTTGGACAAAATACTGTTTTATTCTTTCATAATATTCTATTAATTTTCATTAACAAATTCTTTTTAGTGGCGTTTTAAAGAAATGTTCGATAAATCGTAGCAATTAAACGATTAAAACTTAATATTTGTCTTAGGGCAAATATTTTCTGTTCTTATAAGGAATATAAAAAAGGTTTATTGCATTTAAAAAAATGCATGTTCTTGTGATACTTACGAAGAGAAGAGAGTCGAGTTGAGAGTTGTTTCGTAAACGCAGAGGCTGGCTACGTCACAATTTATACCGATCCATCCAAAAAAACAAGAGCAAGAGTTTCGTCCATCGAAGCAAGTACCATGTTCACTGCAGTTTTGAGAACACATCAAGGCACAAGCGGAAATATTGTTGTTTTTTATTTCGAAATAACTTTTATTACATCGACAAGTATTCGTTGCCTTGCATGTTCCATTTAGACAAGAATTTTCGCAAAGTGGCTCGCAAATCGTTTCATTTCGTAGAAGGAAGCCTTCGTAACAAGTACAAACGTTTGGTTTGGTGCAAGTGCCATTGATACAAGAAGAATGGCAAATCGCATTGACACATCGACCTTCCTCGTTTTTCTTGTATCCCTCGTCGTAGGTGCAAACACTTGGGGTCTCACACGTACCATGTTCACAGTTTATATCGCAAAAAGGTTGACAAATGTATTTACCTTGTATATTCGTGTTATGATACGTATTGTTGCATATACAATTATCAGGTGCGTTGCAATTGCCATTCAGATCACAGATTTTTTTACATATTGATGTACAGGGATAATTATGTATGTTGCCTGGTATCACTTGTACCCAAATTTTACCATATCCTTCTTCACAGATGCAAACATCAGGAAGGGCACATTTGCTCTTCATGCAATCTTTCTCACATATCGGAACGCAAGTAGTGCCATTTTTGTTATTCGATACCTGTCGTGAAGATCGAGATCGTTAGATTTATTTTGTTGTGGTCCATGATAAAAAACTATTTATTTTCTTAAATTTTCACGAATAAGATATTCTACCGCATTAATGTTGTTCGTTGTATCATTTTTCCCAACGAAACGATATCCTTCATGACAAGTGCAGCGATCAGGTGCGGTGCATTCAGCATTGAAACCACAAGGAGAGGTGCAAAAGGGTTTACAGATTGTCTTTGTTTCATCGTCTTCATCGAAGATGAATCCTTCGTTGCATTTACAAATGTTCGGAGCAATGCAAGTTCCATTGAGACATTCAGGATCGCAATGTGGTTCACAGACGTGCACGGAAATGTTCGAAAATTTGTAGCCAACAACGCAGCTGCAGATGTCAGGTGCTATACAAACACCCATTATACACGATTGACTGCAGATTGGCTTGCAGTTACTTTCGTTGATTGGCTCATATCCGATGTTGCATGTGCAAACGTTGGGAGCTGTACATGTTCCGAAGAGACAATTGTGTTTGCATTTTGGAATACAATTGAACGAATCGTTGACATCGAGTTCGTAATCGTCGTAGCAGCTGCAGATGTTCGGTTCGACGCATTTGCCGTTGATACATTCGCGCTCACAAATTGGATCGCACATTTCTGATTCGTTTGATTTCTTATATCCAACATGACAAGCACAAGTATTTGGTTCAGAGCAATAACTGTTATTAGGATCGCACTTGTCTTCGCAATTGGGACGACAAGTATAGCCATCGGAATCTATGAAGTAATCCGGAGGGCAAACACAAACTTCGGGTTGAACGCATTCTCCATTCCAACAACCATTCGAACAAATCGGTTTACAAATATGTTTCTGCTCTGTCGATATGGAGTATCCTGGAAAGCACTCGCATACGTTTGGAGCTTCACATAATCCGTTCTTACAGTCTGGAAAGCAATCAGGAACGCATTTATTTGATATCTCTTTGTATCCCTTGCAGCATTTTTCTTGTGTGTGATATGTGGGATAATACTGGAAACGACAAATCAATCACCATCTTGATTGGTGTAATTTTATGAGAATTAATTCATACGAACACGAGACGATACTCACTTCAATTTTATAATTAATGCGATGTCTTTCCTGTTTGTAAATTCCCAGTACACGGTGCCAGTATGTCTCATAATAAGGAACGTTATGGAATTGCATCTTTCTATCGTTAAAATCGATCAAATTTGATTTAGAAATTAAGTTCAAACTAAAGATGATTAAATAGGTTAATGATATTTCTTTCAAAAGAATCACTCACTGGGCATTGGTTGTTCATCGATGCAATCATCTAAGGTTGATAAAGATCTATGCACTTCTTACTTACGTTATAATTTCCGAGCAAATTGACTGGTCATTCATGTCTTTCCAAGGAAATAGAGTCGATATTTTGGGCAGATCGACCATCAAAAGAACGATGACATATAAGGATGCGATATTAAATCTCATGTTAATGAAAAATATACTTGGTACTATGGTGAAACAATTTTGTCTGGTAGCCAGAGAATATTTTCATGACTTTAAATATCGTTCATTTTATCTTGCTTCATTTCTTTGTGAAATCATTCAGTGTTATCCAAATACAGCAGGATGCTTTCAATTATCGTTTCTCGGAAATTCCTCATATAGTAGAAAATAAATCACCGGAAGCAGACTATCTTTGGTTTTATTCTTTATATTATTCTTTTTCATTATTTGATGAAATTTTTAATGTTTTTATACTGTTAAGTGTTTACTTTAATTTCGTTTATGTATATAATAAAAATGTATTGCATGATGTACGATCTATTATCATTTAACATAGCTTATTTATTTATTTTAATGATTTTATAATTTCAGGTATAACATTCATATAAAAATGACACAATTATGTGAACAATATATCTTGCGTAGATTCACGAAAGAATTTTTATTTTTTCTCTCCTTCTATTTCAATGCATCTTCGATGGCACTATTATTAAAGGTTAGTGTTATCTTTGGAAAACATATTCTTTGATATTTTAAATCTAGGACGACTTATCTGTAATAAGAAAATGTATTAATAAATTGATATAAGTACTCTGTACAAATTATTCAGTTTAAATATTAATTTTACTAATTAAATTTACTATTTCATATTTCTTAAAATAAAAAAATTATTTACTTATTCTTTTGCTTTTTAAACTTATAACAAGCAATACCAATCGAAGTGATCATAATTAAAATGGCTACTCCCCCAACGGTGACGCTAACTTTTATAACTTCTCTTATGGGACTGTGCGTTATGTAACACTTTGATTCTTGAAAATAGAAGAAATGTGTGACATTTAAAATTCCTTTTGGCTCATTAAACCAATTTAATTTTTTGTCATATACCTGCGTCGACGAGACATACGGCTGAGTAATTTTGTTCCCTGAAGATATTGTATTGAAATTCAAAACAAATTGTCTGATTATTGATTTCGCTCAAGCATTGCTGACAGGTTGGATAGGTTTCACTCATTAATATCTTTGGATAATTTTGTTCTTTTATGATTGATAATCTGTAGAGAAGCGATAAAAAAAATATAATTTGTAAGTCTTGAGTTAAGATTAAACTTTAATGTTTCATTACAAAATACGTTTAAAGATAAAAGCTCAGTAGATATATTGTACATTTTATTTTATTCAAGCTTGAAGTAAACCTTGGAATAAAAGGAAAAGACAAAGACAGTACTCACGTTTCATATGCTTTGTATTCCTCTAAAATGTCGACTATACAAAAAGTCGGCTCTTCGCAGGCGGTTCCATTCCATCCGAAAAAGCAATCGCAGTTACCTTGCTCATCAAGACAAATGCCATTCTTGTTACAAGCATTTTTGCAGGCGTTAACACATATTGAATCGCTATCATTGCCGTTCTTTATAAAACCGTCATAACAATGACAATCATTCGGCGCCACGCAATTGCCATTAGTGCAATTATTTTTGCAATATGGTTCGCAAGTTATACTTTCCTCCGTTAATACGTAGCCTTCGTCACAACTGCAAACTTCTGGTTCTGTACAGGTTCCATTACCGCAATCGACTGAGCAATAGGCCACGCATGAGCCGTTTTTGTTGTTAATGTAACCTAGTTCACAGCTACAGGTGTTAGGCAAAGAGCAGATACCATTTTTGCAGTCGAATTCGCAGATCGGCTCGCAATTCATAGAATTGTTATCATAGTATGGATGATAACCTTCTTTGCAAAGACATCGTCCTGGGATTTCACAAATGCTGTTAGGAGGACAAGCAGGCTGACAGTTCGGTTCGCACTTAGACGAATTCTTTTTGTTTGTTGTTAAAACATAATTTTCATCGCAAGTGCATACGTTAGGAGCCGTGCAGCTACTATGCGACCAACAAGAAGGTTCGCAGATTGGTTTACAAACATTGGACTCGATAGAGTTCAATTTTTCGAAGCCTATATTGCAACTGCATTCATCTGGAGTATTGCAAAATCCGTTAATACATTCTTCATTACAAATCGGCTCACAAGTATAAGTTAGATTATTATTCCCTATATTATCTATCGTTAACTTGTATCCATCATTGCAGATACATTCATTAGGTGCCTTGCAATGGCTATGTAATGAACAAGTGGGATTACAGACTGGTATGCAAATGTTGTTTATGTCGGAATGTTCATATCCTAACGAGCAACTACAGTAATTTGGTGCCGTACAAAATCCATTAACGCATACATTTTCACAGATAGGTTTGCATATCGATTCTTCATCAAAGTAAATAGCTTCCTAAGAAAGGAGAAGAAGATAATAGATAAAAATATTTTTCCATCGGTAACCATTTATCGGTATAGTAGTTTTTCTTACGGTGTTATCGGCGAGCGAATATCCCGCATGGCAGGTGCAAATATTAGGTGCGGTACATTCTCCATTTGGTTCGCATGGACTATTACAATGAGGTATGCAAATGTGCAAGCTTGTCTCATCGCCTGTCACTTGAAATCCTTCATGACATTCACAAACGTTAGGATGTTTGCAAAAGCCATTAATACATGCCTTTGGACAGATCGGCTCGCACACGTTCATCGAATCGTTAAGAAAGCCATAACCCTCATGGCACATGCAAGTTTCAGGTGCGATACAAATACCCATATGACAAGACTTACTACAGATTGGCTTGCAATAGCCTTTCTCGTTCAAAGAATAACCTTGATTGCAGGTACAAATTCCTGGTGCGGTGCAAGTGCCATCTACGCAGTTGTCGCATACTGGTTTGCATGTGAACTTATCGTAAAGATCTACAGAGTATCCCTGATTGCAAGTGCAGGTATCAGGTGCCGTGCAGTTACCATTGACGCACGGTATGCTACATATAGGCACGCAGATCGTGTAACCGATGTTTTTTTTATTTTGGTATCCTTCGCGACATGTACAGATATCTGGCTCCGAACAGTATGCAGTCTTCGAATCACAGTTTGGATTGCAAATAGGTTCGCAAGTAAATTTGTCTGACTTCATCCGATAACCAGGATTGCATGTACAAACGTCAGGTGCCGTACAATGACCATGCACGCAGGGATGTTTGCAAACGGCCACGCAAACTGGGTTGTGAGAGTTTATTAATTGGTATCCCTCGTGACAGGAGCAAATGTTAGGTCTCACGCAATCACCGTGACCACAATCATGGAAGCATATGGGTACGCATTTCTCGTTCTGTTGCTTGTACAAGTCACAGCATATTTTTTCTGTTTTCCATGCCCAGTAATACTGAGAAACGGTAATTTATTTATTTCATGATCATCCGATCATCTAGAAAATATTAATGAGAGTTCTCTTACCTCAGTTCTATAGTTCCATCGATACTTTGTTGTATAAAAGATTCCCCATTTTTTTTCTCGATAACTTTCCATGTATGGAACACTTTTCGATTTTCTATAACTGCAATGGAAATATGATCGATGCGACGTTATCCCCGATGAAATCTGGCAATAAAAGTTTGTTTTACCTGACGAGTTTAGTGCAGTATCCTTGATTGTTAAGTCCAGAATTTTCTACAGAATATTCGATTTCTATGATGAATATACAAAGAAGGAAGAAAAATAACGAATTCATGGTATTTTTTTATCTTTTTCTTATTTAATATAATATTGCCTTGTTATTTGTTTTTATGATTTTATTGTGTATCGTACAAAAGACTATTGAAGAGTGACACGTTGTGACTTTTCCTCTACTCATCAGGCATCATATCTCCTACTATCGGTAACAAGCAGGATGTTACATATTAGTTGTTATCACGGTTATTTTAAATTATTCCAAAGATCCTTGAATACATCATAACCTCTTTTTTTAAACCAAATAGAAATTTAAAATGAGATTACGATCGATGTCACGCATACACATTTGGAAAATTACATATACAAATCACAATTGTAAAAACGGAGATGGGATTACGATCTATAAGATCTTTTGCATTCTGACCAGAGTGTATAAGATTCATTAGTTAGATATTATATTCTTGATAATAATCTCTCTGAGCTGAATCGACTCTGTTCGGTAGAATTGTTTGGATAATAGCAACATCGTAATTTCGTAAGTTAAGCTTAATTTTAAATTAATAGTGTTTCCGATACCTACTGACTGCTAGGTAAAGGTTGCTTGGAGGATTTTGGAACGGTGCAGGATGCGTATGCATATATATGAGAAAGAATCGATAGATTTCCTTCAACGCGATTTGAATTGACCACTTTGTAAATAATATTTCTAATTTTTTAGATATAATAAAGGAAAAAAACTATTTAATTCAATTAATTTAACTTTGAATAATTTTCTGTTCGTCTCTTCCTTCCTACTTTAGGCAAAGGAGCCTAATAGCTCGGTATACATCTTTGTTTGCCTTTGACACCGAGATCTTTTCTGTAGCCGGGATTGCAGATACAATGATTTGGTGATGTGCAGACTCCGTTGGAGCAACCACCAATGCAAATGGGCACGCATCTTGTTCGCGTCAGATCATTCTGTTCGAATGTGTAACCCTGTCTGCAGGTGCACTGATTGAAACCAGTGCATTCGCCATTCAGACAAGGTAAATCGCAAATAGGTTCGTATTGGTTACCGGTTGGTTGACCGACCGGTCGTCCGTGTGGTGATTGATTAACCGGTTGTCCATAGGTTGGTTGACCAACTGGTTGTCCATAAAGTGGTTGATCCGGTTTCCCATAGGGTGGTTGATCTGATCGTTTATCCAGTAGACATCGACCCGTGTCTGGTTCTGATTTAAATCCTGGTTCGCATTGACAACGATTGTAACCAATACAAATGCCGTGGTCACCGCAACCGTATCTACATTGATTCGACACGGGATCTGGCGAACATCCACCATTTGAGTTACGCACGTAACCTTGGATGCAGTTGCAAATACCGGGTGAGATACATTGACCACCGTTGCAGCTATTCTGGCAATAAGGAATGCAAGATTCTCGTTCATTCGGTGGATTCGTATACCTAAAAAGATCGAGATTAGGCATGGGCTTGTAGTAAGAATCTAGATAAAAATTATAAGAAGAAAGCCATAAGAAAGCTTACCCTTCATAACAAGTGCAAATACCGGGTGCGGTACATTCGCCATGGGGGCAGCCACCCTCGCAGACAGGAACACATTCCTGAAGATTGTTTAATACGTAACCAGACTTGCATCTGCAAACGCGTGGTGCGATGCAGTCACCGTTTCTGCAACCACCGGGACAGATTGGCCTGCATTCACCATTCACTTCGTCATAGCCCAATTTACACGCGCAAACGTTCGGTGAAAAACAATAAGCATCTTTTTGACATGGCTGCAGACAAACAGGCATACAGACTCCATTTTCAGGAAACCAGCCGGATTTGCAAGTGCATTGATTTGGCCCTGTACATTCGCCACCAAAACAACCTTGCTCGCAATGAAAATCGCAGTTGCCATTCGTAATGTTACGCTTGTAACCCTCGCAGCAGTCCAAGATCGTTATGAATCCATGACTATGAGCCTGATTTTACAGAAAAGAACAAAGAAGTTCTTTCTTCAGTTTTAGTTTTAGTACGAATATCACAAATGAAAACAAAAATACTCACATAATCCTGATTGTCCTGTGGCAAAGGGATTGTATTGTAAGGCACTCCGCTAGTAGTATTATAAGCCAATGCATGATTGTATCTAAACATGAATAGTGTTTTTGGAACGCATATAATATAAATATTCTCGCGGTCAGAGATCGCCTAACATTCTCTCGATAAGTAAATGAGAAATGCGCGAAGGAGTACGCATCATGCAACCTTGATCTCGATTCGTATTTTTTGCGAATATTTTATTGGCAAACATTCTACTTTATTTTTTTTTGATTAACATTTATTCAGTATCTTATAAAATTTCAAAAGAGCTGTATTCTTAGATTTTTTAAATCACATTATACGATATACTTACATAGACACATAGTATCATAATGTTTATTTGAAAAATATATTCAATAGAAAAATATGCATTACATGGTTTACGAGTGAAATATTAAGGAAAGAATAGAAAATCATAGATCTTCGTTCTCGAAAAGAGTTACAAATGTTTCACTTACGGTACTGTTTTGTAGCAAAGCACATTATTGTTGTTCCCACCGTACTGATTAGCGCTCGTTGGATAGCGAGGACGATGGCCACCTTTGACGCCGTCGATTGCCCAGGTGCCAGCAACTACGAGAGATGCGAATAAAATCGTACCGATCAGAAATCGCGTCATGTTGAATAAAATGCGATCTGAATAAGACTGAGATTTACATACGTCTTTCGTGTTTTCGATTGCTCTGCTAACGCAATCTATTCGATAAGAACAATATACAGAGGTCATCATTTTTCACATCTTTAGCAAGAAATTGTATAAGATGTTTCTAAAATAATGTCATCAAATTTATTGGCTTAATCTAATAATACAAGGCTTTGTACTCGGTATTATTCATTATATTGTAGATACGTCCCAAATTATTTCATATATATGCAGCTGAATACTTAGTATCTCTTTTAGCTTTAAAATTTTTAAGAATCTTACAAATTTCTTATATATCATCTTAGAAATAACTTGTATACTACATGAGCAATTCTGCTATTCGCGGAAATGTTTATTGATCTCACTGTGTCTTGGTCATATGTTGAAATTATTCCATCTATCGGGATTTTTAATCGAAAAGGAAAAAAAGAACTTCGCAATATAAGGAATTTTGATTGAAGCATTATCGCTTTTTTATGCATCAACACAATTTTTTGGTCTTCCTCTTATTTATTTTCTTTTTTTCTTTTTTTAATGATAACTCAGTGGGAAGGACATAGGGTGATGAGATAAGATTCGAATGCATAATGACAGTTATACTGCCCTAGTTTTCGTACATCGATAAGGAAAACTCATATGGGATTAGTCGAATATATCATAAATTAGATACATACATATGTTATATAAAAACGGTTTTAATTTTCGTTATAATAAAAATTAAAAATATAATAAGATATTTATACGAAGTAAATAACATAATCTATTCTATTGTATACATACGAATTTCGAAATTTTCGATTTTGAATTTTTAATTACGAGACAATATAAAATAAGTATTACATTTCTGAAACTATATCTACTGTTTATCTATAATAACGAACACTGACGACTTCATTACAAAATCCTGTCACTGATAAGACTGTTTATATAAAATGATGATTACGAATAGTAATTAGAAATATTAATCATCTTCAAATACGACATAACATTTTATCTCTCCTTCAGATAAACAGCGTCTAGTTTTGATTCGATGCATGCAGCTCGAAAAAACACTTGGACGTAAGCTTATGAAAAAGAAGAAAAATAAAATAAATAGCGGCATTAGTTTCTTTGAACTCTACACGTTCCACTGAGTAAATTTATTACTCGTAAGGAAGTGTATTACTGTTCGGACTGTTAGGGAACAGTCATCGTCGTTATTTAATTTTTTATTACTTTCTCGAATCAATAATCAATAATTTACGTGCAACCTTGCGCGTTCAATTGCTATGCGTAAAGACGAAAACCAGTTAGGTCGGATTTTTCTTGGAGAGTTTTGATTTGAACACATTTCTGGCACGTACATATGTATATGCATACATATACTTTTATGTTTATCCACACCTAATATTTCATTAATGAATGATACGTTTTATTCCATATGTATTTCTACGAAGGAAGGATAAAAAGAGAAAAAGAAGGAGAGACAGAGAGACAGAGAGACAGAGAGACAGAGAGAGAGAGAGAGAGAGAGAGAGAGAGAGAGAGAGAGAGAGAGAGAGAGAGAAAGAGATATAGTCAAGTAGAGAGTTAATCATATTCGAGCTGATCACGTGCTTTTACGCTCGCAGAAGCCCGTCGATTGCAAAGGAATCTCGTCATAGAGGTGTTCGCCGTTCGACTCGAAATCCGTGTGTAGGCGTAGCAAGGTCGTCGGTGGCCTGTCATAATGATCTTCTTGCAGCAGCTCTGAAATAGGGAAACGGTGAAAGTCGATTTGGAACATAATTTCGATTATTCGTAGTATAATTGTTAAAAATATTTTTCTTTAGCTTACCACGAAGATGACCGGATATTCGAAGGCCGATCGTTGCGGTGCCATTAGCGTAACTATTTACGGGTTCGATGTTTATACCAGCTGGTAAGATTGTACCGACTTGTTCAGAATTTGAGAAGAAATCTGGATTCGTACGTACAGGTATCTCTTAAACATTATCATAATTTATTAAATATTTTGATAGCACTTGTGTGCTTGTGTAGGGATATGTAAAAAATATTAAAAGCATGACTATTGACATATTGATCCTTGAATTTCAAGGGATTTAGTTTTTTTTTATTCAAATTCATTGTAAGGTAATCTTTGCAAAAGCGAGCAAAGTTATCAAAAGTCATCGATTGAGGGTTTCGTCAACATGAGAGAAATGATTAAAGTCAAGGACGTACAGATTTCACTGGCAAGTTTTATCGCAAAAGGAAGCGTGAATTACGTATCAACTGAGAGAAAACGTCGTAACGTCATTGACATAACTTACGAGGTAGAGCACTATCAATGATCGTAGAAATTCTTTTGGGTGGTCGTTGCTTCTCGCTTTCATGCTCACTATTCTTCTCCTTTTCGTCGTTGTAGATAGAAAGTCGTACTGTCTCAAAAAGTTTCGTCCTTGTGTGTATGATCGTCATAATTGCGATTGACATTAGACTGAGAAATATGATCGATGCGATAATAATCAACGCGACATCCAATCGGATTGATGCCGCTGGTGTAACATTTTCTGTCGAAAAAGCAAAATACAAATCGACTTCAGCTTTATTTTCTTTTATGTATATACGAACCTTTATGAATAGTTTCAACATAATCAGTTTTCAGTGGTAGGTCATCACGAAGTTCTCCCTTTTCCTCCAAATGTCTCAAAAAGGTATCCTTTAATGCGAACTTACTTCGATCTTTTGTCAAGATAGTTTTTTGTCGTTCCGGAACAGAGACAAGGACGATCAACGGTCGAATCGTGCTGGTGCTTGTGATATCATTTTCTTGATTATGCGTTTTAATTTTAACATTTGAATCCGTTTGAGAGATTGGTTCGCTGTTCGTGTTTTCGAAACTACTATCCGTGCTCGATGGTGTAACATAATTATCCCATCCTATGAACGCGATTGTTGGAAACTACTTGGGAACTAATAAAAGCTCTTACAGTATCTAATCATGATAATTAAAAGTTATACAGAATGAGTCATGTAACTTGGTATCAGTCATTATTTTATCGATTTTAATGAAGGAAATAAAAAAAGAATTTCTTGTATTAAGAAATGATAAGTTCACGAAAATATTATTTTACGTAATTCATTAATTTATAACAAGTTACAATGATTCGTTAAGAGCTTTTATTATCATCGTACAAAAAATGTATACCTTCTTCCATGACGTGGTCGGTCGTCCAAGAAAGGTCCGTCGTTCTTTTTTTGAATTCTATGATTTTCGTACTTAATAATTGAACTGCATTTGTGGTTTTAGATGTAGAATGTATGTCGGTAACTGTGAAAGTACAGTGTCCGGTTTCAGGATGGCAATGGTTAATATGTCCCTTACAGTTGCAGAAGTTTTTACATCCTCGACCCCAGCGTTGTGGTGGACAATTTTGTTCACATCTAACGATAAATATTATGATCATCCATATTATTCTATTTAAAATAATTTATAGAATATGATACAAATGTTATAAGGAAATGAAACGCCGTTGAATAATAACGATTCAGTATTACCTTGGTCCCCAGAAACCTGATGGGCAACAAGTACCATTTCTGAAATCGCAAATAACATCTTCGGCGCATTCGCATTTCTCCATGCACTGCACGCCCCATAATCCTGGAGGGCATTCTAGAAAATAGTCTGAAAGTTTTATTCTTTGGACGTTTATAATTATACTTAACATTCCAATATTTATCTATTTATTTATATGTATTTCTATATTATTTTTAATTGTTGAAAAAATTTTTCAAAATTTAATAAAAGATTTCGGTCTTATTTTATCACGATCGAACAATCGTATTTAAAGTTCTAACCGATTTTTGTTTACTTCTGTAATGTCAATTCCCTTTGAATCGTTTCGAGTCGAGAGAGTTCCACTGTGTTCAAGCTTCTCGAAACTCGTCGGGAAAGTGAGGACTTCGTAACTTCCGCGCATCCGTAACTTTCAAAGAGTCCTCGATCGTGGATATAATATTTATCCAGACGGATCGCGAGTGCCCACAACGCGTTTTAGTAACAATATGCGTGGATCTATTGAAATATGCTTTGGCAATAACAACAGATATACATAACGGACATCGAGCAAAGAATATTCTTGCTTCTTTCAGGCAAACGCTATTACAAAACGTGTATGCGTAATGTGAAAAAACGTTCTATTCTTGGCTTGCTATCGCTTCTACACGTTTTTCCTTCCTCTCTTATTATGCAGCGTCATCGTGGGAAATACGTCTCTTCACTTCGAAAGAATCGACATCAAAATTGTTGCTTCAATCGACTCAACGCGAAAGAAAGAAAAACAAGTTTAAAATTTACACAGATTAATGTGCATCAATTTTAATATGGTCAACTTTCTAAAAGATCTTAATTTACTTATTTTTTTTACTCATCGCTCAAGGTTTTTCTCCTTCAGCCTATCAAAATCAAGATAGGGATGCAATTGCGAAAGAGATTGTTTCTTATTATTCATAGCACACCTTCAGTGCTACATATACACTAATTATTCACATTCCAGCGTTTAACGCGACATTAACGTTTAGACTATATGTGCAGCATGTTCTTTATACAGAAAGAAAATTATGACATTAAAATGAGATGCGTACTTGTAAAACGCTGTAAATTGTTAAATGGGTCAAATAGTTTTGCGCAAGGATTCCGCTAATTGTAAAAAATTGGTCCATTCTTGGACTACTCCCGCTAAGAATACTATATATAAATATATAATGAAATATGTTGAATAACGCGTCTAGAATTAATCTTCGAGCAATTAGAGTTCTTCAATTAGTATAAATTTCGCGTTAAATCTGAGAATATTCTAATATTCGAAATTTTCTTATTATTTTAATAATACAGCTGTACGTATAGACACGAATAGATATATTAGAATAGATTATAGCTCTACATATAGATATTCGTATAGATACGAATGTTAAGTTAAAGAAAATATACTGCAAGTAATCATGGACGGCCAAGCCATTGACTTTTTTATTAAGAAATCGTTCTAGCAACGATGACGTACCGAGCGGAAAAACTCTCGTTTATCGCGATTCGCGTTTGAACACGCGTATTTTAAAAAGCATTTTTTTCTTATTTTCTCTATTTTAAATTGCTTTGGCAATCTTTGTAATTTGGGAAGGTCGGTTCGTTTCGCCGAGCGTGAAATTTATTCGTCCTATCGCGGTAAAGCTTTGTGTGTTTTATATTAATCGGATATATTCACAACTTCGGATTGTTCTCATTCGAGCATCGAAAATGTTAACAAATAAATTTGCGAAAGCTGCTACACGAAATGATTGTTTTTTAGCCAAGATTTTTCCACGATATTTTTAAACGTCGTAATGAAATTACGCGTGTTCCTGTAAATTATTTTCATCAGAGGAACGGCGGATTATGCAGATTTCCTTGATTATCCGACGTTAATTCGAGCTTAGTAGGTTAGCTCGAAAGTATTGAATCCAATCTAAACACGTCAGAGTTCTGCTTTGTAGTATCGTGTTTCTAATGTTACTCAACGTCGATGAATTTGCTTCTCGCAATCTTGTCCCTTTGCACGCTGGATCGATTTAACCAATCGATTATGTTACGATAGTTGTGAAAGGTATCATTTATATATTATATTTTTCAATATACATATATCTACATATCTATATACGTAATAACTAATTCAATAACTTTTCATAAAATAGTTATATAAATATCTTAAGACGAATATATCATTTCAAAGTAGCAGGATTTTCAAATTGAATGATTTATTGTATAATCGTAATTCATAATCGTCCAGTATGAAATTTATAATCATCCATTTGGACCGTTACCAAACATTAAAATATTTCTGTTGTGTAAGAAAGTCTGCGGGTCCCGATTGATGAAATGATGATTTTATAAGATGTTTCATTTTAAACAATATGACCAAATATATCCCATTTTATTGATTGTATAACCAAATATTTCAAATGAAAACTGCTAGGTTTCGAGAGGGAAATATAATTTATATTGCAAATATTTCGTAGAGAGTGCTGTTGTCAAAATGCGAAAGTTATAACAATGTTTTTAAATGGAAATGGATATTTCAAGCCTATAACAAAAATAAGATAACAAAAATTATAGAAAATATCGATATGAGTTTGAAAGGTATCTACATTGTACCTTTTTATTGATATTTCAATATCAATAAAATATAAAGTATAAAGTTATGGCGCTTTGAAATTTAACAAACTGTATAAACGCAATAATTTCATTAAATTTCCTATAAACGTCTGATAACCAACGAATTTATTGATAAATTTTTTTTCTTGTTTTTTTTTTTTTTTATCTATTTATTTATTTTTGTTCATGCATTTTTATAGTTGCAATTATATAAAGCACGATGCCCTTCAACAGTCATAAAAAATATTATTGTGATTATACAGTTTATTAAACTTCAAGGCGTTATGACTCGATGAAATATCGGTGAAAAGGTATACTACAGGTATTCCTTGAATTCGTATTGGTATTCTATACAACACTTGCTCGACTGAAAATATCGATTTCCATTTAAAAAAAGATGTCATGAGTTCCATATCTTGACAATAGTGCCAGTTACAAAATAACTGCAATAAATATTATATTTTCTTCTTAAAACCTAGCGTCCATTATTCGAAACATTCATTTATGCAACCAATAGGAACTGAGATATTTGGTCATATCGTTTAAAAAGAGATGTATAGATTCTATTATACATAGAATGTATAGATTCTATCTTCTTTAAAAATCTCCTCATTATTTTTTTTCTTCTTTTTTTTTGGTCAAATAAGCGGTGATAGAATTTAGTATAGAGATATTTACATCTATATCTGGTTTTTTTTTTCACTAAGCTGTGTTATTAGAAGGTGCGAAAGAGAAAGAATGAAGACTGATAAAGAGGTTCGATGCTTGTCACGGTTGGAAACGGTGGGAGATGAATGAATAGCGTAACCTTTAAAGATATGAAACGGCAACTTTAATCTTTATTTTGTTTTATTTGAGAGAGAAGGAGAAATATGCGGAAGGAAATAATTATTATCTCTAGTTATACAAAGCTATAGAAGTTTTGTATTTCTTAAGTACCTTATTATAACTAATCTAAATATATTAAACTTTTTAATGAATATTACGTTCTATTATACTTCTATTGTTTTCTGTCTTATTAAGACTCACCTTTCGAACAATCCGTTCCTTGATATCCTGGATCGCATTGACATTTGTTCGGTGAAATGCAAGTACCCGCGAGGCAGTTCTCGCAAAAAGGCACACAGCTCGCGTCACCGTCCTTCTTGTCACGAATTTCCAGTTTGTAACCCTCGCAGCACTCCTTCACCTTCCTGGTCTTGATTTCCGACTGCAAAAGAATTCCATTCATTCAAACACTTATCTGAACATTTCTATCCTTTAGATTAACTGTCGATTGCTTCGGTGTACTTATATCGATATCTTCGACATCTTATCGATTTGTTTCAATTCCCGCGATCGAGTACTTTTCTACAAGAAAATAGTCTTAAGATTCTGATTCTGAAGAGTAAGAGGGAAAAAAGAAAAAGAAAGAGACAATGAGATAGATAGATAGATAGATAGATAGAGAGAGAGAAAGAGAGAGAGAGAGAGAGAGAGAGAGAGAGAGAGAGAGAGAGAGGAAGAGAAAGAGAGCGTATCCGTGTAACGGTTTAGTAATCTCTCTTAAGTGGATATCACTGGAGGAGGCTATAATAGATGTTTATAAATAACTCATTAAAGACGGCAACCACGTTCGTTACATTCCTTGTCCATCATCTTTTTTCGTCCGATCGTAATTTCATTCTGCCTTCGATTACGCCCACGTATATAAAATATACTATTGCATACATTACGAAAAAGTCGAAGTAAAAGGATTCGTTGGTTTGCATATTATTTGAGGAATTTCATAGTAACATCTTCGTGTTTACGTAATTTTATATGCTTGATTTCATGTATGTAGTAACCTACATATTGTTAAACTTAAAAAAACAGTCATCCTTTTTTTTATGTTTTTAAGATCAAAAGTAACAAATAGTAATATGTTCTAATTTCTGAAAAGAAGAATTATGAAGTACTACTTTTTACCTTTGTGAGCAGAATGTACTGATTCTTTTTTGAAGATTAAAATTATGTCTATCTAATTGCAACCTATGCTACTCTGTCATTGTGCCGATTTTAAAGTGAAAGTGGAGTAGTCACTCTGCTCTATTACGGAATACATACATACATATGTATGTATGTACTTTCCATAGATTTCAATATACTTACTCAATTATCTTATTTATTTCTGCTTTAATATTGGTTAAATTATATTTTTAAATATTGTACACTATTTTTAAAAAGAAGAATTTTTCATTTATAATTTTGTAGCAATGTTATTGAATAAGAAATTTCATTAAATCGTAGCTAGACGAATCCTATTGATTCGAGTTATTAAATCTTGAACGAAAAGTGAACCGTACTGGATATAATGAGAATATATCGTAATTTCTCCTAGATTTCTATTTTGATACAGTTAAAGGGAAGGGTTAAATGATCTTATCGTCGAGAATAACGTAATTTTTGACAATTCGATACAGATTCGAAACTGATCCAAGTGGTTGAATTTTTAAATCATGAAAATATTTTCGTCCCAGTTAATTTCAGCAAAAAAAAATTATAAAAAAGAAAGAATGGCATCATCTCGATTACGTTATTCTCTTTATCTTCAAAGACCGAACTATTTAGTTTTTGTTCTTTTTATTTACGACTTCTGATCATTCCATTCTCCTGTGTTTTTCGAAAGATTCTGTCTTTTTTCACTGTTCTTTTTTTTACAGGAAAAGTTTAATAATTCTTCACGTTATTTTCTGTAACGATCTTTTACGCGTGGAAAACGTTTATGGTTGTATTTTATGTTACAAGGACCTCTCATTCTACGAATGCCACGGTCGAATAATTATCTATCGGTGAACGGTCCAGATGGGCCGTTTAAAGACAGAAATTCTGTAAGACGCTCGTTCAATGTGCATGACTATTACAACCTACAATTACGAATTACGTTATCGATTCGATTCGTGTCATATCCAGCTTAGCGCCGCATCTCACAATACTCATGCTAGATGTAATATCTGCTCAAGATTTTGTTGTATGTAAATAAGACCTTCGTCAGTTGCTTGGCCGGCAAGAGGCCGATGAAATTATGAGAGCGTGATCAATCTAATACTTTAATATGATTGTTTCGTCAGATGCATTTTTCATCGAACTAATCTACTTAAATTCTTACTTTTCTTCTTTCTTATGTCGTTTCATTTATGTTCTTTTATATGCGTTCTTCGATATAAGAAGAAATCACTTTGTACAGCATTAGATCATTATCCTTTTAATCGTCGAGATATAATGGATTCGATAAAATCGTGCACTGTGTTCCGGCACGACGAGAAAATTTTTCTATCATTTTTTTTTCTTTTACTAAATATAAGACGAAGAAATCGTGTTGTTCGTATAGTCCAAGTTTAGACAAACGTTTGCTATATGTTGTGTACATTTCCCGTATTAATCGTCGTTCATATGCAATAAGGAAAAGTTCACCGTTATTTAATTGCAAAAGTAACTTGAAAAATTAAATTCTCGATGTTTCTAAGATATCGGTAACGTAAGTATCTTTTGTATAAATAACAATAAGAAATGCAATATATTTGAGACACAACTTTCGTTTGGACTACCTATTCTTTCTATTTATATGTTCGTGAAGGAATGCCTTGCACGATCCAAGATTTTTCATTTTTAGCTCGATTACCTTCTCTTTTTTCTTTTCTTTTCCTTTTATTAAATTATAATATGCGAGCCGATTATGTTATGTACGAATCGCATATTCTTTAAATTCTTCTGGTACTTTACTTTTGGTAATAACTTTAACGAAATAGAGAAATTGAATCGAATTAGGTTGCAAATCTTATTGTGCAAATGATCTTTCACGAAAAGTTCAATGCGTAAAACATTAAAAAAAATCTGCTCTTAAATCTACTTTTTTGTCTTACACGTAACAAACTCTCCTTTCTCTTCTTTCATCTCTTAAATTATCATATATCTTGTCAGGAATACTTCGTCATTCAGATAATTTTTGCGATTAAAACAAAAATTTAGGATGATCATATTTGAAATGCAAAAATGATGAGCCACGTAGGTGTCTTCCTTTAAAAATTTGATGGACTCATAATGATTTATATTCGTAAATTCGTTTCTCGAATGTAGTTACATAAATACTGAATAAAATGAATAGCCTTTCGAAATTCTAGAAAAATACGTGGATGAGCGTTTTATGTTTTTAAAAAATCACATGTCTCTTATTGGATAAATGGAAAGAACTTTTGAAATGGTAAGATATTTTGTGATTTTACAGAAATAATATATCCAAATACTAAAAAGAAGTGTAATATAGAGCTGATAGTTGAATAATAATATTCTGGACTCGTAAGTTTTTTCGATTTATTGAGAAGCCTATACTGATACGTTTAGTATAAATAATATATGTATATATAAAAATGCTATGCATTTATAAAAAAAATTCTGAGATTAAAAAAAATATGTCAACAAATTATTTCATTGTATTTTTTTTGACTCGATTTCATAACTTCTCTCTTATCCTTCGCTCTATGAGCTCCGTGCCTATAAGGCGCGGCTCCTTCTCTTCCTTTCTTCGTTTCTTTTTATTTGTTTAATTAGACATTCGAAGCGGCCGTTTTCCCCGTAAGGCATAATTAACGCGTTCGACCACGCTCGAGTTAACGAAAGAGATGACGTTGAGTGAAAAATACAGAGAAAGAAAGAGAAAGAGATAGAAAAGAACGATAAAAAGAAAGGAAGTTTCATCAAACATGATATGAGCGATTTTATCATAAGGAAATATTTTATAATTTTGCGTGTCGTAACTTTTTCTTACACACTTATTTGCATCATTAATTGTTTAATCGAACGACTTCAGCCTAATAGACCATCGAGAGCCTCTCGTTAAGTGTCCGATCGATTTTCTTGTTATATAACGTTTCGAGGACACGTTTACCGTACATATCTATGTATATCGAAACGAGCCGAGCTCCGAAGCTTTCTAGGAAATGGAATGTTTGCTCCAGTAACATCGAGCTCGACGCTTTATACGAAAGTAACCGGTGGAATTACATTATGCTGTCTCTATAATGAACGGATTGCTTGATTAACGATACAAGCGAAGGGAGAAACAGAGATAGAGAGAGAAAGGAAGAAAGAGAGAAAAAGAGAGAGAGAGAGAGAGAGAGAGAGAGAGAAAGAAAACTTAGACGTAAAATTCTTAGAGGTACATACGTATAACATGGGTATGCTTAAGACATTAAGATTGGATCGAGAGAAGTTTCTTGAATCTTTTGGCATTAAATAATGATTCTTTTTCTTATTTTGTTCCCTTTCGTTATTAAGGGATTTTCTATAATGTATAATTTTGTCTATTAAGATTAGTACTTCTTTAAGATTAGTACTTCTTTAATATTAGTAGTCTAAGATTATCTGATAATATATGATTTAATATATCTGATGTCGTTTACCTTTATTCGATATCGTTGTCTCATTTCTGTTCGTGTTCTAGGACATCTCGGTGGTACTTGTAGGCACCACGTGAATGTGTTTACGACTACTGGTTGTACGTATGTTTCCATCGAAGTGACCGTGTAACTGTAACGTTCGATCAATTAACCATTAACTTCTTTGGCGATTCCCTTATCAGAACGGCTGTAATGCCACGCGAACGCGACAAGGTGAACATGGAATAGAATATCTAGTGAAGCTAGCCAAGATCAGTGTTAAGGTTCTTTCGTATCAAAGCTATTAAACGAGTAGTAGATATAATTACACCTTTTAGATATTATTGATTATGAGAAATTTAATTAAGTATACACATTTTTCTCTCTCTTCATTATATATTTTATAACTACTCACTTTTCAGTTCTGGTACAGATGTGGTCAGTCGACAACGAATATGACGCTTTTATCGTCCAGAGAAGAAACAACCACTCTCCAAAGACATTCATTTCCAGATACGGCAATACTACTTAAAATTCATAATTTCCTTCTTAATTATTCTTTTCAAATAAAGTTGATTAGTTTTCCCGAATGAAAATTATCCCTGAAACATGAAATTCGTGTGAACAAAGAATATACGAGATACTTCGTTTTTTGAAAGCATTAAGGAAGAATGATATTGATCTTGTCAATGGTCTTTGAATACTTATGAGATATCTCGTTACTATCCGTAATGCGAGACGCGGTAAAGGTGCAATGTTACGCTTATTGCTTGCTCTTTGGGAGAATAAAAGGAGAAAGGAAGAGAGAGAGAGAGAGAGAGGACAGAGAACCATTGAGATTTTGCTAGGGAAAGTGTGCCACCCGCAAAACTCGCGACGGATTTCCTGGTAGAACGGTAGAAACCGAATGGTTGGGGAAAGTAGTAGAACAGTGGATAAGGTAATTTGGAGATTTTGAAAATATATTTTAAGGTAATTAAAATTTTTTATACACAATATTAGTTATGTCAGAAATATTTATAGTAAAGATAACGAAGATTCTATTGTATTTTTCGTTAACAAGTTACTAAATGCATTTCGCATACTTTATCTCGCATCATGAAACATTCGTAACGAAGCCACAGACACATAATTCTGCTGGGAGATCAAACATACTGATAAGCCATTTTAGATTCGACGCGCAGTACATTAAGCAAATTTAACTGTACGTTAGCGTACGCTATCAAATTTCGGCCGACAGGACGCACGTGCAATAAACTAATTTAAAGTTAGCAATATTTGTTCCTTCGTATGGATCTAACGAGAACAGTGAATGATTTATCACACGTGCTATATTAGACCAGTAGAAAGTACATTGATACTCACAGATAGACAAATGAAGATTATCGTGGGAATTGAAACGGGGACGCTATTTAATTTTTTAAACCGGTCGTCGTCATGGCACCGGAAACACTGAGGTACGACATAAATACGAGGCGCGTCCGTTTGAGGGATCATTTTCAAAGGGTGTATTCCGACGGGAAGTACGGACTTGATGGATAATTCGAGTAGGCACGACATTTACGAAGGGGACATCTTAATCGTTTTCTTATCAACGCTTGAAGAAGAAAATGAGCGTTATGTTCCACCGCACTTTTTCTGTCCGATACTATTATTGTTAATTAATATTATCATGTATTTTTCATACATTACATGTATTAATTACACACATACTCTTTGATATTTTCCCGCGTTGTGTCAGGTGCATTTTCACCTGAAGTGTCTTGACACTTTCGAAATTAATTTTATTTTACACAACGATCCGTCCTTAACCTTTTTAATGTCATGATCTTGTTCAATAAAGGCTGTATCGTTTTTACGTCGTTCTTTTTGGTTTAACGAATGGATTCGTTGTAAATGAACAAATACGTTCAAAACATGTTTAATTATGTGAGATAATAATTTAAGTTTTTTGATGCGCTTTAGAGATCGTTGTATCAAGCGACAAAGTTGTGTCGGCTGAGAGAAGAAAAAAAAATATCTCGGTGACATTTAGAGTCACCGAACGTATATACGATAGCTGTATATTTCTTGAGAATTGCTTCTTGATCTTTTGTATGATATTCCATATAGAGAATCGCGCGCATTAAAAAACCAAATCGAATTCACGTTTGCATGTTTCACGTCTACGAGAGTATAATTCAACTTTCTGCCGTTTCTTTTACTCTTACTCCCACTCTTTTTTTAATGCGTCAAATGTGTTCTGGTGGGGATTTTTGAATCTAGTTGGAAAATTAATTAACGAATATACCAGTCTCAAGTAGCCCGAATTAAAAGCTCCCATGAATTCGTATTCGTTACTTTAATTTTATTATTTAATATTTCCGTTAACGATAGCTCGGAATAACTTCTATTATTTTGTTAATCCTTTTGTCGATATCGTTTACCAAGAACGTATCTGTACATTTGAATAATCATACTTACGTTCATTGATGTATGCAAATATATTAATGATATAATCCAAACAAGAATCACTATTCTTTATGAAATTTTTTATAATTGCTTGAGTCACTAATTGAAACTTATCACTATTGGTATTTGAGCTTTAATGAAACTATCGAATCCATTTTAAAGGAAAGAAGAGAAATCACAAATATTTTGGGCTTGTCAGACGAAATTCGTACGTTGGATTCGCGAGTTGATTCAGAACTGCTAGCAGAAACATAACGAACAATTGGCGTGGTCGACACTTGGAATGCACTTGTGGCACAATGAACTCCGACCCTCTCGCAACGATCAGGAGGATGACGATAAAGACGGGATACGAAGAGAAAAAAGAGGGATCGGGTTATTTCGGAGGGGGATACGATTAACAGAAAGGGACGAAAAGGGAAACGATACTCCAAACAACGCTATGCACATTAAGGATATCCTGTGGAGACAGATTTTGCTTGAGAAATGAGTTTCTTTTGTTTGTTTCTTTACTTTGTACTTTCATTTTTATACATATCCTTTAATCTACCGTTCGTTTATATAACGGATTTTAAATTCCTGTAAATATTGATACCACCGAGTATTTTTTATCATGCATATTACATATGGTAAGCAATCTATATATTACAAAGATTGTTAAAAGAGATTCTAATTAAGAACATAATTGGATAACATGTAATAAATTATTACTTGTAACTATCTCTCTGTCTAGTACCTTTACTTATATGTTAAGAGAACGAATGAAAATTATTTCAATGGTAGTGCAAGATATTTTACAAAAAAAAAAAAAACTGTTATATACGTGCATTGAAGAAAAAAATTAAAACGATCGTTCGATTTTAACGATCAATAGAAAAACTCGAAAGTACTTTCCGAATAGTTCGAAGGACAACGCTCGAACATTCAAATCCTCTTATTCTAACTTGTTTTGACTCTTAGGAAAGTACATAGTTACATTTGAAGAAAAAGAAGATAAAATCCGAATAGACAAGCGAAAGTGAAGTTGGGCTTCTCGTCGGTTGTCGGACTGTGACTACGAACAAGCAGACTAGTATAATAGGATGATTGGTCAGGGCAATTCCCTCTTTTCTTCTTCAATTCTCGCGGCACGCAATGAACCGGACTCTCAACGTTGCAACGTTCAACGAGCTATCGGTCGTTTAATCTTATAAGCCGAGAATAATGCCTTCCTCCTACGGACATAGACTAATTAGCTGTCACGAAAGAACGATCGGTTGTTCTCCAATGTTCGAATAGTTAATTCGGCTATAATTTGTTTAAATTTATAAAATATTTCGTAATTCGCATTTCAATGAATATATAATTTCGAAATAAGTAAACTTCGAGATAAGGAGATTCCTGGTTTTCTTATCTTGTTATTTAAAACATATGAAAATGCAATGTAACGTGTTTTTTCTATTCGCCTGATTCCATTTTCTCTAAGACTACCCATTTTTATTTTCTCGTGAATTTTTTTTCGAAGATGAGATTCGATTGATATCATTTCGTGGAAATATTTCGAGAGGAGAAGTTTTTAATTTATTCCTACTATTTGACCTTCATGTTCTTTTATGTTCAACGAAAAAATCCTTTCGCGACTTTAGCGATGAGACGATAAAATTAACGTAAACACTGTCGTCGATATAATGTCTGGATTAATTTCTTGATTGGTTTATATATTTCGTAATAGTCTTATAAAATTAAACATTATGGAGGCAGTCTAATAAATCTTCACTTTGGATTATTTCTTAGATTTAATTGTAAATAAAAAATAATAGCGTTTGATTCGAGAAGCCACAAATTGAATTTATACGAATTTCGCCGTCGTGAAATCAGTGTAAGTATAATCGACAGATTATACTTACGATATTAAAAATAGTTAAAACGTTTCCGTTTAGAAATACTAAAAGCGAAAGTATTTTTTCTAATTTTATTTATATAGTTGTACCTTTTTATTTAATTTCTTCTTCTATCTATCTATTTATGTAATAAAACTATTAACGAAAGGCTGTTTTGGGGTTTCTCTGGTTGTAAGAATATTTAATAGAATTGACGTTAAAGATAAACGAATAAGAAAGTTTCTTGTAAATACCATACGAAAAATGAAATTCGATCTAACAGACTATTTTCTTGTCGATTTTGTCTGTTGTTATCGTAACGTTTTGTCGATGTACGGTACCACTTTTTGTTGACAAAAATCAACATATAAAATAGAAAATACATGGTTGAAAGGTACCTCTTGCATAACGATTGCGTCGATTAGAGATCATTCGACGTAGTCGTTCTGAGATCGTTTAATTAACGCCTAGGCGGATTGCGTGATCTATACGCGATTTGTAAGAATCAAAAAAATAGAAAGTGAGATTCGAAAAAAAGTTTCTGTCTATAGATGTACGTATAAACTTGTCTGCCTTCTCATCTCATTTGACTATTAAAGAAGACAACGTATGAGATCATAAAGACGATTCGTTAGAGATACGATTGATTTTACTTGTCTTCGATAATGGTCTAAAGTATAAGCACAAAGTTATTGACTATTAATAAGAAATTAATTACATTCTTTTACCATATGGGTTACCATATCGAGGAATTTTGTTTTCGTTAGGCAAGTGTCCGATAAATTTATTAACTTGTGCATTAGTATTCAATAAATAAAATTAAAAAAACAATTTCGAACGGAACATAAGAATTCTACTCTTCTTTTGGCCTTGACTTTTCGACGGAAATTCCAACAACTATCCAAGCGACATCATAAAAGCTAAATTCCAGCGTTCAGAGCAAATCGTTCGAACGATATTAATAAGACGATTTTTAACATTTTTGGAAAATCATATTGTTCGATTTTATTAGGAGAAGTTAATAAATAAGCTCGCATTGAATATAGCAGTTTACTTGAAACGACAATTTGAATAATGTTGTTTATCACGTTAATGATATATTCGAAGAAAAATATATGAGACACATTTAGAAAAATAAAGTAGGCGGCCAGATTATATTGTCTGTTAAAAAATTTTATTTTTCTATGGGGAGACAGAAGAAGCGGAGACAGGATCCGAGAAAGTCGCTCGCGCGTGGACTCGATTGGAGACAGTGACATTGGTTAAACAACGCCGAGAGCTGTGTGATATTACGCAAGGTGAGCATTGTTTCTTTGTAACGAGCCATCGTAATAAGTCTCATTATCTTTCTAATAACTGATATTAACTTAGTGGATATATCTTTGATATCTTAGACTTATGGGCCACTAGTTTCATGAAATGAGCATGCATTTAAGGTATACGCTCTAATGATTGATAAAGATCCGCGTTTCGTAAAAATGCGATTACAATGCTTCGTCTTTTATTATATTTTTTAATCGTTTACGCGAGAATATATAAAACGGATTTCTTTTGTTGAACATTTCTTTCAATAATTTTATAATTAATTGTTGGTTATTCATTGAAATCAAGCGTATCGATAAAGTGATCGACATTAAAAATGAAACGTATATATAAATCCACCTTAATCTCGTTTCGTTGTTATGGAATCGACGAAGACTCCTTCATTTCCCGTTACTTTCTTTTCTCTCGAAAATAACTTTCGCGGTCGATCGTAAGAATGCATGCATATCTCAGCATATATGTTGAAATCAAAGAGTGCTTATTATTTGGTTCGAAACAAATGAAATTGGTTCGTTCTTATTTTTGACTACTTCAGGAATTTTGATTATTTCTTAGAGATAAAAAAAAAAATGAAAAAGAAAAAAAAGATAAAAGTCAGCATCGGTTTCGAACGACGCACTAACGTCAATGTTCCTTGCGTGTATCCGTGAATGGTGAAAGTGGCTGGCTGCTAGCTGACCAATCGGTTCATTGTGCGCGTTGCAGACGTTTCGCGGAAAGGGTCGACTTCCCGGTCTTCCGATTACGCAAGTGGACGAACCAGTTTTGGGCCAGGTCGCAAAACTCTTCCTTTCTATTCGATGTCACCCTTCCATTCTATTACGCTCGAAGGAACCTTAAATACTTTGGTACCTTCTTTATTTTCATCTGTACATGTATTTGTGTATTTTGTAGTTTATTTTTAACATTAATTTTATATAATTCGGTATTACATTAAGAGTATGTACGATTTCATGATATTGAATAAATTAATTTTGAATAAATAAATAATCATGTTATAATTATTTTATTTTAATCTTCAAATTCTTTTTTTATTTTCGTTTCGCAATATGGAATCGAGTGGGCGATTTAATCAGGTAACCGATAATTCGTTTCACGCGTATCCGTAAAATCGAAATTGCGAATAAGAGGAAATCTAGTAGACTGCTATCATTATTAAAAGAGAATTGGCTTGTTCTGCTCTAACGCCAATCATTCGAATAATAAAACAGAGTTTTCATTTATCACGAACGTTCAATCAGTCGAGCAGTCATCCAACACGTTCGATCTAAGAACACTAACGAATTACGTAAGTGTATGACCGAGACCATACGTGGAATTGATTCAGTCATTAAACATGATGACAAAACACCATTTGGTTAATTGTATTATTTTAACGCATTGATGTGACATACTTTTCAATAAAACTTTCTCGACAATATAATCGATTATGATTCGTATCTGTTCATTTTAAAATAAGTAGTCGAAGAGAACTTCGAATCACCTATGGACTGTAACGGATCACTTTGAATTGTTGTGTTTACTCGACTTTATGAAAACGCACGTATCTCCAACTTTCCTTGGCTACTTTTTCGACATTCCCGGGATGCTCGTCGTTTCCGCGTCTTCAAATTACGAAACTGGGCGAACCACTTTCTGGACATCTCTTCCTGGCTACAATTGTATTTCACCGCATGAAAGCAGCTATGGTGTCTGTGTCTCTCTCTTTCTTTTCTCATTCTCTTCCATCCATCTTCGAGAAAGTAGTAAGATTTTAAACGCATGTAATTGCGAGAAACAAAGTCATTCGAGCAAATGACAAAAAGTAAGAGCGCGAATTTTATACTGACGAGATCGGATAGCAGGTTCCTGTATGATTTTCTTGTAATGATTTCTATCAGCGGATAGAATATTGTATATTGTAACTGCTTTTCCGATGTAATGATCGATGCAAGAATAGTTTGATTGTATATTGATAAAATTGTAAACAAATGAGACTTGTATAGTTTTACGCAATTACGAATTGAATGAAATTATTAATATAATAATTATGAGAAAGTCGATAATTTTATTCATGTTTTAGCAACGCTTAAATCAAGATAATGAAAAGTGCTGAGTATATTGATTACAGATGAGCGTGGAACTAAGACTTATACGCTCGTGTGACACACAAACATACATAAGTTCGGCACATACGTTATATTAGAGAATTACATAAGTATTTCGTGCACCGAGTATTCATTAAAGAAAGATCAAACTTAATGATCAACGAAATCAATATTTCTTTTACACTGGCCCCTTTGATTAAACTTCTTGATTTCAACTTCTTTATTCTCACTTTATAGTTCTTAGGCATATACTTATCCATTTTTAGTAATGTTCATAGTTCACATGTTTAGAATTTGTATTCATGTATAGAATTTGTTAATCGATTTCTTTTAATAGAGGAATACCGCAATTAAAAGAATGATCGTTGTTTTAAGTATCCGAGACGTTTCGAACATTGAAAATGCAGAATTGTAATAACCACTTCCGTATACCTGTAGTCCGGCTGTTTCTATACTACGTTTACAGTAATCGCCATCTGAAACAATAAATGAAAAACATAAATCTGTAGAAGTTTTTGTTCGTGCGATCGATTTAGTCGGTTGTTAATCGGTATGATCAGGATTGTTTCAAAAATCTTCTCTCTGGTCTTTAAAATTGCTTATAGTTTCGCAGTTCAGTAAATTGATCAGTTTTAAAGATCGAAATATCTATTTAAATAAATATCTATTCGAATACCCATTAGACCATAGTTATTTATAGTAATATCGGATACGTTGATTTTTTTTCTAAATGTGGATTAAATAAATATGTATAATATTGAATACTTTAATCTACATATCAGTCTTGTTGGTTCATAGATTCAGATAATGTTCAGCTTGAGGATCGAATGGGAAGCTCTACGAAACTTTGGAATTCGTACAATCTAGATAAAAAAAACTCGAGGAGATACGATAGGAGTCGCGGGATAAAGAGTCGAGTGGTACTCGTTTCTCGGCCTACTTCGATGTTACCGATTTACACAACGTATTCGTTTGAAGAAACTTTCCAAGTAAAATTCACGAGGTAAGAGAATCAAAAGGGTTCTTCGCGAAGTCGATCGATACAAGTCACGTACGCATCTGTACTTTCCATCGGAATCGCTTATGAGGAGACGGTCTTTTCATTTTTCTTTCGACATTCGATTTCAGCAAGTTTATATTCTCTTCATATATATTGAAAATATTCAGTATACATTTATTTCCATACGTACTAAATAAGAACACTCCATAACAAGTTAATTATTTGTAAAATCTTCAACTCCATCCTTGGTCCAGTTTTATAGTTCCGTGAATATAAATTGTCTTTTATCGGAATTACCATTAGAAAATATTTAACTTCCAAGAGAGTAATATTTATGGGACAGAAAATAGTGTGTTGTGTGTATAGTACGAGAATCTCGTATAAAGGCTAACAGACGGTATTCGGTTTACCATTCCTAGAATCTGTGACTAGGAAATCAAATTTAAAAACTTTCCTTTAAAATCGATTTACTCTTTTGGAAAGAAAAAATTGTAAGATTAAATATCAACATATACGAATATTCTTGTTCCGTATAGCTGTATAGACGAACAAAGACCTACGTAGAAGGGAAAAGGAGAAAGGAAAATCTACGCTTGGCATTCCAAGTCGAGGAGGAGTTCAGAAGCTCTGCTAGAATCGAGAGTGAACGCAATTTTGACGTTGGCTCACGTAAGAAAATACGGAAGAGGTGCGCGCGCGCACGTGCGCTCGTCCACAAGAGTTCTCTCGCCATTCACTCACTCGTTTTGTTGCAGGATACATACATGCAGGAACGTCCGAGGTGCGTCACTGACTGAATTGCATGGATGGTTATGAGTTTTTAAGGTGCAACGTGCAATGGAAACGAGAGTGGAATCGTCGAACGTGTCTCACGACTATAGTTTCCCTCCTTTCCTCTCTTTCTCTCTTTTTCTTTTACTCCATTTCTATCGCTATCACACCTTTCTTCCTTCTCACACTCTTTTACATTACCAGAGACTACTCCGATTTCGAAATTTTTCAATCCCACAAGTCCCAGAACTTTACGATCTGTTATCTAGATCGGTGACCGAGCTCGCGTTTCTATGTTTATACGGAAATAAAATCGATCTGTTTTGTTTTTTTCTTCTTTTTTTAATCCTGGCACGAACAAATTTAAAAAGTATTTTTCTTAAAAATATGGAATATTGATCATCCTCAAAGCTCGTGCAATGCTCCACATTACAAATTTGTTGGATAGTGCTAGTTACTCAAGTTCGAATTTGGTGAACGAGTGATCGCATAAGATGAGAAAGGTACACTAGCTCGATAATTCTAATAATTTTAACGGTACAGTAGCGTATCGTAATTTAATCGTGTGTGTCGTCACATGAAGGAGTATTTGTAGCGTTAGCCGGTAAGTAGTACGTGGGAATCGCAACCTTCAATCTGTTACGGTAGGATATTGCATAATTTGTAACAAGTTACTAGTAGTGGTAAACACGTCACGAGAATTAGATTTGTACATTTTACGCGTAATAGTTAAAGGAAATATGGTTTATAAACAAAATAAAAAATAAAAAAGGTTATAAAAAATATTGGATTAATTTTAATTATATGAGATAATTTTTGTTAAGAAAATTTTCTTACCGTAAGACCAACCAACAACCTCACCGGTTCTTAGATTCTCTGTTCTCAACCAGTCCTCGAGTGGTCTGAAATATTCTCTTAAAGCTGATCCATCCAATCTGTTTTCTCCGATCGCTTGTTCGAGTGTTTCTTGCCATGGCATTGATGAGCCCTTTTCCATCAAGTTTCTGTGATAAACGGATTTATTTCGTTAGAAATTTTTTTGATGAATTACGTCGATTTATATTATATTTTCTAAGATGGATACCTTTCATATCACATGCATACATGACTATATTTTGATATATTGACGAAATTTTTTCTTATATTCGGAGAGAGTATTAATTAAATACATTTTAAACAGTTTTTATTTTGTTTGTAATAAATCGAAACTTTCCAGATTCGATATTTACATGGCATCTCCATATCACAATAGAACTCGAGTCGTTTCTCAAGATAAAGAAGCGTATATACGCGTATACGGTTAACTTCTTATCGAGAAAAAGTAAGAAAGGCGTTGTTCGCACACACTGTATAATTAGGCCCATCCGTGAATAATTAGATCGAGCTACATTTACTTACCTAGTCCTGCGATGCAACAATGCGTAATTTTATCATCACAGCTTTATATATATATGTACGTAACGAGTGAGCAACGAGTGAGCGTGTTTCATTTTCTTTCGTTTAAAATTACTTGCTTTGAATCGTATAGTCGTTGAGAATCCTGCATATCCAATTAGGTTTGTGCGAATTCTACGTGTTAACAAAATAATCTTTGTTGTTAAATTAATTTTTTGAGATGGCTTCTTTTTTTATTCATCATAACTTTATAATCGACTAAATAATAAACAAATTATGCGATTACTTTTAATCTTTCTATCTATTTTTCTTATAATGTATATATTATGTTATTCAATCGTGCTCTGCTCTTTATTATAATTTTATTCATGGAAACATCTTGTTTCAAAATTTTTGTTATTTGTCGTTCATATTTGTTTAAAGAGATGCAATGATGCCAAATACGGACACGAACGTATCGCGTTGGATCGAATATAAAAAAAGCTAGAAAAATGAACGGATTTTTGTTCAATGTATAACACGTTTATTTAATAATACTCGACAACTTTGAGAAGTAAAAGCGATGAATTACGATGTAACTGGACCGATTCAGCGAGGGAGTCGTTCTCTGTTACGATGTGACGTCTAATTCTGTTGGCGTGCATACGCCCTCGTATAATATAAACTTGCTTTCCTTGGAATTTCCTTGAAATTTTCCTCACGTCGATGTCTACCTCGTTAATAATTCTGTCTTTGCACGACCTCGAAATTTTGTTTTGTTGAATATCGTAGCCTATTTTCGAGCGTAAGCATTCGATTAAAAGATTTCATAAAAAAATCTCGTATTTGTATCGAAATGAAACAATTAGAAATTTATTGATTCATCATATCTCCTAGTTCTATTAAACAAACGTTTTCCTTTACGTAGAAACGTCGTTCGAAGTCATTCAAATAAAGTCATTCGAATGTAGTTTGAAACATTTGAAATCGTTGCACAGTATACTGCCGAGAGAATGGTGCAATTTTACTCGATAAAGATGCTTTTTAAGAAGCCGCGAAAAGTATAATTTCGTTCGGTAACGAGCTACAAAATAACAAACATTTCTATTTTTTATGGGTTTTGATATTTGCTCTTGAGAATGATCGAGCAAATGAGAAACATTAAAAGTGTTAATATCAATGTTTTCTCGAGCTTTTACGATCGTTCGTTTTTTTCTTTTAAAGTGAAAATGTGAAATATATGATTACATAAAACAATGATAAAAAATTAATATTATATAAGAAATCTTTTTTTCTTATTTAGAGTAGAGAATTAAAAAATTCTTTTGGGAAGCAAACAAAATGACAATTATACAAAAGTTTCTTATCAATATTAAAACGACATACAATACATTCGTCTATACGTTCTCAGGTGAGTTCCGGTTCTTGTATATAATGTAGAAAAAGAAAACGGATAACTTTCTTCGTGGGAAACTGTTCGATTGGCAAAAAGGAATTCGGTATGTCGGGAAGGTTCCCCTCTCTTTCGTGAAACTAATTTATGTTGATCTCATAATTTCCGGTACTCGACGAGGAGTATGCTCGTGCCTCGTGCTCGTGCTCGCGCGCGCCTGTTCTAGCGAAATCAGACACTTTCTTACCGTCGCAAGAATTTCGTAACACGGGATGCTGAGAGCATGGCTCATTATGCGTGTCGCATGTGCTGTTAGCATCGATCGTACGAACGAATCTTTTCATACCATCGAGAAAGCACCTATCGATTTGTAATATTTTTTGCAAATTAAAAGAGTACCTTCCAAGATTTAATATAATTTTATAATCTATTTCTTCCTTCTGCTATCGTATACATTTATAAATTTGTATATTTATAATATTAATATCATATCATCTCTATTGGAAGATAACAAACATTTAATTAAAAAATAAAATAATTACGTTCAATCTATCGAGGAGTTTATCGTTCCACTCGAGGAAGCTCGAAATAAAATCGTGTGCGTTCGTGCGCATGCTGTTACTTACGCAGTGAAAACGGAAATGTAACCTATAACAAACTGCTTACATTCTACTCTCTCTCTCTTTCTCTCTTTCTCTTTCTTTCTTTCTCTTACTTTCTCGCTCTCTTCGAATGTCTCTAGTTTCTTTGTTTTTTACATGGACGATCGTTTTACACATATGGCGACACATAGTTTTTTTCTTCTTCTTCCTTTCTAGTTGCGACGATGATTGTTGAAAGTTATTTTTATATTTGATTATTTGAAAATTTATTTCGCGAGCTGTATACTGCATAAGACGAGAGTTCTAAATCGATTTTCGATTACAGAAAGTTAAGGCGATGCCTTGGAACAAGTACATATATATATATATATATATATGTATATTATGTATATATATGTATATATGTATATTATGTATATATATGTATATATGTATATTATGTATATATATGTATATATAGGCATGCGACTGATCCGTCACTCTTATCTAGTCGTTTCCAAATTCTACTTAATTAATCCGTAAAAACATTTTTTTTAAGTCGATGACCGACTGATATATATATGTCTTTGTTTCTCTTCCAAAAAGAACAGATATATTCTTACCGCAATAATTTTAATCTATCGTTGAAAATGGATCACGTAAGTAAATGATTATAATTATTTACTTGCTTAGTAGAACGATTGCTATATACATCGAAATTTTCGGTCCAACTTTCACGTCTTTCTTCGTATATTATTACTTCGATTTCGTTTCGTTCTTTGATTTATTTACGTTGTATAAGATATCGCTATGTAACAAGATCAGCTTTAGAAAATGGTATGATAGACCGTAATTTCGATAGTTTCATCTTTGTGACAAAAGTCGAAGGACGAGAGTTGCTGGCTATCCGCAGCGAAATTGCGAAATGAAATAAAGGTTTTCCTCTCGGTGACCCAGATAGACGTCGAATACCGGAGATTGCCGCCGAAGTAGGCGATCTGATCGATGATCGATCTGACGGTGATTATTGTGAGTCTCCTCGATAGATTGGATTATTCTTATACTACGTACTTTTCAGTCTGTAACCTTGGCTGATTCACTTCCCGTTTTATGTAGAAATTGTATATCTATAACTACATTTACCTATATTATATACGTATAATACAGTAATTAAGAAAAAGAATATTATCCTTCAAAGTATTTCGTAATTTCCTATGATTAATACTTTTTGTCAATTAATCGTGCAGATTAGCTTTAAAATGAATAGCAGCACATACTTATTCTTTTATAAATTATGAATCATATGAATTTTAAGAGCGTTTTGAAAAATTGTCTTATTTATGCCATATCGAAAGAATGCTGTTCGATTTTGTTGTAATATGTAATAATGTGTAAAAATCTACATGGACAAATAAATTTTTGTGGCTGGTTTGTCGTATCCAATGAATTTTAACCTTGAATTTTAATGAAACTGAAATGTCAAGACCCGGGTTAAAATGGTTGGCCTAACTAGATTCGGGTAATAATTTCGTGGCTTTAGCTAATTAAGGCAAGCGATATATACAGATAGCTGACATTTTAAAAATCGGACTACGGCAGGATAATAGATCAACGAAGATGAGAAATATTTGTAGAAATGAGATAATCATGTTATGCATATTTAAGTAGTATATAGATATAGGTATGTGTTGCCTGAAGAGATGACTGTAAATTTCTTAAAAAATATTCTACCAAAATTCATGATCTAATTTACAAAGCTAATTATATACCAATATTTTGATTATATAATAATTGTACCAGAATTAGAAAGTGTATCGGTGATAGATATCTTGATTTTATTCGTTTTTTGATTTGACGATAAATAGAGGTGTTCGGCCTAATGACTTTTTTCATTTTCTTTCTGCTTTTTTAAATTTTTTTATTTACAATCTCACGATCGTGTACGGCAGTAGAGCGTGTAAATGAGAATGTTCGTTTTCCTCGTGAAATGCGCTCAATCCAAGCAGTTCCCGCGATTTATCGCTTTCCACCATCTTAGAAGGAACCAGTGAAGGTTCGAAGTTTCCAAGTAATGGACGTTGGGGATGGAAGAGACGGTATCATTGAACCGTTTCTTTCTCCAGTTTCCCTTCTCTCGCTTTGCCCATTGTCTTGTTTGTCACGATTCATATTCTTTCTTCTTCCTTCGTCCGCTCGGAGAGTTACACGAATGCGTTAGATAATTTTATCGACGCGAGATCGAGACACATAATAATAAGAACATTGCTTCATTGTACGGAAATATTCGATGTAAATTCGTCGGATCCATAGGCATAAATAATACAGTGCTTTGTCTGAGAATTTCGATTACATAAAGAAAAAGTTTCGTGAATATGTTAGGTGACGTTTTAAACAAATGGTTGAGAATGAAATCATAATAGAATTTTGTCCTATATCTAAAATATGTTTTTTAAACACATTTCAAAAAATAAAAAAAAAAAAAATAGAAAGTAAAACCGAGGCTACTTAATTTATAAACGGGTCTGGCATTTTTCTCGTTTCGTACTTTCATCGCGTGAATATTCACTACTTATTTCGTTTCTCAATTTCATCAGAATTTTTATATTATTCGTATAATATTAATATGAAGGTATATTTACCCGAGAAGTCTTCCAACTTCGGGACTTCTATAAAAGTCACATTTATGCAGTGGTCTTCGTGGATCATCGGGAAATCTTTGACCTGCAGCCTGACATAGAGCACGGTAGATTTGGAATTGAAGGATTCCAGCCACGAAATTTCTGTAAATATAAACAAAACGATATATCGATGGACACAAAAAAGTAACTTGAGTATGACACTTTCGAATGGTTGAAAACATATTATTTCTAATAAAGTGCATGAGATTATTTAAATATAGATATGTCATTATTATTTTTTATAAATGTAATATATAAATAATTTAAAAATTTTCCTGATGAAGTTTTTGATAAAAATAATATTTGTCAACGAATTATAAAATCCAATGATCTAGCTTGAAACGTTTCCGTGAATTTTGAAAAATGATTTTCAAAGTCAGGGCTATCGAGGTGAAGCTCTATTCTCGGTCTCTTTTCGTCGAGTAATTCGATGCCATCGTCAATACTTATCTTTCTCTAATAGATTGATTCTACGATAGCAAGAGAGAAAGAGAGTGTCTATATATGGTTATATATACGTGTTTGTGAGATGGGGTCATCCTGAATACGAGCACGCGAAGACATCAGCGTTTCACTGAGATTCCTCATCGGCAGTGACCTTTACGTAATGGCGATGGAGGTAGATCGAAATCGCGAATGTCGTTTCTACTTTCCACAATTAAGGTATGATTTTAAATGGTTAAGCGATCATTTTATTACTCGAATATGTTGCGACCGATTTTTCTCTCTTTATTTTTCCTCTTTAACATCCAATACATCTAAATTTTCGGCAATGAGCTCACAATTTTATTGATTTTCATTGTCTTTGAGAATTAGGATGTAGAAGTAGTTAATTAAGATCTTGAGTTCTGATTGGGAAAAATCGAAGTAATATTTAATTTATTTTTCTTTTTTTATATCTATATACAACATTATCACTTTTTCGCGTAAAAGAATATATAATTCGTGCTCTTTCGCGAACGTTGAAAGTAAAACAGTGACGTTTTCAATTTGAATTATACACGATAGCGTAATATCAAAAAAGAAACCGAGGAAGTGAAAATATGTCATTTAATAAAATCAAAGATCGTTTGAAGTTTTATTGAGTGACCTTTCGCGAACGTGCTCATGTTTCTAAGAGAATGTAGGCGAGTGTACTCGAGGTATTATAAAAACAGTGAATTTAATTTGATCTTGATTTCCTCGAGGGAAAGAAAATATAGCTGTCTCGTTTGTCTTACTATTAGATCAGGTTTACATGCATCAATGAGTTTGAGATCTTCGCCGTGAATGGCGAACCGTGATTCATCCATTTACATTGATGATCCAGCTCCATTCACAATCGGAAATCAACTAGAAAAATTGTTGGATCGTCGATAATTCGTCCACGTTTTTTCGTGCTCAAATAATCTCACGATTTCAAATGAATGCGTGCTTGCCAGCTTTAAGGAGGATGTTACCTGACTTATATTGATATTTTTTACATGTTATATATACATTTTACATCGTTGTTTTTTACGCCTTGTAAACATTGCGAAAGTCAGTTGCGTAAAGTTTGAGAATTTTGCCAGTTGTACGATTCTAAACGCGGAAGTCGTTTAACGTGGCTGGTAAATTTGCAATAGAAAATGAAGATCTTATAAACAGGAAAATAAGGTGCTGAAACGAAATAGTAAATGAGAATGAAAGAATTAGTAGGATTGTTCCGGTACTTTTATTAATCATGCTAAAGTATTCACGGCGAAAGGTTGAGTCGTTCTTTTGCATAAATATATACATATGTATCTATAAATAGAGTAATAGTTGCTAAGTAATTACGTAGTATAATCGTAAAAGGGGTGATCATAGAATATCGGCAAATTCTGATAAAGAAAAGATATTACTCGAATCTTTTCGAATATGACTTATTCATAATTTTCGCTTTCATATAAGAAAGAAATAAAAGCATATCTTACACGGTAGAGAATAAAATGGGGATCGCAACGCTCGCCTTGTCGATCCGCGTATCCCACGAAAGGGAGTAATGGTTCATGTAGCAGTGCGATCGTAGAGAGATAAATCGTAGGTGAGCTTGTCTCGGGGTATGTAACGTGCCATAACTATAGCACGATAGGCAAACGGCTCTTGCTTCTGTCTAGAGCCGTTTGCCTATAGACGTGGATATATGTATCTGTGTATCTGCGATCTGAGTTAGATGAAGGAAGAAACGAAAATGAAACCGTGACAGAGAAAGAGAGAGGATGGTTGATGACGTGGGATCGACGCTCGATTCGTGCCGATCGTTGGACTTGTTTCATGCGATCGAGAGCTAAGAGAAAAATGAAATTCTCTTTGTACATTTTGTTAGTACAATTGTTTCTAAGATTACTGCTAATGCTACCTACATAATATTAGCTTAACTCTAGACTAGTTTTATTAAAGAAAATCGAATATTTACAACATTTGAATATTTAATTATCTCAACTTTTTTGAAAATTTTCCCTCTGATTCAACGCATAACGTGGGAAGATCTCATCTATTTAAAGATATGATAGTTAATTAGAATTGTCGAACACTTTTGTAAACGTAAAGGAAGGAAAGAAAAAATGATCGAAGAAAGGAAGCGGAGAAAAAAGTCACATTGACAACCAGAACACGGACTTTCGCTTTTTTTTTGTAAACCTCTTAGAATCAAAAATATCGTACTTATTACGCATCGGGAAGATCAAAGACATTTGTGCAAAGCTTTCAATTTTTTAATTGTTATTGTCAAATGTATACCTCCTTCTGGAAAGTGTCTTTTACTGAAACTTGTATTATTGCGCAAGAATCACCATGTCAAGATGCATTGATTCTATTTATGTGCGATGACTACAAGCTTTACGATTTATGCGAAGAGGGAAGAAAATTCTGAGATCGATCGGTAGTAAGAGAGAGGCGCGAAATGAACGGTTCTTGTTGGACGAGTGTAATAGCGATTGGAACGAAAGAATTCTCCCTCTCTTTCTTTCCATCATTTTTTGTAACAGATCGAAATATAGAAAAAAATATTGACGACTACAACGACAACGACGATAACGATGACGAAGAGAACGAAATCTAAAAGAGAAAGAGAGAGCGGGTGTGTATGTGGGGGACCAATCCCTATCTCTTTCGTTCTCACTCTCTCGCTCGTTTCCTCGTTCGAGTCTGTTCCAAAGGGGAGTGGTGGGACCATCGTCGTTCGAAGTGAACAAAGAGGTGTAATGTGGGGGGTATATGGCGTGCTCTTGGGCCCGGGGTCCGTATTGCGAAGGCGAAAGTGTGCCGTGTATATAAGGCCCCGAACGAACAGCAATCAGCATCCAGTTCACTCCTGGACGTACCCAGAACATCGTGAGAGCCAAAATGAGAATCCTGGTACGTCGAGATTATCCGAGAAGCGGTCCTTCGAGAAACGCGAAAGCATAGATCGATTATAACGCGCCAGTGAAAAGAACAGGCAAAAGTTAATTCTGAAAATATCGGAAATATTCGGGAAAGTGACGATCGATTTGGTGGAAAAATAATTCGCGAAATAAAGCTGATTATCGTTATTTATCGTTAATTTGTCTGTCAATTGTCTCAATTATTCGACCAATCATCCGTTTTGGAAAAAATCGTAAATCTCGGTATTTTCGGAATCACCGATCAAGAAGATTCGAACATAATCGAATTTGTCCATATTTTTTAGATCTATTTAGCGGTAGTCGCTCTTATATTCTCGGTCGTTTGGGCCGAGGAAGCCGGAAAAGCGGCGGAAGACAAGAGCGTGGCATCAAAGAAGCAGGAGAAGCGTGGCCTTCTTGGTCTTGGATATGGCTATGGCTATGATGCTGGATATGATGTCGGATCGGCTGGACATGGTGGTGTGGAATTGGGCCACGGATATGGTGGAGGATATAGCGGAGGGTACGACGGCGGATATGGCGGAGGGTATGGTGGCGGACACGAGCACGTTAAGACCGTGACCGTAGTTAAGAACGTAGCCGTGCCATATCCCGTGGAGAAGCACATCCCTTATCCGGTGGAGAAGCCAGTACCAGTCCCTGTAAAAGTTCCAGTACCACAACCCTATCCGGTAGAGAAGCATGTGCCTTATCCAGTGAAAGTTCTTGTCAAGGTCCCAGTCCACGTGCCACAGCCTTACCCTGTTGAGAAGAAAGTTCCCTACCCAGTACATGTTCCCGTAGATAGGCCCTACCCTGTCAAGGTCTTGGTTCCGCAACCCTACCCGGTTGAAAAGCAGGTACATGTTCCTGTAAAGGTCCCAGTACCACAGCCCTACCCCGTTGAGAAACCCGTTCCCTATCCAGTCAAGGTTCCCGTCCATGTACCAGCACCCTATCCGGTCGAAAAACTCGTACCCTACCCAGTGAAGGTACCAGTTGATCGTCCGGTCCATGTCCCAGTTCCCAAACCCTATCCAGTTCACATTGAGAAGCCTGTACCTTACCCAGTTGAAAAACCAGTGCCCTATCCCGTAAAAGTACCTGTTGACAGGCCCTACCCAGTGACCGTTGAGAAGCCCGTAGCCGTTCCAGTGAAAGTACCTGTACCTCAGCCCTATCCGGTAGAAAAGCCAGTACCATATCCGGTGGAGAAGCCTGTACCATATGCGGTCAAGGTGCCAGTCGACAGACCGTACCCGGTACATGTCGAAAAACCAGTACCATACCCAGTTGAGAGACCAGTACCGGTTCCAGTAAAGGTACCGGTAGCTGTACCAGTCCATCATGGTGGTTACGAGAATAGTTATGGTGGTTACGAGGGTGGAAGCGATGGATATCACTATGGTCATCATTAATCGATCAACAGGCATAACTCCCTCATCATTAGTGGCTTCTAGGTCGAGGACGATCGACGACGACAACGACGAGGAATCAGCTTGATATCCAGCATTTCTCATAGTATATTACGCATAATAGGTATGTTGTTGGCGTCGTCATCGTCATCATCGTCGTTGAGCTGCACTTCGATAGACACGCACTTGTACCTGGATCCGATATCTCGATGAGAGAGGTTCGTTACGAGTTTGTATCGGATTTCGATCGTATCCTCGAGATCGGTCGTAATAATAAAGAATAAAAAGAAATCCGGAGCCCGCGGCACAGCGACGTGTGCCAAGCTAAAGAGGGAGAAAAAAAAATTAGTTAAGATGCTCGAGCTTTTTAGTGAAACGCGTTCTCTCCCTTATCTTACTTTTGTACCGAGATAGCAAAGTATGTATTTTTTTTTATATAAAATAATATAATTGTGACAGAAAATTACACATGCTCTCGTTATTTCTTTCCTACTATATTCCTGTATCTCTTTTCGTTTTATTTTAAGTAGTTCAATGAACATTGAACTATTACAAAATTTATACAAATATGTTGAGAAGATGACAAAATTTTCTATTTCCTATTGGGGGACGTAACGTTACGTAAGATTAATGCTTGAAATTATTACGTTGCCACACGATGAAGGAGAGCCATTTGAAAAGCATGTAGAGAGAAAAGGAAGCGAGCAACGGTGACGTTACCTTCTTTCACGGTACGTGCAGCTTTCCAATGAAAACTTTCGTTTTTCGAGGAGACTTACACATCGATATGTTCGTACGTATGTATATCTTGAGAGAAGTGATCCTATCGGTGTCACGAAATTGAGTGAGACATCGCTGACCCACTTGATGGCCTCTGCCAAGTTGTTTTCCTTAAAATCGATAAACGATTACCCTCTCAACTCCTTACTCTTCGTGTGGCCATCATTTTTATGCATCTCATAATTTTTCTTTCCCTTATTCAGTTTCTGAGAAATGTACGAGACTATCGACTGCAGACGGTGCGTCTTTCTGACCCAGTTTTTACTTGGTATAATAATAGAGATGATACGTTGAAAAGAATTCTATAATTTACGAGCTCGCGTAATAAATCTTATACCGAAAATGAAGATAAGTATAATGGAAGCGATGAAAGCGTAATAATTTCAGTTAACTTCGAATGTCTATTTGACAAATATCGATGGTCTTAAGAAATATGTGTTTCATGGACGTATAATATAAATATATATGTATTAAGAAAAGTCTATGTAAAATTAATGCGTTTATGTAAAAATATACGTAATCATTATTCCGATCTTGAGCATTCAATAAAATGTAGGAAGATTGAAGGAAAAATATCTATCGGTCCTTGCTCCACTTTGCTCGTATAAGAGGAATCAAGACGATTTGATTGCCTTTGCCACTCGATTTACAAGTGACTTGTTCATGGAAGAGGTGTTATGTAATCCGACCATTAGCGCACGCGACAACGAGACAGAAAGTAAGTATTCCCTTCGCCACGAAACAAGCGATCCTTCCGTTAGAAGCTAATTCCTTCCTTTTGTCCTTTTATTTACTTATGATACACGGTTTTACTTTTACCTATTTCTCCTCTGTTAATCTTTTTTTCTCATCAATTTCCTTCTATTTGCTAATTCATTTTTGTATATAAAAGTAAAATATTTAACGATTCATTGACAATGAATTAGCGTGTAAAATGTCGAATGAAATTGTTAATTTTTTATTATACTTTCATCTACATTTTATTTATTATCTTTTACCGACTGATCTACTACGGTGACAACAAGAATCACTTGATGCATCATGTCGGTAAGAAAGTACTTCTCACTTTTCAACGGACGCTAATCCTTGACTTGATAATACTGTTTTGTACCCTTTATTTAATTAAAAATAAACAAATAAAAATTAAACATTTATATAAATCAAAATTAATGAAAAGAAAAAAATATTAAAAAAAAAAAAATTCTAAAAACAAAATGTTCACAGAAAAGAACAGAAAGGATATTACTTAAAATATAAAGATAGCAATGACAAAATCAAAGCAATTAAAATAGCTAAACGCCAAAATTTGTGTTCACCGTGGCATACGCTGTATTTCTTATTGTATAATAGAAAAAAAAGATATTCCTTGATCCTTTAGCTTGGTTGCTAAATATCCGGCTAGTATGTGTCGAGAATTGACTACAAGATAGATACGATACGTGAAGTTCGAGATAATATGGTACATCATGATATCTAGGCTTACATTGTTAGAGATAATATTAAATGCGAAGATAATCATGCCTTTGAGACATCATATCTACTTGTTGAGGTAAAAGAACTGAGTTTCTTCGTGAGAAGTAAACGTACGATTTCTTTTTTACGGAAGCTTCTTTAATGTGAAAAATAATATTCTATTTTGATTAAACTTTCTTCTATTTTTTTTTTGTAATTAAAGAAACGTGATTTAAGTAAATAATTCTTGCAGATAACTAATGTAAATAATTCAGGATAGAGAAGTATTTTTAAATATTATTTTATGCAGAAGACACTCTTAGAGTACTTTTAATTTGTGTAAAAATTTCCAATTCTGTTTGTAGAAAAACATATATCTAAAGAAACACAATATGGGGAAACGTACCATCTAGGTATTTTAATCTTAAGAAAGTATAAACGCTGTTTATACTTGGCATGGCATGGTAAGGTACAATTTGATCATTCATAAAATTAAATCTCATTTTATAATGAGAAAACAAGCTTCTCGCGGAATCTAGCCAATTGTCAATACTTCGTGCTCTCACCGTAGCGTGTTCTCCTATCATTCGAAGGCATCGAATGAACGATCGTGATCGTGTATGTACCGTGCAGTTAATTACATCTATAACACCATTACCATAGAGCATTAAATGCTTGGCACGAAACGAGATTTCGCTTAGCGTATCTAAAAGAAATTTGAAACGTATACTAACAGCGATACTATCTTCTATCTGTCGAGAAACTGTGAAATGGTTCGAAGGAATGCAATTGATCTTTTTCATATTATCAATTGCCATATTTCAATTATCATTGAAAAATATTATCAATGATTTCGAAAGAAACATGTGCATTTAAAATGGGGATACGTAGAAATATACTTAGCATGGGGTTGATATTAGTATTAAAAATATACTCTATATTTCTCTGTTACTATTTTTGTTATATTTTTCTATTAGTTCTTTCATTGATACGACTACAAAGAGACAAATTCTCTAAACAAGTTTGATAATCGTCAAGAATATACTACGCCGAGCCGAGAAAATAGAGGTTCATGAAAAAGAGACTCTACCAAAACGAGTAGTCGATAGAAACAGGACATATCGTCTACGTATCTCTCGTGCATCACAATCCGATGTTTTTTTTTGAAGCGACCAGGCTTGTTATCTCCAAGTTTAAGTTTCACTCTTGACAGTTTCCATCAAGAGTACAACGGCTTGAAAATGCGAAAGTGGTTTTATTCCCCTCTCGCAAGATAACCAAGAATAAGAAAAAGGTGCATGTGCAGCCTCTGGATCAGCGGCAACGTTGAAGACGTATATAACGTAGAAAGATCGCAGAAACGATCTATTTTATTGTTCTTCGTGGCTTAAGATAGCTACATATATCTAGAAAGGAACAAGGAGACGCGAAAGAAGGACGAAAAGAAACCTTGAAGAAGTTTCCTCAATGGGTTGTACGGTGCGTTTTTCGAGATTTAAGTGTCAAGATGATTTCCTAATGCGATTGTGAAATTTTGGTGTTAATGGAGGTGATAGAAATCCAATCGTTTATCAATTTGGTTCTTCGACAGAGCCACGCAGCGATAGTCCTGGCGTTTTTCGTAGCCGCTGCTGTAAGTAGTCCAGCTCAATCCAATTACCAGAAAAAGATCTATTTCTACGAAGATGTACCCGTTGAAAGGTACGAGCAAAGAGTCTTTTACGTTCGACCACAAAGATTCATAAGCAAGAATAGACGAAATTATCTGAAGGAGGAGAAATTGTCCGAATATAGAGAGAATGAATCTATAGCACATAACTTTGATTACAAGGATCCTATTGCTCTTCCATGTACGTCAACTTCATCTTATTCAATATTTATGTTTACTATTTCGAATTATAATAAATTACTAAAAACATAAACCATTTATCTCTAGCCGAACAATACGACGATCATAACGAAGAGGATTATAGCGAGGAGAATGGTTATTCGTTGGAGTCACACGTTCCCGAAGAAAACTCACACGAGAGCCACTTTCTGGGACATGACTTAGATGAAAACGTTCACAAGACGATCACAATCATTAAAAAAATCGCCGTACCGTATCCTGTAGAGAAGATTATACGATATCCTGTGGTAAAAAAAATACCATATCCGGTAAAAATACCAGTATCGCAACCCTATGCAGTAGAGAAACAAATCCCTTATCCCGTAAAGATTTATGTAAAGGTTCCCGTGAAAATTCCGAAACCGGTACCTGTGATAAAGGAGGTACCGTATCCGGTGAAGATACCAGTTGATCGACCTGTTCCTGTTAAAGTTTATATACCAGAACCCTATCCCGTAGAAAAGAAGGTTCATTATGAAGTTAAAATTCCAGTTCCAGATCCCTTTCCAATTGAACGAAAAATACCAGTTCCTATAAAGGTTCCGATACATGTTCCACAACCTTATCCAGTCGAAAAAATCGTCCGTTATCCTGTGAAAATTGAAGTTGAAAAGCCAATACCGGTACCAGTACCAAAACCGTATCCGGTTCCTGTTAATAAACCAGTTCCTTATCCGGTCGAGAAACCAGTACCCGTTCCGGTGAAGGTCGAGGTGCATAGACCGATTCCAGTACCGGTTGATAAACCAGTACCGGTAAAGGTCAAGGTGCCAGTGCCTGCACCCTATCCGGTCGAGAAGGAGGTGCCTTATCCGGTGGAAAAACCAGTAGCTGTGCCAGTGAAGGTACCGGTCGAGCGACCGATCCCTGTTCATGTGACTAAGCACTTGCCTTATTCCGTTCCTAAGCTTGTTCCCTATCCCGTTAAAGTTGAAGTACCTATAGATGACGAGGTCAACGAACATCATATAGTCAGATCTGAATATTATAATTCTCACGAAGAAGGATATCTATAAATTATTCTTCATAATCCGTGTGATATAACTTTCCTCCTTCATATTCCTTTCGTAAAAAAATGGCATTGCTACTTTATGATATCATGACGTGGACTATCTGAAGCTTATGATTATTTTTGTTATTGTAAATAAAAAATCATGTTGATAGTATACGATCGTAGAAAGTTAGTTTCTAGAAAGTAGCTTTTAAAAAGAACATTTTAATTAATTGTAAATGTAAAACCGTAATTATAAGTTCTTTGACTTGTCTTAATGGATTAGTGATGTAGAAGACACAAATGGCGCCATCTTATCGAACTCTGTGAAACATTAATCTTTCCTTAGACAGTGACTAATACCGGTTGTTGGAAAAGAGATAATCTATGTTATTTAAATAAACAAGTTAAAAAATTTTTGTGATTTTTTTTTCATGAATCCTATCCCATATAAATAATATTATATATTTTTTTCATTCTCTATTATTTACATATATTTTTAAATAGAATAACGATGGTTTAGTTATCTGCAGGTGATAACTCATCATTTTGTTCGAGTCACATTCACTATAATTTCACATTCTACGGTGTTAATTTCGAGAAATTTTTCCATTTATCAGATTCGAGAACCTGAGATTACTTGCATATCATTCTTTTTAATAGAATAGCATTAAAAACAAAGAGTTCGTTTATCATATCATTAATTATGATACACCTCGATGGCTTCAGTAAGATATATCAAATTTAAGCGGAAGGAAAGTATGCTCAGCTAGGAAGCAGCAAATAGCGTTTTATCGAAGCTCATTACAAGAGATATTGTAATTATTATCATTAGTTAGTTCAAGGAAGAAACAACATTTTAACGCGTATTTCTCAATGTTTATTATAAAGTCGAAAAGGTTTTAAAGAAGTCATGCGACACATAGAGACAATTAAAAGATATTACCGGATTAGTCGAGCGAGAAAGTTATACGCGAGTTTGTAAAGGCATAACGGATAGAACTTTTACACCTGTTTCGGTTTCACTGCACTTGATACATGAGAATCTACAGAATGCCTTAATGAATATTATATAGTAAGCGAAAGCGCTAGTTTTGTAATTTCATCAAACAAAAGGTGCGATAGCCGTGAAATGAATCAATGAGGAAATGATTTATAAAATATTTTCTTTTTTTCAGAATTAAAAACTAGAAAGGGAAAAGAAAAATAAATGATGATAATATTCGTTAAGAAAAATAGATAGTATTCTTATTTAAACCGGATGTTCTTCACCAAAATGTACGATCGATTTTACGACGACTCATAGAAAGTATTCGTATACTTTTGTCATTAGCCAGGATTATTATTACTTTTAAGTAGTCGTCATAAAACTGATGGGCTAAAAAAATATTGCGGAGCGGTGTATACAAATGTATATACCTCTTCCTTACGCATTAAATGCGTAATACGATTTTGTTCAATCCTGTCTTACCTAAAATTGCAGTCTTCCATTAATAGTCCGGTAACACCAATTATCACATGTTACTAATTCTTTACTGGATTCATGCTTCCAGTTATTTGCTCAAAGAATTTCGAATACTTTCAAAGACATATTACTCTTCGTTACTTGGCAGGTAGCGTTGCAAGTATTAGAGTCCCATGAAAAAATAATGGCGACCATTTAGGCGTGGATAATTGTCATGAACACGAGCTTGTACGGACTATAAAGGTCCAGCAGGTTTAACTGGGGAAAGTGGTTCGCGGTGTATAAATAATAGTCGAATAGCACACCGTTTCATTTCAGTTTACATTGATCTCTAGTATCGATTCGATTCATTTCATCATGAGTCATCTGGTACATTCATTTTTATATGAACTTCTTAAACATTTATCTTATTCATAGTAGTTAATTAACGAAACACTATTCCAAAATACAGGAACAAATTCTGATCGCCTTCTTATGTCTTGGAATCGTCTTAACATCCTCGGCCAATCGAAAAGAAGATCTCGAGAGGGCAGCAGAGCTAGCAGTAGAGAAAGCTGCTGAAAGGGCAGCGGAAAGGGCAGTAGAGAAAGCTTTAGAAAGTGGGAACACAACTACAGAATCAAAAACAATTCGGGAATCATATTCGAGCGTTAGAAAAGATGGAAGTCAAGAGAAGACTAGTAACGAATATTCGGGTATTCGATACTCCGATTTAGGAGACGACGAAGATATAGAATCCGATACAGAAACTGACACTGATGACTGGACTCATTCCAAAAGTAGCTGGATCGGAAGACAGGAGTTTTGGAAAAGAAGCTTCGGAAGCGATTGGATAGGCGATCATCAACATGAAAAAGTTAAAACGATCACGGTAGAGAAGAAGATACCGGTACCAGTGACGGTAGAAAAGAAGATACCGTTTACAGTTTACAAACACGTGCCCTACGAAGTTAAGGTTCCTGTACTTCAACCCTACACCGTTGAAAAAAAGGTACCCTATCCCGTGAAAGTGTTCGTGAATACGCCCGTAGAGATACCGGAACCGTATCACGTCGAGAAACAGGTGCCTTACGAGGTGAAGGTCGAAAGACCTGTGCCGTACAAGGTCGAGGTGCCGGTACCACAGCCATATACCGTTGAGAGAAAAATACCGGTGGAGGTGAAGGTACCGGTGCCACAGCCGTATACTGTAGACAAGACCGTGCCGTACGAAGTAAAAGTACCTGTAAAAGTACCAACACCTTACGAAGTCGAAAAAAAGGTTGCCGTACCTGTCAAGGTCACTGTAAATCGACTATACCCCGTTCCAGTACCCAGACCTTATCCCGTCGAAGTTCAAAGACCTTATCCCGTTGAAGTAAATAAACCTTATCCCATTAAAATCAAAGTTCCAGTAAATGCACCCTATCCTGTACCAGTGGAGAGACCTGTACCAGTACCGGTCAAGGTACCACAACCTAAACCCTACACAGTTGAAAAGCCTGTACCCGTGGAAGTGTCTAAACCGTATCTAATACCGATTAAAGTCCCTGTAGATAAGCCTTACAAAATTTACGATGAAGCACGCGTACCTGTACCAGTTCCGAAACCCTTCCCTTATTGGGTCCAAGTCCCGCTGCCAGTTAAGCTAGGTAGGCAAAGAAATGAACATCATTCCGCAGAAGCTTTCGCGAGTAGGAACAATTCGATGGATAGTAAAAATACAAACGATGCTTCTTATAATTTGAATATGTCCTTGAAAAGTTAATAAATTATAAGTAGTTTGATGAATTTATCGAATAATTTATTATTTCTTATTGTTAAGCTGCGTAAATTTTTGTATTCTCTTATATGGTTTTACGATAAATTTAAGATAGATTGAAAAGACTAACGTGATTTGTTAAAAACGACATATGTATATTTTGGCACTTTATACTTGTATCGAATAAAGATGGAACGTTTCGTTTTTTTTCTGTGATTTCTGTGAAATAATTCTTTGACCTTTCTCCAATAAATAATTCTTGTGCATTTGATTTAGTCCGTTCTGTAAGAAGTAATAAAGTGAATTTTGTTATTGTTTGTTGAAAAAAAAATTTTTATTATGTTAAATGAGAAAATTATTCGAACAAAATTAGCTTCATTCTATATTTCCTCAAACTATTCACGGACTATCGAAATTGTTCTACCATCGTGAATTAATGATAAATGAAAATACGTTTATATATGAAAATTTATGATAAAAATAAATGAACAATCATGAACAACCAGAACGTCTATCACGAATTACATCGGAATATAAAAGATAGCTCTTCATCTCGCTTGGCATCACTCAACTTTTCCCCTATCCCTTCCCTCGCTACTCCTTATATTTATCCTTGCGTTTACTTCCTAGGACTCTCTCTTTTGTATCAAAGTTGAGTTCCTCATTTCGGTTGAGAAGAGCCATGCTGTTGCGAATGCTTAAATGCAAGTGTGCCGCGTCACGAGACAGTTGGGAGATATGTATAAGTGATCAGAGTAGGGAGACGAGAAAGAAGAGATGGAGAAATGGGAAGGGGAAGCAGAAAAGGAGAGGAAAGGGAAAAAGAAGACTTTTAGCAAAGAGAATGTATGTATACGAAAAGCTTGGAACGGATCAAAAACGTAGAATAGAAAAGAAAGATATCTAAATGTCCTACAGATTGCTGGGGGAATACATTATAGCATTTAAACGTAGTTATCCAGTCTAATATATTAGAAATAGTTAAGATCATTAAATCAATTATACTTTACCTATAATTTAGAAAACTAGTTAGGCGATAGCTCTGTGACGGTTAGAATGGAATAAATCATCCATGGTTGTCTAATACGACATTACAATTTCGAACATTATAGAAATGATTTAGATGGTTAAATTAGTTATGTACTAATGTAAAAAATTAGAGAATCAATTAGGAGGTGGTTGTTGCGTTTTAAGTAAAATCGCGAGTGGCTTCCTAGATATCATTTACGCAACGTTCGATAGATCGCTCGAAAGGGAAGTAAAACGAGAATGGAAACGCACCAAAGCGCGTTACGGAATCATCGTCGCGTGCATTTAAGATTTAGAAAAATGCCTACGCGTCTACGTGAACGTCTACGGAGTGTAATAGAATGTTCGCGGTATAACAGACGTGGTGTGTTTCACTTTTCCGCAAGTGTGCAGAGGGGCTCCCCGTTTTATGTCAGGGGAAAGCGGTCTATAAAGACGGTGCTACTTTCGGGGGAAGTATTCAGTAAACTCTGGACATTGGCTGGGCCGCGCGAGAACTGAGAATCATGAGAATTTGGGTGAGTTTTCGATATTCTACATATTCTCTAATCGATGGATAGTTATAACTTATTGTTCTTTTGATATTTTATTGATTATTCCCGAGAATGAAGAAAACTAATTTCTAATCAATTTATCGCAGCACATTATATTTTTTCTTGGCCTCCTAACTTTGGTGGTTTGCGAAGAGAATGAGAAAAACATCATCAAAGATAAAGACGCCGAAGCTGAGAATAAGGCCAACAGTGCTTATACCGAGAAACGACAAGACAAACGCGGACTCAGTCATTTAGAGGGTGGTTATGAGGGCCATGACAACGGTTATGGTGGTGGTGATCATGGGGGTGGCGAAATCTCTTCGTCGGGTGGAGATGGAGGTGGATACGAAGGTGGATATGGAGGTGATGACGGTGGCAAGGTCAAACAAATAACTATTGTGAAAAACGTTAAAGTCCCTTATCCAGTAGAGAAGAAAGTACATTACCCGGTTGAGAAAGAAGTTCCATATCCAGTCAAAGTACCGGTACCACAACCATATCCGATCGAAAAGAAGATACCTGTACCTGTGAAGGTTCTTGTAAAGGTGCCCGTTCATATACCACAACCGTATCCAGTGGAAAAGAAGGTGCCCTATCCTGTGCATGTACCGGTCGAAAGGCCGGTACCTTACAAAGTTTATGTACCACAACCGTATCCGGTCGAAAAGAAGATACCATATCCGGTGAATGTACCAGTGCCACAACCGTTCCCGATTGAAAAGACAGTACCATATACGGTAAAAGTACCAGTCCACGTACCAGCGCCCTTCCCAGTGGAAAAACCAATTCCGTTTCCGGTCGAAGTCCCAGTCGAGAGGCCCTATCCCGTACACGTACCGAAACCATATCCGGTGGCAGTGGAAAAACCTGTACCGGTACCAGTAGAAAAACCAGTGCCTTATCCTTTCAAGGTTCATGTGGAAAAGCCTGTGCCCTATCCAGTCGAAAAACCGGTACCTGTACACGTTAAAGTACCAGTACCGGCGCCCTACCCTGTAGAAAAACCTGTACCGGTTCCAGTCGAGAAGCCTGTGCCTTACCCCGTTAAAGTACCAGTCGAACGACCAGTCCCCGTTCATGTATCTAAACCGGTTCCTGTGCCAGTAGAAAAACCAGTACCGGTTCCCGTGAAAGTACCGGTTCCGGTACCTGTACATCATTATGAATCCGGTGGTTCTTTCGAAGGATCCAGTGACTATGGATCCAGTTACGGTGAACATTCCTACTGAGAGCTTTTAATTTTTTCAGATGCATAAATTATATTTTTTATTCTTTTGACGATGGCGGACCGCCGACCATGATGATCGTCTTCTTGTGAGAAATCTTTGAGAAGGTTGCTCTCAAGAATACGTCCAAATTTTTTTTTTGCTCGAGCAACAATGGTCGATGATATTTATTCGTCGAGCCTTTCTTTTTTTTCTTTTGTATTGAGAAAAGAACGTAAATGACATTAGTATTCTTTTCTCAAAGGGCACTTATATTTTTGGTAGATGTAGCCGATGATGTCACTTTAATTTCTAAGAAATAATATAATACATTTGATACAGTCACATTTGGTGAATGCACTATGTGGAAACGTTTGTATATTTTTCATAACGGCGTCTTTTGTATCATCTTTTTCACTTCTTTTGAATAAAACCAAAGAGAAAAGGAGAATGTCTTTTAATGATATACTCATTATGTAATCGCAATTACCACCCTATTATATCCTTCACGCTCGATTGTGAGTAAAAGTAGACAATTTGATTTGGCATAATATTCTAGAAATTTTTACATGAAATGTAAGCTACTATTTGCCTAATTAAATGTTCCTAATTAACGTTCAACTATTAACATGGTAAAAAACTTTCATAGGATTAGTAAGGCGAAGGATAGCAATCTAATTTAATATTCTTTGACAGCGATGAACTTTATATATCCCATTTCTACAATAAATTAATAGTAATGATAACCGATCGAAATTTATCGTAGCTCGTACATCAGATGTAGGTTTTAAGTGCGAGGAGAAAGGCTGTTGATCGCTACTCTGGTGAAAACGAAGCACAAAGGAAAACATACATCTATCGAAAGTGAAATCATTCGCTTTCAGATTTTGATGCTCTTTAGGTAGATACTTACATCGTAGATGTTACAGTGTTGAAATAACATAATAGTGTGATTAAAAATAAAAGTATGAACGTTACCAGATATATATGTATGTATGCGTGCATGAACATATATGTGTATATATTGAATATTATGTTAATAATAATTTTTAAACTTACCGAATATATGGAATATTAGCGGGAATGTGATACTTTGCACCAGGGTCGAAATCATCTTCGGATCTGAGGACAGGTGGTTTCACACCGCTATATTGTTCCTTCAATCTGTGCCAGTGACAATTATATTCTTCTCGGTTGATGTAGCCACGAAAAATGTCCCATCGCCATTTGTCCACGGCGAGGCTGAACGGAAGAAGGACCAATTTTTCCATGGCCAAGGAAAAGAGATAATTAATATCGGCCGCAGGCTCGTCGATGTACTTGTTTGCTAATCCCAAAGTTTGAAGATGACGCGGAGTAGCTACACTCAGTGCCACAGCTTCACCGATAGCTTCGTGGAAGCCTATTTTTTAGATACAATCGTTTACGTTAGATTGTCTGAGACAATTGAGTAATAAAACATTATTAGCCTTAACCTTACTTTCTTTCTTCCAAGTAATAAAATTAGGTTTCAATAAAATTCTAGCTGATTAGTTACTAGTAAACGAATCTGATAAAAGTACAATATATAGGGTGTTTCCTATTTAAATGCTTTGTTCTATATGTTATAAAATTCTTAAATTATTGTATAAACGTCACGGTTCGATTATCGAAGGATATTATAAATTCTGGGCTTAACGAATTAAACATTATTATACTATTTCTTTATGCTTGATTTCTAAATTTCATATAAACCCAGTTCGATATATTGACTTTTTCAATCGATTTCCCGTGTACCGGGTGGCAGTACGTTCCGGTGAGGGCGAACGACCGAGCGTTGCGACGGTGAAAGCGTGATTATACTGTAATAAAAATATTTTAACATCCAACGTCTCTTAGCTAGTAGACCGTTCGCTACGAGAGCGAGTTTATTCGTGAAGCTCGCGAATCTACCTCGAGCGTATCCGTTCGGCTCTCGCTTTCGCCCTATTACTTGTAAAAACAGTAGTGTAGCGAGAGCCCTGGGCCTACCGGAAGTGAAGATAGAACGGACGAGATGTTTATGTAATCGCGTGTCGTCCGTTGTGTCTTGGACAGTTACGCTGACCGTTTTAATTCGCTCGAGTGTACTCATGTTGTTTTCCTTGCATAACTATTATTTCGATTCAAATTATAAATTACGATTGCAAATAGGATTTATTTGTGTAAACTCAAAGTTTACAAAATTTGTCAAATAGCTTTAATGTATGCTAACGGCATTATCTTATTTATTCTTGATTTTTATATAAATATTAATGTTTTTGACAATTTTATAATCTGAATACCTGGATTAGCACCATCTCGAAATTCACGAGGAAGTCCACTGTATCGTAAAAAGTACTGAATATGAGCCATCTCGTGATGTACGGTGATGAGATCTTTCATGGTAATCTTCGTACACATCTTAATCCTGTAATCTAGACGATTGCAGAAATCCCATGCCGAGGCTTGACAAATCAAGGGGTGATTACCGGGATCGACGATAATGCTGCCTGCCCAGAATTCTGGTGGCATAGCGCTCAGGTTTAAGGATAAGTAGAATTCTTCACCGATTCGGAACATATCTATCGGCGTGTAACCCTGTATTTATAACTGTTCATTGTACTGCATGTTCGTTGAATAAAATTTAAATGTTTAAAAAAAGTAACAATTTGTGAAAGTATATTGTATATACCTGAGCTTGCATTTCTGGTGTAACATCTAAATAGTTTTTACCGGGGTAAGGAATTGTTATATCTTGGATGTTCATCCATGATTGAGCCCATACATTTCCTGTATATATGTTACAATAATCATGAACTTAAAATGTTATATTTAAATAACGTCTATAAATATATATTATTGTTTATACCTAATACGTGAGAAGGAAGTGGTGCGTGTCCACTGATTTTTTCAGGTCCATACAAATCTCTCAACTTTTTCCTAACATAAGCATGAAGTTCTTCATAAAGTGGTCTAATAATTTCCCATACATTTTCAATTTCTTGCTCAAAGTCCAGAGATTCATAAGGGAACATCCAATACTGTGCAGCATCCGAAAAATCTATACAGGACAACAATCGTTATTCATATTTAATTTTTATTTATATTATTTTCTATAAAAGAACTTACTGTTTAATTTGGCTGCTTCGTTGTTTAATGTTACTAGTTGCTGATAAAGATCTCTCATCGGAGCACCGCTACGTCTTCTCCATTCCGTCCACACGTATTGCAGTTCATCCCAATTTCGACTTTTCGCCATGATTCCAGCGATATCTTCGAAGTAAATATACAAAATAAAACAATTAACACTTTTTCATTTAATGCAATTGCTCGTCGTCATGAGTTTTCACTTTATATTCGTGATTATGTTTGTATTTTTCACTTTCACGATGATAGATTAGCCAATTTATTTTATTCTTTTCATAATTCAGGATCTATGAGAAATCATTTTTTATCAATACTTCTATAACTAGCACAATTTGATTTTTCAAGAAACGATAATCGATTCGTTTTAATTTAAATTGTATATATATCTTGGAAGAAGAGAGAAAATTATTTGTGGATTATATAAAGGTAAAGAAATTGTGCGATGAAAATGGGAAGATAGTACCGAAGATACATAATTAATTTACACCTATAAAAGCTATAAGAGATCGACGTTACACGAAGCGGAAGATATTTTGCATCGAGTTTCTTTTAGGATTTCTTTGATTTAATGACGCTGAAAAAATGTAGCGAAAATTTTCTTTTTGTAGTCTTTCAAATTAGTTTGATGAATTCTTGAATTGATTGAATTCTGTTATTCGCAAAATTTTTATTTTAATCACGTGGAATAAAATGAGTAGAATACATTGCTATATATTATCTTACCTGGGTACAAACGAAGTCCACAATTAAACGGATCGTTGTACGCGCATATGGTCGCTCCATTGTAAATTGCGAGCATATCGTTAATTATTCGATTATACTGCAACGACAAAGAGAATTTAATAATGTACATTTTATTGCTTCTATTAAAGAAATGAAAGTACATTAAATTTGATTACAAAACTTACTCTGTCTAATTGGTCTAAAGGAAGAGCCGATGGACCAACTACGGAGAGATATCTTAGTCGACGTCTTATTATTGGATCCCTTATATTGTTGGTGTCAATTCTAGAGATCAACTGCCAAGCTTGATTTTGAAAATCAGCGTACAGTTGCTGGGCTTCGAGCTAAAAACAAAGGTCAATCGATAAGTAAATATTGAATATTCCCAGTGAATCTTGTGAAATTAAAATAATTTAATCTATCTCTCTTCCATCGTGTATTTCCTTTCTTTTTCCGTAATAAATCACGAAAGAAAGTTTAAATATTAACTGACGATTTAAAATCGTTACATCTTCGATTTCACCGAGCGTAAGCGTCTTATAATTTTATAACATATTCACCGATCAAGCCTTTCTTCCTCGTATGATCATTCATCATTTGGTGAATATAAAAAAAAGCGTTCCGTGTTGTTAATTCATTTAAAGATCGTAGCTCACGCATAACCGAACGGAGTCGCCTGTCGGGAAATTCTGGTTTACCGTTAGAGATAATAACCTTATCGTTGCACTTCTTCGTGAATTTAGTACATACAGGGAAGCGGAGATTGTACGTAATATGAAAGTAAAAGTCTTTCGAGATAAATAAAGTTTCGAAGAAAAAACGAATAACATTTAAGTTTTTTCTCTGCTAAAACGAATTGCAAAATTATAATAAAAAGTTTATTTCTGAATATTAAGTAAACTTCTGAATTTAAGAAAAAGAGAATAATTGTGTGTAATCTTATACAAAACAATGACAAGTTATTTAGACTCACTAATGGGATGACGATGAAATTCTCGCCGAAGGAAGACCAGTGAAATCATATAAGTACAATGGAAAACAATAATGAATATGGTGGAGATATATTTTCCACATTATTTCGTATATTATTTTTTATAAATTATTTAAATAAATTGATAATTGTATCTGTTCGATTACTATCTTAATACCGATTAAAATACGACGGATGTAAGAGAAGAAAAAAAAATGAGAAGACTTACTCCCACTAATCATTATTGCTGCTATTTTTTTTGTACGCACTAACATAAGCAGAGGCACTTAATTATCGTAACTTTTAACTTCATCACACCGGAGTCACGTTCATCGGATTTCACATTCTCAACACGTTGAAAAGGCGAGTATGATTTTTGATGTATGAGAGAAAGAGAGAGAGAGAGAGAGAGAGAGAGAGAGAGAGAAAGAGGGAGAGGAAGAGAGAGAGATTACTTGATTGTACAATGCACGATCGTTTGGGAATGATAACAATAGTAAAACATGAGAACATTTCTCACGAAGGCGTTTGGCCTTTCTTGTACAATGCTAGTCCGCTTGCTGTGTCATAGAAATCTATCGTACACGAAATTACGATTTACTATGGACTTAAGGAATATGTATAAGATCAGACACGCGCGCAAACTTCTTGAAGGATGAGGAACGAGAAAGAGATAGAGAGAGAGAGGAGGTCGAGGTCTTTTCGGCGAAGATACGAGCAGGTGGCTTATTTTCCACGGTACTTCGGAGGCACGTTGAAATTTAACTCCTTTCAATCTTCGCCACCTAAAATTTATTGCTTTAAGATGGTTAATAAATACAATGAGAGATATGGTAACGGATGATTTACGATATTACATAGTTTCTCTTTCTCTCTCTCCCTCTCTCTCTCTCTCTCTTCTTCTCTCCTTTTCTTCTTTCCCTAGTAAAACTATTTCGCATTAAAAGTTATTACAACGTAAGAATACGAGTGGTACGTGTTAGCCCCGAAATTTATTATCGTATTATTTCCAAAGTTTCGAATGCATGCGGGTGATCGTCCATATGTAGGACGGTCGATGTCAAAGTTTCGAAAGGAATCCAAGGTATAGGATAGAAAAAGTTTCGTTAATAATTCAGTGAAATGAGAAATACATATAAGCTAATTATAATAAATTGTAATTTGAATCTTACTGCTTGCAATTGCGTATATTCGTTGATGTCGGTTTCATAGCCCCACTGAGCAGCTACATTAGCACTGCATCGTTCAGCACCGAGAAAATCTAATCTCGCTAAAATATTTCGGTAATCCAATTCGTTTGAAGGAAGTTGACGTCCATATCCGTTGCCATTTGACTCACGCAGATCCAATTGTGCACTTACAAACGATAAAAGGAAGAGAAATAGCGCTGTGGACGACATCTGAAAAAATGAACTGTATGCTATTAACGAAGTTAATCCTATTTTTGTTTCCCGATTAACAAGGAAAACATGATGATGGAACAACATTAGAATTAAGGATAATAATAGTTAAAGAAGCAATTAATTCATTTCTATTTTTTCGTAGAGGATGAAGAACCTAAACATGTTGAAAATAGCTCGATTGATCGTTATTGTTTGTCCTTGATTTACAAAGGGTAGATCAGAAGTAGAAATGTTTTTTTGCTATACGTTTTCCCTATCTTTAAAAAATTTAAGAAAGAATACGATTTGACCTTGACAAATTAAAGTATAAAAATTGCAGCATTATTTTATATCATTTAGTTACGTCGTGAGTAAGGCGTTTACATGCAATTCATCTGTTGACTTCACGGTCACTTGTTACGTCTTGGCGTTACGTATTTCCTTTTCACCATGAAACACGGCAACTCCTTATGCTCATACATACAGGTAATAGTAATACGAAATTAGGTTAAAGATTCATTAGTCTTATTGTTTACAATGTTAACTATCAGAGGATTATTATTTCTTGTGCTACATAAATTTCATTCTACTCACAAAAAATATGATGAAAATAATCTTGTTATATAGGCAAGCAATGCTCTTGTTATAAGCTTTAATGTTTTAAAGGATTACTAAATTAAAAATATGATCTTAAAAGCTTAAATTTTAGAAGCTTAAATCTCAGAAAATAACTGAACTTGAACTCAGACAACAAACAGAAATTTCTTTAGAAATGTTATTTTGACTTACAATTAGATCATTGCCATAGTCGTCAATAAATCAAATTCAAATTAATAGATTATATAATTGAACTTACAACAATAGCGGACGTTGACCATCGTACAAGTTCCATTATCTGCAGTCAATATCTCAGGGTGAATGTTCACAACCGATGATCATCAATCGATCCCGAATCGACCTCGAAAATTATCTTCTTAGCACCTTCTTTAGGAATCTTGACACGTCGAAGAAGAAGACGCAGCACACGGTCGACGCGTTTCGTCAAGTCGTCACTAAAAGCCTCGTGTCTGCCGGCAAATGTACATTTATTCCTGTGAGGTAGTTCGAACGCAACCACTAGGAGGTCATCCGTGGTATGGAAGGTGGGGAGATGCGTATTACTCACACCTTCTAGGATCCATACAGTTTTTCTCCTTGTTCGTTCCGTCAAAGACGAGACGCTGTCCTACGTTGAACGAAGAAAAAGATGAAGCGGAGAAGAAGAGGGCTAAAGTAAGTAAAAATAAATGACAAAGAGCCGTGGATGAGACGAGAGAAGAGGGCTAACTCGTTGATTGCGACAGCTTTGAGTTCTCACGTTGACAACGGCCGCTCGACTGATACTTTGAAAGACTGCCATTGTTTACGGTAGCACGCGCCTTACTGCCGAAGAACTCTTTTCCGACTCATGTTAATAGAAAATTTGAAGTTATTTTCGTATAAGTATTGATAAACATGAGTCATCGTTGACCTCTTTTCTTTTCTTACTTAATGAGGAGATAGAAATACTATTATAGATTATTCAATGGATCGAATTCTAATATATATAATATAAAATATAAATATATATATATATCATATTACTAGATTTAAAATATAGAAGTTTTATTTATTTTAAATCTTTTTATGTAATTATTATTATATCGAAGGTTTATTGCAACATAGATACAATGATAGTAAGGTGTCGATCACGTTTCCAGGACAATCATCATTAATCGTTCTGCTCGATCTACCTAAACGATATCAAGGTGAGTTCAGACAAGAAAGTATCGAAGAAGCTAGATCTCTACGCTTGGAATCACAGAAGATACGTGTTGATCAGACTTTGTTTTATTCTTTCGTGACGTAATGATTTGAAATTATCAATTTTGTTTTTAGGTGGAATTTTCACGTCTATTTATCGTTGATTCATCTGATTATATCATTCGTTCTATATCATTTATATCATTCATCCAATCCATAAAAAAAAAGAAAATGAATGAAACATGAATAAGTTAAATCCTTGCAAATTATTTTGCGATTTGACTCTTTCACTGTAATTTTATGTGTTAGCAGATGATTCATCGTTCACATAACCGTACCATCTAATTACATGATTTTATCTTTTCGCATTGATCTCACACGAAGTACAACGGTTCGTGTCGAATCTTTTTTCTCAACTTTATCGATATTATTTTTCAAGGTTTCTTTTGATATTACTTCGATTCTTTTTACAAACTTCTTGTGTATTATTCAAGACGAACTCATATATCTGCGGGTTTGCATGGACAATCAAATTATGTGACTAATCGTCTCATCGTAAAATGCAAAGTATAAACAACCAACCGCGCCTATTTACAAGTCACAACGAGGATTGTCTCACGATCTGGAATGTATGTTTATTCTATATACCTGACTGAGAGAATCGTCTAGGCTAGTTTAAAAGTCCTTGAGAGTTTCAATGCATTAAAATTTCTGCACGCGTTATATTTTATATATTACTTATATACCGAACGATCAATTTCAATCTAATTTTTCGAATTTGATCTGAAAGATTCAACTCGCTCAATACCAGATATCGTGTAATTTTAAAAATGAAAAAGATTTTGTTCTCCGTGCACATAGTCAAGCACGATAATTCGGTTTCATTTCGTTGCCGTCGTAGGAACTTACTTATTCCGGTAAGACCTAAATTTATAAAGAGAACGACTGTGAAATTAAATTAGCTGGTTACAGAAAGAAATAGCAAAGAAAGAGAGTGAAGGAGAGAGAGAGAGAGAGAGAGAGAGAGAGAGAGAAAGAGAGAGAGAGAGAGAGAGAGAGAAAGAAAACGGTAGAGAAAGATAGATCGTGTAATTTTTCGTATTGGGAATAAGTAGTTTCAATGGCAAATCGTAAAAAACACGATTTAAGAACGCAATGAACATGCAAAGTGTCTCCGTTGAAAAGTGTAGGCCTCGTTCTCGTGTAGGTTGGGTTTCGACAGTGGCTAATCTCATCGAGAGATAACGCTCCCACCACGATCGTACAGGTCTCACGTACCGGCCGCGATTCTGGGTTCAAGTACGCTTGAATCTTCAGCACACCATTTACACACGATGCAACGGTGCGTTTATTATTACCGTCCTTTTCCGTTTCGGACGAATGTCTTGTCCTTTCCTTTTCTCTAAACATCTTGTTATTCGTTGAACAATAAACATTAAAGAATACATTTATATCTTCATTATTCATCGGTTCTCCTCAAACATTTTTTCTAATATGGTGAGAATCTGTTTATTCTTGATTATTCAATCTTATCAAATTACTTATTGTAAGTTTTACTCGACAACATTTAAATAAACGTTAATGATATCGATGAATTGTTTTTGTTTATTCTCATTGTATTATTTCTATGAATGATTTTATATTTATTATAACTTTATCACTTGACAAATTTGTACGATTATGATATAATTGGATAATTTTCTCTTATTCTTATTCTATCCGTTTCACTAATGATTTAATATTTATGATTTATTCTATCAAATTTAAATAAAGGCTTATGATATTATTAAATTTGTTTGTCCTATTTCCATTCTATTTTTTTTTTTTTATTAATAATTTCATATTTATAATGACTTAGCAAAATTTAAATAAACGTTTGCATTTATTTCTTTCATCTTCATTTTCTTTTTCTTATTGAAGATTACATAACATTATACAGAGCTCTTATTATAAAGTCACGTTTGTTAGCAATGAAAACGTGGGAAAATATGTAAGCACATTATTGGTATTACACGATCTCACTAGAAAATTATGCGTAGAGCGAGAATATTTACAAGGGCAATCCTCGAGATTATAGATACATTCAAATCTGAAGATCGTCCTAAGAAAAAAGGAAAGAGGAAAATTCGAGCATCGATTTAAAAGATATTGGACGAACATATTTTTTATGATTACAATGATTTCGTAGAAAAAGTTAAGTGCAGGAAGTAAAGAATGTCATTTGATTGTTCGATAGCCTTCGAAATAATATTCTCGAATAAAATTCAATTATTCTCCTTTCAAGGATTTATGTTATATATTAGCTCAAGTTGAGATTGTTAACAAGAATGACATTTTATAATGCATATCCATAAACACTTAATATAAATATTTTATACTTATATAATGTATGAATATATTATATTTATATATTATAAAGTCGACTTAAACGAAATATTCACGGTACATTACATCAACAAGGCGGAAGGCGTCGTATGATAATCGCGAAAGTTGGAAACGAGATTTTCATCCTTTTATCTTTTTTCTTCTATTTTTGTTCTTTCGTCGTTTTCTACGTAAATGAGAAGTGAAACTCGATTTTTAAATGAATGCTCATAAGTATATGTATGTATTGTACACATGTACAAGTTCTTTGTTATTCTAAAAACTTTCTATATATATACACGCATACAAAAATAAGTACATAAATAAATATACACATCCATATTTGAGTGAAACGTAATTATCTAATAATAAAATAATTTTGAAGCTTCAGATTATAAATGAACTTATAAATAAGACTACAGGAACCTTAAGAATACATCGAATTCTTTCGCTGAGTACATGATTTTTCAATTTAAACTAACATAACACTTTTCTTTCTGATTATGTAATGAACAACGAGATTACGGTTCCTGCAAGTTCTTAAACATCACACCGATTAAGTAACAAGCTGATTTCTTTTTTTAATGTCCGCTCTTTTTATTTCATCAGTCCCATGTACCTGCACGTCGAATAACTTTTAGAAAGGTAGAATCTGTTTCGTCTCATAATCGCGCGTCATGAAAGTCAAGGTTATTCTGGAAAAATAAGAATTTCTTTTCTCGAATTGTCGTTAATTGTAACAGAGAAAAGATAACTTACTCTTTAATAGAAGTAATTAATGACGATGTTACGAATGTACTTGTTAAGAACTCTACTTGGTGAGACAAAAGGATAAAGTTAGGATTGTTGCGATGTTAACGAGCTAATAATTGTAAATATGTAATAATCTAAAATGTAAAAGTGTTAGTTATGTACTAGATACATTGTAGTAATTGTAAAAACTAATTTTTGTGTAAGTCATCGAAAAATCATAAACCAGGAATTCTTCGTCGATTATTATTTGCTCGTATATGCGAGATAATTCAAGATTCGTGAGAATTTTATTAGTCATATATAATGCATCATAGTTCAGTTATAATTATGTTTTTCTAGAATGTTTGTAATATCATGTTTCGTTCGTAAGAATTGATTTAATATATTCATTTCTATATATGCATATATATATATATATATATATTATATATATATATATATTGTATATATATATATATATATATATATATATATGTATATTAGGAGGACCGGAAAGTTAATGTCGTTTTTGCGCATGTCGATATTTGATTGCGATTAAAAATAAAAACTTATTAAAAATTTATTCGTTTGAATTTAATTTAAGAAAGCGACATTACTTACCGGTCCACCTAATATATATATGTATATATAATTTTAACTTGTATATATATATATACAACTTAAAATTTATAATTTAAAATTTTATTTATTTATAGTTAACACCGTGAAATATTGTTTTCTTAACTAATTGTAATTAATAAGATAAAAATTATCTATTCGACGAGAGGAGTATTTGTAGTCATGATTGTGTATAAGAACGATAACATAATGCTATCTAGTGGAAAAGTTGAAAGTATGACTGTACAAAGTTACGATCTTACCATTACTAAATAATGTTTTCTGTATTACCGACAAATATTGCGGAATAACGAGATGGTAAGTATAGGAATCTCTTATGCTCTCTGCTTTATCGTTTGATGTTATTTATATACTAAAATAAATAACTATTATAACTATTTATAATCGCAAACATAGTATCATTTATGATAATAATGTATTATATTAGGAAAATTATTTTGAGCGATCAATTTACTTCACAATTTCCAATTTTTTAACATATAAAGAAAGAAATATGGCTGATCAAATTCTTAAATATTTTGATTAATGTTGAACGTAATTCACTTTTCATTTAAACATAGTAAAATCAATATATATTTTCTTTTCATTTATCCATAATTTAATTTATATTTTATAATCAAAAAGAAGAAGAGGTTGAGAGCAAAATATGAATATATCCGATTTTGAAAGTATGTTTTTGAAAGTATTATTTATTTATCAGTTGTTGCATATTCTAAAATTATTATTATGATGATGATGACGATGACGATGACGATAACTATGACGTAATCAATGTTCGAATATGTAGTACGCGTTTAATGGAATTTCATGTTACGCAAATCCAGATCACTTCAAGTTTATCACAGGTTGAATAAGTTTTTTTCTCAAATAGACCGTTTTACATAGTTAGCTGGATCTAATAAAATATGCAACTATGATAAATTTCTGAATCATTTGATTAGCAATGAACAATTAAAAATTATCAAGGTAATGCTAACATGTAATTAGTGAAGCGGAATGTGACACGAGTCGAGATATTGTTCCATGCGAATAAGAAATGAAAAATTGGCTCGTCACACTAAATGAACGTCCTCGAATCATTCGCATGATCAATCTTGAACTCGTTAAATTATTTGTTCTATTTATGCTCGACAATTTTTGAAATTATTGTATCGATATTTTTAAAACTATACGTATATAATTATATACGATTATATACGTACGAAAATGTATTGATCGTGAAGAGATATTAGTATATAGGATCGATCCTACATACGAGCAATCCTTAACTTAAAGTAAATGTGTATTACGAACCAGATCATGCGTGTCCCAAACAGTTTGTAGTATGTTCAACCTTGAACCACGTACACACTCGAACAATCCTTGATACGCCGGAATCGTTGTAATGTGATTTATAAGAGCGTTCACCTGCGAATTGGAATCAATGTTTCCTACACCAGGATATACAGGGTGTTTCAATTAAAGTATAACACAAATTTGTTCTCTATTGCTGGTGCTTTAGAAGAAGCAAATTATACCTTTTTGTTTCTAATCGAATCGATTTTGAGACATTATTTTAATTAACAATAGCACTTAAGATCAAAGGCGCATTTTATTAATAAACTCCCATGAAAAAATGATATTACTCTAACCACCGGAAGTGGACACTTCGAGTTTCCGCTAAAAGAAAGATTCAGCTCATGGACACTCAATGCGCGTGACGCACAGAGAGTAAATTGCTAGTTTATTAAGGAAGGCGGAGTTATCCGCCGAAGGCGTAATTATGAATGCACCTTTTATGAGGTTAAGACGTCACCTTCAAACGTGGTCTGCTCATTAGCCGTTTTTCCTATATCTTCTGTTTCTTCCCCCTCTGCATCATATGTGTATACAGAAGCACGTTTTTTCAAAGATGATTCGTTGATCTTGTGTCTCCCTTCATTTTTTTATTTAATTCTTATTAGCTATTCTTAATAATTTTTTACAAAAAGATCCTTCCTGATGAACATAAATAATCATATGGCTTTGAGTTTTTCCATCTAACTAAGCAAATAAAAATTTATTTATTTTTTATTCATTCAGTGATCTTCGCAAATGATCTTGATTCTTGGAGTTTGTTCGATCTATATATCTGGTCTCAAAAGGTTTCCGCATCCTTCCTCGAAGTATGATCATAATATATCCATAACTGAATGGAAATTATTCAAGATTAATTACTTCTCGAATAATATCGATTTCATTACGATACTGCACTGGTTAGCCTTCATTAGCACTTTATCAATGATATTTCTTCTATCCTTGCTACATTTTCCTCTCGTTCCCCACCTGTTTCTTAGGAAAAAATATGGCCTTTTTGTCACAGTAAATTGGATACGCGTTTGGTCTACGAATTCATGCTAACTATCCACATGACGTTCTAACAAGCAAAGTCACGAATAGCTAATTACGTGGAACGCGCTCCTAAATCGCAAACGAATCGATTCACTTGATCTTACTTGTTATCCGATAACTTCTCGAACGCGATACAATTAATTTACATAATGCATTTCCTGCATGTCGTATGATCGATCAGTTGAAATAATTTAGTTCGATCGTAAATAAAAAAAGAGAGAAAGGACGAGAGAGGACAATATTTATCCGAGCTCAATACCTATTTGAAATGTAAAACGAACAGGATTAATTATAATAGTGTTTAGACTTGAAGATTCGATTAAGTCAAATAGTAAAAAAGAAGCAGATAAACAGAAAAAGAGAAAAAGAGAGAGAGAGAGAGAGAGAGAGAGAGAGAGAGAGGGAGAGAGAGAGAGAGAATTGATTAATACTAGTATACGTTTTATGCAATATAAGCAACTAACTTCCATCTCGTCATCCTCTTTAACAGCATCGATAAAGGTCTCTTTTTAGACTTTCATAAGAGAGACTCGGCATAGCGAGATTAATTGTTCTCCAATTTTACGATGACGCGCTTCTGCTCTTAATTGGCCCGTCCTCGACGATACGACGTTCCTTCCTTTTTTTTTCTTTTCTTTTTCTCTCTTTACCACTTACTCACCCTTTCCGTTTACCGAACGATCGAGGCTTTGTAATAGATAGGAAATGATCGACGGTGATCTTGCATGATATCAAAAATACATCGAAGGTCGAACATGGCGTTCGAGCGAGACGATAATTTATCGACGAGAATGTTTATTTAACGATATTTGAATTTTTGTTGGCCTTTATTAATTTTTTGTTGTTTCACATGAATGCTTTCAGTGAACACTCGATATCCGCTTAGATATCATTAGGTTTCAATCTCTCTTACAATTTCGTATTAATTTTTCGAATTTCGCCTTTGAACAGCTCATCGAGAGATCGATGGCCTGAGACGATCATAGAAAAATGTTTCAACAATCGTGACACGAGTGCTATTGTGTTCGCACATGATTAGAATCTCTACGTTATCTTGAATTTTGATCTTGTGTAAAATTACGAGATTTCATCGATTGCTTCGATGTTCCGTTAGTTATAAAAATTCCAACGCGTTTTATTGTCTTGATTTTTTAAATTAAATTATTTCATTTCTTTTCTCTTTCTGAAATTATTTTCATTGATTTTTGTATCATTCTTGTACCTTCCTAATTCTCTTTAATCTTTATTTATTTTTTATTCATTATCAATACATTTTCGTATAAGCTGTAATAAGAAAAAACTCGGATTATGAACGTATTAATTTTTTCGTACAATATATGTACATTTTTGCAATTTAGAAATAACAAAAATTTCGAGAGTGTCGTTTTTCCTTGATAACTTTTAAAATAAGTGTCGAAAATGTCATACCTTTCAATTTTACGTTCAAATTAATTAGAATGAATTTAAGCGATTAAGGTCGAGTGTTCGTTCGTAATTCAACCTTCCAACGAATCGGTTACGTCTCGCTACGAAAGACGTGTCGGCGATATTGGAAATAGCATCGGTGTTTCTCCTTGCTCGATGTCCCGGCTGAAAGAGCGCTAATTAACGGGTTAAGGTTAAGAATTCCATTCCTAAAGAAGGTCAAGAAATCATTGCGTTTCGTTACTTGAGTCACGTCGACATTATTGACGATTCATATGACTTTTCCAATAAAGAAGCGCTTTGTATATTTCGTTTATCTCATTTTTTTTTTCAAAGAAAATATAAAGAAGAAATAATTTCATAAAACCTATATCTGAATAAAGATACTTTTCTTCTGTTACTGTTATAATCATTACGCAGGTTACGTATATGTATGTGAATTATGGCCCGATACTACCGTCTGGTATTATGCAAGAAAAATAGATTTTTCTTTAATGGAGCAACGCTATGCGATGCGTCCATGCAATTAATCACTCTATTACTTTAATCATCGTTGTAACGCCAGATGACACCGATCTACGGGAATTGAATTCCTCCGTCGCTCGCGGTATTTCTGGCTAACGTATCCAAGAAATCTTATTACACCATATGCCTTTTTGCTTTGCTTCGATCAGATTTATTCGATCGATTACTCTATTACAATAATTGCCGCATCGTGTTCCGAGTTGCGGCGAACGTGACTATACGAACGGTGCGAGACAAGTCTCGTGGGACACGAGACGCGTATTATCACGTTTTTGCTGATTGTAACATGACGAACCTAACACGCTCACCATTGTCTACCCTATAGTTATGTAAGTTTTTCATTCTGGTTATTCTTCGATAAAATTGTCTTATTGTGGAAGACGAGAACTTTCAAAAGGGAAGACGTTCCATTGCGATAGATTTTTTCTCGATTTGCTTTTGTTTCGGCTTTTGAATCGTTGATCAACTATGACATCATCACATTTATCGATAGATCCGGATTCCATCGCGGAAGGAATTATCCGATTAACGATTGTTAAAGCTGGACACTGAAAAAAAATCAACATTAAAATGTACATGATAATCAGTAAAATTGTTGACAATAATCGTCATTCGAAGACGTAATTGGAAAATCTTTCGATCGATATGTTCGATTTATCGAGCTGACGTAATTGTCGGATGACGAAGAATTTCGTGAAATTATGGTAACGCGGTGGTATTGGTATTCGTTCACGAGTATGAAAGAAAATTATAATAAACGATATAAAGGCAAGAAGTAATTCTTTAAAAGGAAGAAAATGGTCAAATTTTGACAATTTTAAAGACAAAAAAGGAAAAAGATCACACTTTGGCAAAATTCGATAATAAAATATAGTCGACAAATAAGAAAATCGTTTATCGACTTATCTCACCGAATGAAAAGTAAGAAACTTGTTTGATTTCATCTTTAACCTTGTTTATCTTTCTCTCTCTCTCTCGACGAACTTTAAAAAATCTATCGAAAAAAAATCAGCGAGAGTGTTTCTTCTCGATTGAATGTTCTTCTTCGTATCGAAGTCTAAGGTCACCTTGACCATCAGAGGTCTTCTCCGGGGAGAGTACTTCTGCGGGTGTCCAGTAGGCAACGCTAGTAGGGAAGAAGAATGGGGGAGGTGGGTCAGGTTGGCCTCCACAGCCGACATATAAGTCCCAGGATCGGCCCCCACTTCGCGTCAAACGGTCGGACACGGTACGGAGGCGAGCACAAGCGAGCAATTCTTTGACGTGCATCAGCTAACTTCCATCCATTCTCTCCTGTATTCTCCCGTAAAGCGTGCTCTTCGTTTTTTTTCCTTTCGTTATAGTTAAGTCTTTCAATCCCCACTCCAAGTTTCTTCCTCTCCGTGCCGGTTATCCGACCATTAACAACAGTAGCGACTCCATCGACACCCCGAAGAACGTAACCCTCTTGCGAGTACGCGAGAGTACATGCGAGCATAAGCGAGTACACGCGAGAAAACTCCTCGAACGATATCACCAGCCAAGTAGCCGGTGAGACGGTCAGTTAATATCGACTACGGTTAACGAGACTTGGATCATAGTCGTTGGCGTGCCGTTGCTTTCAGTCGACGACGGAACAGCCACGCGGAGAACATTTCTCTCTCCTTCTCTATCTTTCTATCTTTGAAACGGTGCTCGAGTGGACTGCGAGGCGCCATGAAAATCGTAAGTAAATCAGTTCCACGCTGTACTTCCTAGCGTATACTACTTACACTCACTCCAGGAAGTATTCGTACATTTCCTGAAAGGAATTCTTTCTCCTTTTGTAGTGAACGAAGTGTTCTGAAATTGTCAATCTTTAGAAAATCAAGATAGTAATCGAATTTGAGATAATGGTAATTGTTATAATTTCATAATGTATTGTTTTATTGACAGAAACTTTTATGAAGAAAGTTTTACGAATATTTGTTGAATCCTAACATGTATAGTTTGATGTTACATTTTAGAAGGTCTTTGAAAGTACTCTTCGGAAAAGCTAAAGATACGCTCGCGAAATGCACTGCTAGTTTGCTTGCACGCCATTGCGGACTAGGTATAGAAAAGCGAGTGCAGCAGCCCGATTCATCTTGATGGTCGTATAAAAAGGCATATAGCAAAGTGTATCGTGTTTCGCCTATTCCATCTTGACTTTCTATATCTACTATTCCGGAAGACATCGATCGTAAAACGGAACAACTATATACCACGGATCTTTTCGACTTTTTTTTTTTTTCTTATTTTCTTGCGATCGAACATGACGATTATGTTCGATCGAAACGCATTGAGATGATGTAACACATTGTCTCAACTGATTCTAGTACCCACTGGATCACGCCGTTATATTGACGCACGTAGCTCTAATGATAGTCGTAATTAGTTTTGTTTCTTTCATGCAATCAATTGTGGACAATAACCAACTTGTAATGGTTGAGTACAATGATTGATTGATTCGACATCGCTAAGTGAAAGTTCCAGAATCATTTTCGTGAAAAAATATTTTACTTTCGCTCGTCAAAAATAGATTTTTTTTTTTTCTTACTCTTCTCTCTTTTTTGGGAAGTAAAATTACGATCAAGGTTATTCGTTTAGATGAATAGAATATTTTTTTGTTAGATAAAAAAGATTTTAAGACAATGAATTGTTCGATGAACAAAGTTATTGCATAAATCGATGAGACGCGTTTTTTTGATTTATACGAAAAAACATTTCAAAATAATGAATCACTTGATAAATTAAATCTTTCGTAGAATCTATGAACGGCATTTTTTCTAACGAATATACTCATTTCATAAATGGATCCATTCGTTTCAATACGTAAAACGGAAAACAGTATAGATAATGGATTGCTGGATAAAAAAAAAAAATCGTTTAAAAAATGAACAAACTGACAGAAACAGAAAACATTTCAAAGGAAAAAAATGTTTGATAAATATTCTAAAGTTCTATTGTAAGGTCGAGTAATCTATTGAAATTGCTTCGAACGTAAGTAGATCCGTCGAGTCGTATATACCTCTCTAGTTAAATTTTATGGGATAGTTGTTTTATACGATAAGAAGGCGACAAGAGACGACGGTTAGTTTCATTGTCGTCGTTGGTGACATGTTCTTTGGATTGAGTTAGACGGGTAAAGGAAAAAACGTAGAATAGGAGAATAGGAGAAACGGAAATCCGTAAAATCTTGTTCATTCACCAGAATTCATAGCCGTTGGCGAGACAAGTTTGCGTCCTTGCCGCAGGCCCAGTTACGATGAAGTTTCTTGTTGGTCGAGTATACGTCTACTAATCTAGATTTATTTTTATTTATTCATAATATATAAATTGCGAATTTGATGCTTAAATTACATGGATTTTTTTTCCATGTATTAACTCAATCCTTTCTTCGAATAATTTTTTTCATTCATTCGAACAACCTTCGATTAACTCTATAATTACTCAAGTGAAAATGTATAATAGCTTGCAAAATTATTCATGAGGGAATTAATGCCAAGATATTAAACATAAATAGACATGAACGCATCGAAGATATTGATCAAAATAAAAAAATTCCTCGATGTACACTTTGTTTTGCTACGAAAATGAAAGAGAAAGAGAAAGAAGCACACGGGATGCGTGGCTACTGATTATTTACACGATTTTCTAAATATTAATCTAGATTGCATGGTCTATTGAGAAGCCCAAAGTCGACCGAGAAAATTCATGCTTATATTAAATTCTAACGTATATTTTGCAACATTCACATTTTTATCAATTATTTCATCGTTTACATTTGATTATTTCAGAGAAGTAATCGTCCTTAAAACTAACGTGAGTTAAAATTGATCATATTTGATTATAATTTGACTTTTGTGAAAAATAATTGATTGCACAGACTTTTCTTTTGAAAGCTCGATAATGAATGAACGCTCTGTTTCCTTAACAAGACTTTTCTTACACTTAAATTTTAATACTTTGAGACACAGAATTTTGTTCCTCTACGTTCTTCAATGTCGTATAAGAAAATGCCATAATGCGCTAATGAAACGTTTCCTCGCATCAGTATGCAACGGTCGCAAAAACTCCATAATGATCTACGATTACTAGTTTGAATTTTATACGAGTTCTCTTTCTCTCCACTTTTCTAAGGAGCAATAATGTAATTTTTTAATCGTTTAATACATATTGAAGAAAAGTTATTAAAATAATATTATGGATGTAATTATCCATACGAATGTAATAATGATAACGTTTACATTTGCAAAAAAATACAAGTACGTATATTTGCATAAAAGTGTTAATAAAGACGATGTATGTAAGTGTCGAAGTTACGCGCTAGAGTAACAAATCACACGTTGGATCTCGATATCGATACGGAAAATCATTTTTTCCGTATTCGTGAGCGAGAACGAGAGTTATATACGTCGTCGGACGAGCGATGTAATTCATCGATAACCGTAAATTATTCTCTATGAACAAAAGCTAGCTATCAGTCTGTCGAGCGTTATAATAAATCACCTGCTCGAAAGCATGATTTCATCGACGCTTTACGGTTCCTTTAAGGCTCATTCTCTTATCGGTGTTAACTAACAAAGATCGAGAGCAGATCGGATAATTAATATCGACTTTCGAAGCAGTCGTTAAGTACAATTTTCGAATCAAAAAGCTATTAGCGTTGGCTTTCTATCGTTCATCGCGATGTATACTATTACGTCAAGCATTACGAATTTCGTTAGTATTTAGTTCCTGGCGAGATTTGCATGAAAGCATTATAGATCGAAGTTCCTTTTAGGCTCCCCGGAAATTAGAGATTATGTCTTCCATGAAATCGATGATTTCTAAGATAAAATTTATTAAGGATATTACGAAGAACTTGCTTGATGTTGCAAATAAAGCGATTTTTACACTTTGTCGATTGATCGAATTATACTCAACTAAATCCTTAAGACTTGTGCAATTTATATGACATTCGAAGTTTACTAATTTTCCATATATTATCCATAGTAAATGATATTTCAAATTTTATGTTATCGTATATGGACACATTGAAACGTCGTTATAATATCGTGTTGATCTTTATTTTTCATTCTTTTTATACTATTATCATCTAATATTTAATCGCACGACTTCTTCTCAATTATAGTTACAATATAGTTCGATCGTATAGACAAAGGAGAAAATCTTTGCAGCATGTCAGCGATATTTTAACGTTCAAAGCTATCCCTTTTATTGGTTCCGTTAAGAGATTGGTTCTATAAGAGAAATGTGACGTGGCACCTTTTGCCGGTTTTTGTGCCAACCGAGCGTGACGATTTGCACAGCATCGAAAATAACCTTCTCTTTTGTGCGCGTGCGCACTTACGTGTGTCACAAAAGATTTAATCCAAAAAAATATTTGTTCCTTTCACGAAATATTTGAGAAAAAGTAAGGATTCTGTAATAGAAATAGCTACACGTTTTTTCCCAATGTTTTAAAAGAAATGCAATTTCAAACTACATATGCACGTATACATTCTTACGTAAACTTTTCACGCTAAATTGTGTACCGTAACATAGAAAACTGTTAAAGAGAATCGATGGAAAAAATCAATTAAAAAGTGATATACTCATGCGTGTATAGGATATTCGTAAAACGTGCCGCGAAAAAAGTTTTTACGAAGCTTTTTTCTAATCACAAACATCCAGTAGAAAAGAAGCATTTTATAAATTAGAAAATTTATAAACGGTTATGTATAACATATTGCTTGATGTGACGTAAAAATTTTTATATATATACTCGGTATATTTTGCATACAAGTATGGACATCGGAAAAATGATAAAAGTGCAATGAAAATTGTTGGAATTATACGATGTGATTTTCAATTAAATTGCCTATGGTGTTTTTATAATCAATGATATGAATTTTGTAAGAGTTAACGAAAAATACGCACGTATATGTGTATGCACGCAGGTACCTATCGTTACGAATTGCGCATTACACCTGCTAGAGCGTTCCACTTTCTAATTGTAAACGACACGTCGTTTCTAACATCTTCAACCCTCTTTGTCTTCTTTTTCGTTATTTTCGTCCTTATCCTCATCCTCATCCTTTCGTAACATTTGGCTTACTACCAACAACTGAAACGTTTCCAATGACTAAGAGACTGTATCGGAGTTGTTTAAAAGAAAAAAAAAGTACAGTGTCTATTCTTGTTCTGATTGATTGGTACATGTAAAAAACAATTATGAAATATCATAAAATCTAGTAATTAAAGGAAGTCTAACCAATCGTGACGAGATCAAAAGAGTAGGAGGGATAGAAAGGGAAGGGGGGTAGGCGATCGGATGTACAAGGCAGTCGAGAGGCGAGGACCTTCGTGAAATTCCTTGACGATATATAAAATGAAGGTGAATGAAAGTTGCCGCAACGAGGAGCGTCGAGGTCGCGAAAATTATCCCCTACTTGGTATTTTCCGGTATACGAATTGTCTTTACAGTTTCGCAAATACTAGTAATTATTATTATAGGTTGTATAGATTGTATAGGTATTGTATAAAAATTTTTCTTTTGAAATATTCGACTTTTTATTCCTTCAAATTTCAAGTCTAGATCCTTATCGAGGTCCACATTGTTCATAACAAAGTGCCGTTTCGTTGTTCGATCTTAATGACTGGTTGATTTCTAAGATATATTCCAGTTAACATGTATTTATTTTTCATCATAATCGTTACAAAATAACGAAAGTTAGAAAGCAATGCCCATAACAATTCTACATTTCTTTGATAGCGTTATCTTTAAGAAATCGACTCGAACTTGTATATCTTCTTTATTTCATATTTTGACCTTTCGCCTTAATAAAATGGAGCAAGTATCCGGAACGAGAACTTGATCGAAATATCAAGCCAGCAAGATTATCAATAGTCTGAGTACATCGACTTATTACAATGTCACTACTGTATTGCACTTATGTCAGATTCTATTTATATACATGTATACCTATGGAAAGCAGTCGGTCGCGCGCGATAGGAAAGGAATGACGAGCTGCTGTCTTTGATAGAATAATAAAGCTTTTGTACGCGTTTCTTCTCGTTGCGTAATAGTGGACGACGCGTGGCTTTGAGATGGACGCAATATGGTTAACTCGACCTACGATATTAATGGTCTATAGGTTCCTACGGGAGAGATTTACTTACATATACACAGACAAAGGAGGAGCGCGTTTGTAAACACGCTCCGTTTCACTTGGCGTTAAATGCGGAAGTACTCGACGCTAATACATAGCTCTTACTAAGTATCTGTGTGTAAGTTTACTATCTAATAGCTCGTATAATAAGCTTTCCGAGATGATTTTACCAGTGGCCAATTCACTCATAAAGGATATAAGGTTCTTGTTAGATACAAGAAAAAAGAAAAATATAAATTAATTACATAGGCATTTTAAAGCAATTTCTTTAACGCTCAGAAATATTCTAATTTTGGTTTTTATTAAAATTTTATGATACATTGGGGATATTAATCTTATTGACATTTCGTAAAAATACATCTTTATTTTCTTTCGAGCGACTTTCAAGAGCAAAATTAAAAGGCATATTTTACCAGACATCACTGAAACAAACACTAACTTATTTCTCTTCCTTTTACCGACATAACTTTTAACGGTACGAAGAAGGACACTTTCGTGAAAGCCTTCTACTCGTTAGACATTCACATAACTGGTATCGGTCATTTTTTTGTAGAATATTTTTTGAAAACTGGTCGCTTTATCTTGAAATTTTAATAGCAAATTTAACATATATCAACGTATCTGTACATTGAGCAGTCTCAGAAGTGATTGATTATTAATCATTTAATGATTATTAATCATTTTTCCCATTATCATATTGCAACACTCCACTTTCACATGAAAAGTCGACTAAACGCGTCGAATCGATTACATTCTATAATTCTTGAAAATCGATCAGAACTGGAAAACAAGGAACTTATATTGGAGTTATATGAAACAGCAATCGGATTAAAATGGTTATCCTCTTCTCGCGAAATTGTAGTTACGCGTACGTATGTGTTTTTCTTCATAAGTTATGTTTGGGATATCGCTTTGGCATGATCTCGCGTCACGGTGCTAGCACATGTATGTCAGCGCTTCGAGAGTGACCTCGTGCCTTTGTAGAAACGAAGACAACCTATATCAACTAATTTCTTTAAAAATGGTTTCCAAAAGGTCACTTTCCTTGCTATTAATATATATTAAAATCGAAAATTTTAAACTTTCTTATAGGATAATTCGCATAAATGGAATGAATTTTCATCTTAACATCGTCACGACTGAAACGATTCCGTGAAAAAAATACCTTTTGGAAAAATTTGGATGGAATTCGCAACATTTTAATGATTCCATTCGATGGATTCTTTTTGTGCGATTATCCCAGCTCGTGCTCACATAACATCAACCGAGTCATTATCGTTCATAGGATTACCGATGTGATTTTCCGTCCAATCCACGAGCAGATCGTAAAATTTCATTGATTTCATCAACGGCTTTACGTAAGGCTGTGTATCTTCGAAATGAAGACCTTCCGACATTCTTATTGCCGAGTAAGGAGTTGATATAATTCGATTAACGACAAGAGACTTGCGATTCGAAATTCGATTTCAAATTGAATTCGCATAGTGAAGTTAACGTGTCGCATATGAGAATTATGTCACTTCGTAAATTTCACAAGCGATTTCTCTGGAGTAAATTGATAGATGTTACCAATATTTATATAATAATTTACTGCTATAGAACAAGATATAAAAGTTTCTGAAAGTAAGAAAATTTTAATTAAAGTATGCGATATGTGTCAATGATCGTAGAAAACGTACAAAATTTTCATTTGTAAAAAGTTGAACGGTATGATAGATTTCGTTATATCATCGTAAATTTCTTTTTAAATAGCATTATGTATACAAAGCGTAAATTAACGTTATTAAATCGTATAATTTAAGATTTATATTTTTGCGGAAAGAAATTAAGTGTTTTCAATTACTCAAAGAAAGGAAAATAGTACAGTTATTATTCATAGATGTCGTTAATTGAGTCGTAGATAATTATTGAACTATTCCACATTCACTTCCGATTATTTAATTCAAATTTTTCAAATGATATGATTTTATAATTAAATTTTAATCACTCGAGATCACCTTCGAGAAATATTTTTTATATCTATGATTCCATTTTCTTCAGCGAATAAAGGGTCAATAAAGTCGATGAAGTTCATGTTTTCCCCTTACGAAATGGATATTATTTAGTGTAATCATATAGAAGGTTTTAATGATGCCATTTACTCGATTGTTGGTGATAATCGACGGCCGATAAATTGGCTAGAAAGGCGCGTTCGTGAGATTTTGTTAGACTTATCTGTGATCTCGATCGCCTATTAAAAGACTCCTCGACTTCTTCTCTCGTAGATAACTCGTTCTCCTTTCGCCGATTTATTAACGACACCCGGTCAATTCCATCTTCTAGCATGTAGTTCCTTTTAGTTTACATTTTTTACGAAATACACGTTCCTAATTTGGAATTTCTTTCACTTTTCTAGATCGCTTTAATCGCATTCCTAATGGCCATCCTGATGGGTGTCACGGCCCAGAATTATAGGCAACTCTATGCTGGTTTCGGGCCTTACTTTCAACAGAGCGCAGGATTGCGGGATCCAAGATCGAACAGAGGTCAGTTTTAACTATACTGTTTAGTTTGATCGTTCTCATTCGACCGTGAATTTCTATGAAGGTCAATGATTATCTTCATGAAATTGAAATAATGATCGTATCTCTTTCGACAAACACTAACGATGTCATTTTTTATTTTTTATCAATGATCTTAATCTTTGAAAGTATGATATGCTCCAACTTCCAACAGTTTGAAACAAACTTTTACCGGAACAGATTTAACGCTCTCGAAGTCAGGATAATAATTTAAGATCGAGGCACGTGCTGTAGGAGTACACCATCGGTGAAAGGATAAATATAAATAAATGTAGATAGTTGTATGTGTAGTTGACTTTTAATTTATAAACAAATATAGTTCGCAACATATATATATATATATTATATATTATATATATTATATATATAACATATATATATATATTATATATTATATATTATATATATTATATATATATATATTAATATATTAACACACACATACATATACACACACATATATATATATATTAATTACTTATGCATTATTTAGTGTATTAGGTATATTGCATTCATATCTAAAATACAATGAATATGTGTATGCATGTAATTATCTTATCAAATTATCCTTCAATCTTGCTGTGTCGTGATATTTGAAATCCAATTGAGTCTATAAGTTAATTAGAATCGACATTTTTTAAGCGATATCGACAAATCTATCATTATATGTACAATATTGGTCAATACGAAGAAATATTTAATCGAAATAAGCAATTAATTTTTTAATATATAGTCTGTAAATATACTTTCTGTTTATCTTGAAAAAAATTACTTGTAAGGGACTGAAAATATTATCAAAAAGATTTTATTGCATATTTGTTTGGTATAAGGAGGGATATTATAATACTGTGACCAATTTTTGTTATAGATCGAGTAATATGAGACATTTCAAAGTCAAATTCATTTTTGTTAATAAAACCATATATTTAAAACCATTCTTTTTAAATAGTACGATAGCATTTAATGAGATTATTTATTATTATAAAATGTTATTAATTTTGTTTTAAATTTGTTAATTTCTTAGGAGCATATATCGCTATTTGCTGACTGTCCCTTATGCCTCTTAATTTACTAAATGTCATATATATATATATATATATATATATATATATATATATATATATATATGTAAGATTAGTATTACAAGTCTTTGTTTATAAAATATAATTGAACAGCTGGCACTGGCACCCAGCGATACAGGCTTACACTTCTTAAGAAATGACAGAAATTTATAATATAATTTATGACACTTTACAATAATAAATGATCTCATATGGCACGTTGTTGAATTTCTTTCAACAAATACTATCGTATTATATAAATAATTATATTAAAAAGAAAAATATATGATTCCATTGGAAAAAGTGAATTTGATTTTGAAATTTCTCCTATCTCTCGAACTGCAAAAAGAAATTAGCACCATATGATATCCTCCTCTTTATATCAAACAAATTTATAAAAAATGTTTTCGATTAATTAAATCCTTCACGAGATATACCCAATTTTTTGAACTTATAAATTATGACAAATTAACAAATTTTACGTGGATTACTTAAAACGAGTTACAAAGATATTTCTTTTACTCGTTCGCATTCATTTACAATGGTGTTCTGCTGTGCTAAATTCATCGTTATTTTATTATTTGTGTTTTGTAATCGACGATCTGATTTTATTTTCGGCATGATGTTATCGACTCGATATGTTATATATAATTCAGGAGAGAAAGAGATATATGATTTCTTTGAATCGGTGTTAAAAGTATAAGTCGAAGTCGGATCTCGTGCCAAGTTCAAACGCGTTTGCTTTTCTAGATATTGTCGATAATATCAGCTAACGTAACGTAATATTTCATAAAGACAAACGTTTATTGACAGCTAGTCCAGTGTTATATGCTTGAGTGAACAAGATCGACACGAAAGAAATAGTAATACAAAAACATAAAAAAGTATTGTTTATTTTAACGCTCGAATTGGTAAGAATCCTTTTGTATGGAGTCCTATTTTTTTTTCTTTCTTAGATCATCCAAAGGATCTTTAATTTAATTCGATTATCTAAATTATATCCGTTTCTTCCGATTCACTTATAAAACACATTTCTCGGTAATGCTTGCGCGTGATTAATAATACGTATCCAGCAACTTTCCTGTTCCTAGGTTTTAGAAAAGATTGACGTTAAGTTTCTTTGAATAAATGGTTATTCATTAAGGAAACGTAGGAAGAAATGACGATAAAATGGAAACAAATGAGCCGAAGATTTCTTTGCAAGTTTTGTAGTCGTGCACGCGTGTCGGTCGGGCACACAAAGAATGGTATAAAATTGGTAAAGAATCGATCGATCGTTCTTTGAAAGAAAAGATCATAGAAAAAGAGTGAAAGAAGTTTCGGATCACCGCCGGACAAAGATATAGGGGTTTGATTTATTGGAGCGATCTACGACCGTGAAGGCTGAATATTCTTCTTTGAGTTCGTTCAATTCTTTGTAACAGGATTTTTCTTCAGTGAATGAACGAAATATGAAGAAAGTATTTACAAAATGAAAAGAAGAAAAATTACTTTTTCATATGTCAAATAATTTTATTCAAATCTGTTTGTCTATTCGTTCGCATGTTCGCATGAGAGTTGATAACTATCGTAATATCAACTTTTTTCCACAGTTACAATGTCAATCGTCGTATTTGCTCGGCTTGCATATCTTGTCGATCATTAAGGTCATTAACAGCTAACATACCCGACATTGTAAAACATGTTCTTATACGCATATATGTGAATACGATTTCGTTGCAAATCTTTGCATTATAGCATTGTCACGAGTAACGATATACGAGACGACCTTTGCAATTTCCTCGCTAATGAATTAGCTCGCAGAGCGCGTGAGGAATTAATCTATGATAATCTATGAATCTACGATATCGACGTAGATAATATTCAAATTAATCGTCTCGCGTTATCGATTATAAATTATGATATAAATTATGAAGATTGATAGCTAGGATCTATTATTATTATTATTAATATTATTATTATTATCATTATTATTATCATTATCATTATCATTATCATTATTATCTTTATTATTATTATTATCATTATTATCATTATTATCATTATCATTATTATCATTATTATCATTATTATCATTATTATCATTATCATTATTATCATGATTATCATTATTATCATTATTATCATTATTATTATTATTATTATTAAACCAGTTGATTAACAGCGACCTCAATAATCTTTAACATTTCTAATTTGATTTTAATTTTTTTTAGGTCCAATTCTTTTCCCACCTGGTCCAGAACCGAACCGCGCTGACACGAGCGGTGTGATCGTAGGTGCGAGTGGATACGGATTCGTACCACCGAATACAGGTAAATCCATGAAGAAATAATTAGCGAAATCGAATTGACAATCCTTCGCTGTTCCTCTTGAGATGCAAAAAGGGAGTAAAAGAAAAGCAACACAGAAGGTGATAATTCTCCGTTTGTAAATAAGAAATCCAAAGATGGTATGATAAATGAAAGAGGCCATAATAAAAGCTAGAAAGGGATGATCAGGGAAAGAATGTATCCACCCCACTCGCTCCATCTCTTTGACGTACTCGCACCAGTTTGTCTTTATCCTTGTGCACTTAACTTATAAATAAAAACACTATTTATTATCCCTCACACTAGTGAAATAACTGTCGTTAGTAACTTTTACCTTTTCCTCTCTATTCCCAATAATCATATATAAAATATCGTACATATGTACTTATACTGGATGTTCCATTTTGATTAAACAAAAAACCCTGTATGTTGTAAATATACTTGTAAATTATATGTTTGTAGTACTAATCACATTATTTAAAGATTCTGTTATATATTTGAAATGTTCATCAAGCGATCAAATTCCCAAAAAAATCCTTTAAAAATATATTAAACAAATGTGTTACAATTAATCCAACATTGCATCCTTTATCTTAAACAAGATCGTTCGAAATGGGATTTCCTTAATCAATGGTTAACGATGGAATGAAATTGATAGATCCGTACTTTCATCTACGATTTGAATGAAGGCCAACAGATATAAGCGTGTCTGAAAGGATCGATCCTTGACGTATCGTGAACATACTCATGTATTCTCGAGAGAGCTTTATATTATATATATGTGAATGTACATTTGGCATTGTATATGTACGTAAAAGCATTGCATGTCTATAGACAAGGATATCTCGTGTTCATGATCGTGAACCCATCTCTTCTTGTCGAAGACGATAGCTCGTTTCCTTATTTCACTTCATCCTCCTTCGAGACGTTATAATCGCGCCAACAACGCGGAAGAAAATCGTTTCGATGTTCGAAGCTTTAACCTTCAAGCGCTCTTTCAACTCGCTATTTCGACAGCACCACAGTCTCGTTTTTTTGCGAGTTATTTTCGATTACGTCGAAGTATTTGACTTAACGATTTAACTAACTTGATTGGATATTAACAAAATGACTTAACTGAAAACATAGAGATATCGATAAAATTTTAAATAATATCAGACAGGTAAGTTGTCTAGCGAAGAATGTTAATTATTCATAAAGTACTATAACATAAAAGATAATGACACCTGTAAAAGAGTAGTAAGTACAATGAAATAGTAGTATGAAGCAATTAATCGCATACTTCCTGAATTCCCATCCTGGTATGGGATTAATTCGAAATACCGGTTTTTGCGAAGGTGAAAAGAAGAATCCTGAAAGAGAAACCTTGGAAGAGTCTCGCACCCGCTGGTCGTGGATCAGTGAAAGTGCCGTCAGTCAAACTCGTTTACGCGTAACGCTTCCTTTCGCGTTGCCATTACGTGAAACGTAACAGGTGTTATGAGGTCGTTTAGGTCAACGACAAGGTCGACTTTTTTCGACGGGTGCTTATTACGTGTTCTTCTTCAGACAAGATCAACGTTTGTTTCCACATTTTTATTCGGTCAAGTTCAAATGTAGATTGAGTTTTTCATTACTTGATTATTCTATTAATGTTGTTTCCTTTTTTCTTTTTATATATCCATTTGAACAGGTTCTTTTATAGGAAATATTTAAATGATTCCAAACGTAAAAAAAGAAAAAAAAACATGACATTCGAAAGCATCTAAGTTAAACGGCGTACCAAATCTCTTCTCTTTTTCGAGACGCTTTAAACTCGACTCGCATTTAATTACGCGACACGCGTAAAGCTACGGCTCGCCCTTCCGGACGTCCTTGAAGGAAATTTATCCGAGGGTTGAAAGGAGGGCTGAGAGAAAAGCGAAGCTCGCCTTCGCCAAAGCGAAACTCGTAATTTAGCGATATCTCTGTTAAGTACTTTTTCACGAGACGTTAATTCCAAAAGCGGAAGTTTGAACTCGCGAAAATGGAATAAGAATATCTTTCCCTTCTTTTTCTTCTAATATATAGGGTGATCTACGTGACCGGGAGTACCCCGATAACTTTATAAATATTAACTTTAGCAAAGAATCATATCAAATTTACGTTCACCAAAGGCGTCATCGTTAATTTGTCATAACTGAAGTTGAAAATATCAGACAATATTCCTTCGCGTTTGGTAGAGAAGCTTATCGGCCTTGGAGATCCGTATTATAATCAACTCTGGTTTTTCTCTTTCTTTTTTCTCCCTCTCTTTCCTTCCCTCCCTCCTTCCCTCCCCCCTCTCTCTCTCGTTTCCCTTTCGACGTTCGAAACTTGCTTGACTTTATATTGTTAGAATGTCGTGGTCGAACATACCAACTCGGTGAAGGGAATCCGTGTATCAGTGAAGCATAGGACCAGAAAAGCGAGCACTTACCAATCAAAGGGAGAACACGCGAAAGGGATGAGGTCAATCATGCTAAGAGAAGGAAGGTGACGAGGGTGCTTGTAATTAGTAGCTTTGAAACTCTCCCCGCTTCTCTCTTTCTCTCTTGCGCTCTCTTAGACTACCCTCTCATTATCAACGGTCAGGTATATCTCTGACTTTCTCATTGGTGTTCCTTCTACTGTCAGTTTCTGTTAACTCGTTTAACGGACTACTCCTCCAGCCGTTAGCGGATTACGTTGAATTCGTCTTTGATCAAGTACATGAGTTTCTCATAGAACGAAAGCGAGCTTGTTCTTTGTATCGAAAGGAATAGGTAGCTTAAGTTGCTTCATAATGAATTTTATAACAAAGAACGATTTTCTCACGTTCTAACATTATCTAACAATGAAATAATTGAAAGATTATGAAAATAAAAGCGATTAGATTACTATATCTGTTAATTAAGAATTAACATTTCGAGTAAAAATGCATGATATTTTACACATGACTCAAGATATGATATTGCTTAAAGGTTAAAAAGAAACATTTCAAAGATAAATATCTGTTATTGCTTTCCGCATACACGTAATCATCTATAACTGTATATGGATACCGTTTTATGAATTGACTTGTCTATTTCACACGACGCATTCTTATCGTTTGTTTCAGGCTTCCTAGGTTATTACTATTATTAAATCAAGCTGAACGAGATGGGATAATGACTATAGGTGTTCTCCTAGAAGACAACAAAGAGGTAGTATGGAACTATCGTGTCGCGATATGCTCATTTAACAAGCGAATATATTAAGAAGTACGTAAAATTAGATTCTTGCCATCGAGCAATGAACATGGAAAAACGAAGGAAGAGAGTAAAGAGAGATCAAAGTAATTAATTAAAGTGCAATTAATTCGAAGTCTTAATATCAATGTGTACCAAAGTTACATGCGTCAATAGCTGTGAATGAAAGTGGTAAATCAAATAGATCGATAGATTTGAATATAAATTTGTAAAACAATAAAATAATTTATGCTACTTTGATTCTCATAGCTGTTGATTCACGAGTTTGTAACCGCTCGTAATTGTAAATTAATTTTTTAATATCTTGAAGTTCATATTAATATATTTTTATTTATTTTTATTATAATTAATAGTAATCGCGCTTCGATGGTGCGAAATAATAGCACAGATTATATCCGTCCAAACTGATTGTGCTCGAAATGTCATTATTATTGTAGATAGAATAAATATTAATAATATATTTTACAAGTGTAATTGTTCATCGATTGATGAAAAACCTTTCAGAGTTAAGAAAAGTCAATTTATCCTATTTTTTGAAATGTTTATATTGTAATCCATTGGCTATTAATGAACGACTAATTAATACTTGAGTCATATTCGAATGCTCTCGCGGTGCTTATTTCTTAAATCGATTTTGAAGGTAAATTATTCGTTATTTCTGAAACGTTGAGTTAAAATATGCATCATTTTACATTTACAGAGAAAATCTTGTCTTAGAAAGATCAGACCATGATTATTTATCGTAAAACTGACGCTCGGCGTCTTAGGAAACGGCTAAAAGTGAACGGATAAATTTATCAATGAGATCGGATCGATAACGAAATAGTAATAAGCTGTAAATAACCATACATTATAATGGAATAAAAATTAAAAAACAAAAAATTCTTGAAAAATATGTTTCTCTATGTGATTCGTTTCATTTTATTTGTCCCAAATTTGTATTCCTTTCGTTTCCATAAAGAAAAGCGATTCTTAGAACGCAATTATCGTATGTTGAAAACGACTTTGATATGTGGATTGATGTATAGAAAGTAGAAGCGAATGGATCTACATACATACGTTAATTAAGTAATCTGACGTCGCAATATGTTTCAAATGAAGCTGCATAAGAAAGTTAAAAGTGCAAAAATTAGTTTAGAAACTCGGTTATAGATCAAACGTCTCATACAGAACATTATCGCACGACAGTTGACGAATAATTGATTGAATTATATAAAGATCGTCGGTACACAAACAAAATAAGAACATAACAAACGAAGAACGAATGTTAAACGATTTTTAAATGCGTCGTAATGTTTTTATTTACAATAGTGAACAATTGACTTTGAAATCCATCTGATTTGTCTTTTTCAAATATTATGTCTACGCGATTTCTCTTTTATGCTTACGTCCTCATTGGATGTCGTACGATGAAAGAATCATCATACAGGTCGATCGTCATTCTGTCTTCATCAATACGACGGTAAACGAAGATAGCATATTCTATGATCGCTTCCAAATTCGACTTCAAATATTATGACTGACAATGTCGTATTTATCAATCATAATGTTCGAAATTTAGATCAGATTGTTTTTTGTCGCTTCGTATGCATAATACGTCAATGTGGAGAAAATATTACTTCTTAACGCTTCTCATTACTTTTATTCTATGTATATAATATTCACTATTATTCTGTAGCGATTCCAGATAAAATCTAAATGGCTTAAAATGGTTAATGATATTCTGATATTATTAACATTTTTGTAGATGGACACGAAAAAATCATATGAAGATCAATTTTTTTTTTTTAAATATAATCATACAATTTTTAATGTATTAATTTTTAATAAAGCTAGACATTCTTTATGAAAAAATATTAATCCGTATATGTCGAAAAATTATTAGTCTGAGAAATATTTTTATTTTAAATATTGCTAAGAAACCATTACTCTTTCTTACTACTACCATTTATTTACTATTACTCTTACATTTTAGTAAATGTGTATGTGTGTGTGTGTGTGAATTATTTAGGAATATTTAAATTAAAATATCTATTAAACTAATAATTCTTTGATTTATATCTATGTAGTCTCAATTTAATCTTTGAAATTCAAACCAATTTATTTTTTGTCGCATTGCATGCCCAATAAACTAAATATTACAGCATGTTTATCGCATTTTAAATCACTTTGAGATGTCTATAATAATAATGTATAATTTCGCGAAGTTATTGATTTTTGAAGTGAAGAAAAGGCCTATTTTAGTGTCGTAAATAATACTCGACAACAGGTTGTGTATGAACACTGTCGCATTATCATGCTACCAACAGATTTTGATTGGTTGAACAACAATAATTTTGTTGTTAAGCGACATCTAGTTAGAACGTAGTCATAAGATATAACGTCATATAACACACACGTTTGAAGTCCCACATTTATACATTCGTATTTTGTAAGTCTTACTTCATTTCCTCGCTACAAAATTTATTACTTCGCTCCAAATTATTACTATATACTCGAAGATTTATTTTTATTAAGAATAAGTTATATCTAATATAGAATAGTTGTACTTATAATTGTAACTATACTAAATTATTCTATAAATGTACATTATATAATTTATAAATAATGAAGAAAATTAGATTATAAAGAATTAATGAATTAATGAATATAAATCGGAATCCTTGATTGAGATTTCGTAATCAAGTCATGGTAGAAACTGTCAACTAGCACGACAAGGAAGAATGTATGACTAACTTCTTAGAGAGTAGAAATGCATGTATCGGAAATCATACAAATAGAGGTATCGAATGACAAGATAAGCCACGAAAAAAATAATTATTCAGTGCTCAATGATCTGTTATTTAAACACGCAAAACCGGTTCAAATAAAAAAGGTGAATATAACCACTTAGATAATATTCAAAAGGTTTTATTATGTATGGATATGTATGTATATATATATATATCGAATAATCGAGCTATTGTACATAGTATATTAACGATTTTACAATAAGTATAATTTATAATTATATGATGCAAAATTAAACATTAATTTTGCAGCAGAAAATGAAATAAATCTGTGTTGTATATATATATATATATACACATATATATATATATACACACACATATATATATATATACGTATATATATATATATGTATATATATATATATATATATACATATATATACAAAACATCATTTAGTATTGACTTCTACTTAATTTATTACGATTTTCAAACGATTGTTTTATTACCCTGTATGTATTTTCACATTTCTCGAATTCTAGATACAAATGCGATGAAATAAAATACGACTGTTTTGCGAGATGAATCGATCGATACGGTCGAAAATTTACTGCTTCTATGTAATTCACTTTCTTGAAAAACTAAGAATTCGCCTGTACGTTCCGTAAAGTAGCATTTGTATCGATATCGATCTGCAAAGCACTCCCGGAACATTTATTGCGTCGTAAGAAAAGCATCGTTCGTTACAATGAGACTATAGTAGGTACTCGCTGGTGGTCGACCATCGGCAAGATTCGAAAGCGTGCAGAAACGGCCAACCACTCAGCCAGCTGGCGTTTTATTCCTCCGTGTGCTACGAAATCGCTTACCGATGTAGCCCGGAAAAAGCCTGGCTGAGTCAGCGACTTGATTTCCTCTTCGCGAGATTCGTTAAACGATTACAACTACGAACGAACGATTTAAGAACGATGCAAATCACGAGAGTAACGGAGAAAAGAAGAAAGAACGTGTTAACGACCATGATCGATCTTAGTCAACCGTGAAGTATAATCTACGAAATGAATGCAGATAGCTTGGTTCGTTGACGTTCTTCGTGGATCGATTTTTACGTCGTAAATGAACAGATGTGTGTGACTCGTCTGCAGTAAAAGGAAGCGGGAGCAACTGCGAAAACATTACTTTAGATAAAAAATATTTCTTCCAATTTTTAATATTATTCTTAATATTAACGATAATTTTTTTCACTTTTGGCGAAACTACGTAATTTTTCTTTAGATATTTATAGTATTTGCCATTCTCTTATCTAGTAATAATAAGGGCACAATAATTATAACTTACAATTAAACTACGTAATCCTCTTATCTTCTCTTATGTCTATCATATATAATCTCTATGGAAAATCGAAATGCATTCCATAATTTTTCGCACAGTGGTTTGCGACATCTTATCTTTTATCCGTGAATTTCTTCTCAAATGAATTATTTCTGCTTTAATTTTTGTTCTCTTCCTCTCTTTCTCTCTTTCTCTCTTTATTTCTCTCTCTCTCTCTTTCTCTCTCTCTCTCTCTCTCTTTCTTTAGACATTGTCGTGTCGAAAAAAAGGGGAACAAAGAAAGGACAGAGAAGAATAGAAAATAGAATACGTTGAGGTTGCGCAAAGAAGCGCGAAGATACTCTGCACGCAGTCTAAAAGGGAAAGTGGAAATATTCGATCGAGAGTATAAAACGGCTTATCTCAAGCGTAAATTCATATAATTTTGGACTCGATTCGAGATACACCGGGACATGAGACGTGTATTTGACAGCGTGAAATGCGCGCTATCAATGTTTTCTGCTCGCGCGACCTCCGCTACCTTCGTTCTTCTCAAATATCGCTGCTTCCAGTCTACCAAACAAGCCTTCGATAGATTATATCGAACTTTTACTTCAACCGATGTCAGCTATTTGCTATTTACCTACATCGAATTCATCGGAAATCTTTCAAGGTTTATATTTTTCCTTTGGTCGAAATACTAGATACAAATTGATCATTGATAATTAATAATGATGATCGCTACGATGCATTAAAAATGATAATGAAATATGAGATCGTTGAATTTAAAAAATATGGACTAACTCTTCATTTACATTCTTTACATAAGAGATATGATTACATCAATTACAGTGCACTTTGTGTAATTTCGTTATATCAGTGTTAATATTGTTAAATATTGATTCATTAAAATTTGATAATTGTTGATATAGATTGTTACGTATTAAAAATCTCATTGTCGTTTCCCTTGTTGACGAATAGTTTTCTTTCGTTTCGTCATTTATAGATCGTACGATTTTCGCTTCTTTGAACAAAAAACGAATCGTTACTAGATAACATCGAATCGAAGATTCAATGTGAAATAGACAGAGAAAAAGAGAAAGAAAAAGAGAGAGATAGGGAGAGAGAGAGAGAGAGAGAGAGAGAAAGAGAGAGAGATAGTGAAAGAGGGTTTGAAAGAAGGCACAATAGAAAGTTCCCCAAGCCAGCTTTTTCTATGGAATCACCCTCACTTTCGCTCTTTACACCTTTCCTCACTCAAATAATTTAGATCGAAATCTTTTCATTTACTTTCGATATTTCTTTCGAAGAGCAACGAAGGAGAAGGATAAATATATTGCGTATAGAAAAACCAATGCAATTTATGCGTGACGCGTAAGCTCATTAAGAAGTTCTTGCACAGGAAATATCGAGCCTTTTCTCGATTGCCTTAGAAAGAAAAGAAAGGGGAAGAAAGAAGAAAAGAAAAAATAAATGAGAGAGAGAGAGAGAGAGAGAGAGGGAGAGTAACAATGGTAAAGCTGAATGAATTTACGTGCGAAGCCGCTCCTTCGTGCGACCCTCCGAGTTTGCCTTGATTACGTATTCACAACCTTCGAACGAGTTAATGATAACATTCCAAACGAATTAAGGTGCAGTGAAGGAAGATTGCGACTCGTCATCGGCCAATATCGGTCCGCCATATCTTTACAATTACGTTCCTTTTTTTATAAAGAGAAAAAAATGGATATTTTTTTATAATAAGGAATTTTTTACAATAAGGGACATTTCTGAAGACGCATTTGTATTAATAAATGTTTAACTCCGATGTAACAGTGCATGGATTCGTCAGATACATAACAGATAAATAAGATTCTATTTTATATATGCAGCCATAATAATTACGCATAAGACGAATACATTACATTCCTGTTTGTAATGATGGAAAAAGATTTTCATATATAATATTTCTGTAGAGAAAATCGAAATGTCTACGCACAAGAGTAAATATTGTGATCATTAATAAGTTGGATACTGCAAACTGCTATGGTTAAGATTGGTAGTCGAATAGAATTGTGGTATAGCAGGCATTAAGGACGCTGTTTTATGAGAGAAGAAAACGAAGGAAAGAGATTTATGAATACTTTGTGCTTGGACCGCGAACATGTCCGGAGAACATCTCGATAGACTCGACTAAACAAGTTTGAGTAACCTGTATCAATTCACAATGTTAACGAGTTTATCGAGAATCTATTACTTTTACGCGACGTATACGCTAATAATATTTCTATATTTTTCTATTCTCTTTTCTTCTCTTTCTACGCAACCTACGGAATTGGCCGAGGTCGCGAGAGTTTATGATCGCGAGCACGTTTCTTTACGCTCGATCGAACGCATTCTTTGATGGATCGGAATGCTCTCCATGCTGCGGTTCGTGAGTTTAATGAGAAATGAGTTTACACTTTGTTGGTCTGATTATCGTTTGCTTCCTTTTGAATCTCGTAAACAAGTATGGTTTCGGTTAAACCGCCCAGTTTCATAATATATTTCATTTTGTTTACTTTATTAATTACTTAAATAATGATGAGTAATCATTTAATTAAAATAATTGTATTTAGAAATAATAAATATTAGAGTATTCGGATGAAAATATTAGAGTATTAGAGTAATTGGAAATCAAATTGATAAAATTTTAATACTTAAGGAAAGAGATATATAAGAAGAAATTAAAAAAAAAATATATATATATATATATATAAAAGAAGATTTTTTAGGCAAAATAAATTATTCTTCCTTGTTTGATATTTTGCCATCATTGAAATAAAATAATTAAATTTAAAAGGCTAATAATTGAAACAGATAAGACTTTATAAAATACATTTATTTATTTGATCCAATTGATATAAAAGTTATAAAAATCTATCTAATATAATTGCAATAATATGATAAGGAAATATACATTATGATAATATATTACATGTAGATATTTGATACAGAAATTTTAATTTTTTTCTAATATTGAATATGACCATTAACGAATTTGTATTAATGACTTATACGCGATAATAGATATTTATTTAAGTCATGATCGATATTTTATTGAAATAGCGAATAACAATTTAAATGTAGATTTGCGAAAGTTGCGATAAGAAATGACATATGTAGGTAGTAATGCAGTATGAATGCTATTGATAAAAAGAATATAACCGAAAGTGTAAGAGAACGGTTTAACAAATGCCAAGACACGTTTTATTTAACATCTCGTTTAAGCAGTAGACAAAAGGCGATACTAGAATCTAGTAGGATTGATTTCAACGTTTGCGTTATTATATTATTACATAATGGTCTAATCGCACGCAAGGAACCCACATAACTAATAGAGCATGAAAATATGCCTATCGGAATATGACTGACAAGTAAAGAAGTCACAGAAATGTTTATTAAACCCGCATCGTGTCTATCGATAGAATGCCATTTACGAAATGAATTTGATGAGCTCGTTCTTGTAAAACAACGTATGTAACGGTTGTCCGAGAATATTTGACAAGTACATTCATCGAGTTGGATCTATTATTGAAAAAATAGATTTGTGTAAAATGTTCGGAAAAATAAGACGGGTACCTGCATATGTGATATCGATTTGAACGGACATCTTTGCTAATATTTGCCAAAGATGAAGAAGAAAGACAGAAAGTTACCTAAGCGATCGTAATAGAAAATTACTGGCTGTAGTCTACTTACGAAATAACCGTTCCACCTTTCTGTTCGTAATTGCTTATTGTATTATAAGGAGCAGTAGCCCGACGATCGTTATATTGGTTGAAACTTATTACGGATGATGAAGAAAACAGTCAGAACCTATTCGGAAATTAATAATTTCATAAGAATTTACATCGAACATGCTTTTTCACACCGAGAAAATAGCGTTATCGTATGTACACCAAGCAAAAACGAATTGAACGCGAAGACAAAAATTTCATCGACGTGTTCTAGACTCGCTCGTTTCGCAAGTAACACCCACTTTGTAAGATACATCGCGGTCGATCGTTTAAATAAAAAAAAATAAAAAAAATAAAAAAAAATAAAAAAAAAAATAAAAAAAATAAAAAAAAAAAATAAATACAAAGAAAAAAGTATCGGCAGAGTGTTGAAATAAAGTTGGCGAACCTATTCCAAGACTGCCGCAGTCGACAGCTACTTCGAAAGCCTATCTCGAAACGTTGATAGTTCTTACCTCGGTTCTGACAGGTGTCGGGCAGATTGCCAGCTTCCGAACAATTCGCACGGAGTACTTTCGAGCGCAACGAAAGTCGCCGGAGCAAACTTTGCTCCGTTCTCCCATTCCTGTAGCTCACGATGTTGACTCGAATGAACGATAGGATAAGAAAGACCAGCACGAAACAGAGCGTCATGTAATATGCATGCATTTTTTTGTGATAGTACGTATATGTGTGCGTTTTACGTACGATAAATTCTATTATTCCTAAAGTAATTCTACGAGTCTCTTCTACTCAATGGAATTTGAAAGGAGGAAATTAAAAATGTAGACGTAAATGGGAGGGGAACTTCGTTGAGAATATTTCGACGAAAATAATGAAAGAGAAATATATGAAAACGTACGATAATTATACATAAGAGATGTTAATTAAAAAAAAAAGCTTATTCGATTGGAAAACTCATTCGCGAGATAATTGGAAAATTCTGGAATATGCATTGAAGGAAAGAAAGAACAATAGAGAGAGAAAAAGATGGAAGGAAGAATGGAAGGAAGAATGGAAGGAAAAAGGGTACAAATTCTCATTTCGAAAGGTATATACGAGAACGTTAAAATATGAGCCGATCTATGGACGGTTTCATGATCGGATTATTCGTAGGATAGTGATATTTCTTCATAAAGTCGTCTTCTATGCCGTTTTATAAGTAGTCTATGAAAGAAGTAACGAAATTGGATTGAGCACGGATCAGAACTCAATTGAAGCGAAAGTGCACGTATGTAGCCGGTTTACCATCGTCGTGCAACATCGATCCGAATCGACTAACGTCGAGACGACGGTTTCTTCGGTTACCAATAGGTGCCACCTGCCGCATGTGACTTACGGACAGTTCTTCGGTTCGAATACCGATTGTGCCGAATCGTAAATGTTCTGCAAGCTATTCCTACTTTTTTCATATTCCAATAAAATCAATCTCGATTCAATTTCAGATTTGTTTTTTAAGGGATCGGCTTCTTGAAATATAAACTCTCCTCTTTTTATAATCTATCATGGTAGAAATCTCAAACGACATCTACATAAATATATGATATTGCGAGATATAATAGGTTTATCACAAGGTTCTATTCAGAGTGAAACTTTCCCGATTAATTTTAATCCCTCAATTATGATCGTCATTTCAGACTTTAGCGGTGACGTTAGCCGGAAGACCAACAGACGTCTACCATGTCAGGTCGACGACACGAAATCACGTTAGCGAACGAAACGACGAAGCCCGTCAGTTCGCTTCGGAGTTGGAAAGGTGATTGTGGAGTCGATGGTTTTAAGCCCTTGACGCGATTACGTTCGTTTTAGGAAAAGCATTATGCGGTTCACGATTTACCTTGTTGTTTTCATCATCTAGAAGGTATTTTATTGATGCAAGCGAAGCCTTGAAATTTCAACATTCAAAATAGCTCGATATAATGATAATTATGTGACAATTATACGTGGAAATAATACAAACGCCTTCGGTACCTGACTTTTCGGGACTATATATACTTTTATATTATATATAATTTAATATATAATATATTAATATGTAAACGTGCATATATAAATAGATAGATTTATATATACACACTTGCATTAAATAAAACATCTGAGATCTTAAAAACAAACTGCATGCTCCTTCATGGAATACTCACTTGTAATAATTTAATATAAACGATGAAATATTTGACAGATAACTATCATTAAAATAACAACTATTGGATTTATTACTATAGTGATAAATGTGTAATGTAAAAGAAAACGAATACTTGTGTATTAATTGTCGAAAATCCTAAACTAAAAACAATTAATATATAATTTATGTTTATAGGCTAATTGATCTACTTTTTTTAAAATATTAAAAATTTCAATATTGTTATAAAAATAAATCAATTCATCATAAAAGTAGATTAGAGTCATAATATATTTTTATGAATATATTTGAAAATGATTTTAATCTGTCTTGAAATAAATACGTACCTTTAAATACCTAGAAAAAGAAAATTCAAAATTTGTTTAACAAATCAACTTTGATATGTTCATCATAAATTTAATTTTTATTAATTGTAAGTTGGAACTTTTCAATTCACATGATAATCACAAAAATGGGCCAGTATTGTACCGACTGTAATACATACCGACAAGTATATACCGACCGCATGTCGATATTACTCGATATTATAACAGAAATGATATATGTGGTAATATCGATATTATCGATCGATAAATCATTTATGTCAATATCGTAGATATTAAACTTATAGATCACATAAAGAGGAAACATCAGCTGGTAATATGAAAAGCGAATTTTTAATTGGATTTTCTATTTCTTTTGAAAGTATTTTTATATAAAAAATTAATTATACAAGTTGTAAGTTTTCTATATTCATTATATATTTGCATATTTATTACCAAATTTTGTCAGCATATGTTTTTTTTTTGTATAATAATATCTCATGATTAATAAATTTTTTTTCAGATAATTATCGAGTGACTTACTACATAGACAATCGTAATTGGTTTAAATTATAAACGCTTTTAAAGATAACTGTACTTAATATATTTTAATCTAATGAATTAACATTTTGTCTTTATGATGAAATTAATTTCATAAATATTTGAAATATATTGAAAATTTATAAGATTGATCATACATTTAATGTTGTATTGTTTGTTGTGCTTTCACTTTAAAAGAACAATTTAATTTCTATTTATTATATATTTTAATTAAATTCGAATCTCATCATTATAATAACAAATTCAATATTTATTACTATAATAATACTTATCTCTGAAATAATTAATCGTTTATATTACAGTATTACAAGTGTATATGATGAGAATTTCGTTTAACATGTTTACTATATTAATAAACACATAATAAAATAGAATTCAACGAAATCGATAGAAGTAGAAAGAGTGTAAAGTATCATTTTGGAAAAGGCATAACGATAGTTTACATGGTACATCGAGGCGGACAGATTTATGATAGCAATTAGTGCATAACATCTTACGAGCAGTCAGCTGATGTTTATTAGCTATTATCGTTACTTCCGTAATACGATTCTCATTTCTCTTCTCCCCTTCTCTATTCTTAACGTGATACGACGAATTTTTACTGCCCACCACAAACCATACATTATGTTGCTTGTTTAGTTTTACGGTATCTAATGTTTGGGATGGTTGGAAGAAGCTTTGAAAAGAGAGAAAAAAAGAGAACGTTCCTTGTGGGACAGGGAACAGAGAAACAATTAGTACCAAATGTGACTTGCTCTATTGTTATTATTATACCGCCTGAAATCATATACTTCTCGTGAATCTTTTTCTCTTTTATTGCACGTTTCTCTTGTCATCGAGTATTATTGGCTCGAAAACTGGCCATAGAAATTTTTTACGTGTAGACACGCAACTATTTAAAGATATATCATTTTGAATTTTTCACGTTATTTCGTTCGAGAAAGAAAATTTATTGATAAGAGCCATTGACAAAAAATAAAAATACATACTCAAGACTACTTTTTTTTTATTGAATTTTTTTTTATACATTTTATACTTTATACTTTATTTTTTACATTTGGTCAGAGATTTATATTATTGATATATATTGCTAGCAGTCACTTAAGAGGAATGAAACTTCATTTCCGGTGAAATTTCTCTCGTCTCTATATCGGTAAGTCGTGGTCCTCTGGCTTATCGCAACGTCGACGACGTTCTCTATGTACTTTCATCTAATCACTGGCAGTAATATTAATAAATTGTTCCCTCTGGGGGTGTATTTTCATCCGTTCTTCCGACCACCCTCTACCTTCATCGACGATGTTATTATTGTTTGCCTACGCAGGGTCGGAGTCAACGAAGAACAATCTCCCTCGTGTCGATCTCGCGATAGCGAAAGCCATGGAGGGCAAAGGGATTTCCCTGCAGATTGGAATAAAGAAATAGGAAAAGAATCAGGAAGAAAAAAGAAAGAGAGAAAGAAAAAAAGAAAAAAAGAGAGAGAGAGAGAGAGAGAGAAAGGATACAATTATTTCCCTGAATTTCATATTTGTGAACACGATTTATTGTTAAGTAACGTAATAACCGATCCAAGGGCAACTCCTAAAAGCCTAATCCCAAGTTACGAGGACCCAAGAACGATTTAGTCAATCGCCATAATAACGCCATAATATCGCATCTTGGCGCGACTAAAAGTATCGCCAGATACGATAGGAAGCCTTTGATAAATGAGTATCGATGAACGTCGATGAATTTTGATAGAAATAATATGTATCTTTCGATCGATAATAGCAATGTTCGTTTGATCGTTCTTAGTATAAATGAAATTCGATTGGAATAACTTCTTGAGAAAAATATTTTCGTGATATTGTTCTTTTTCTTTAAGAAATACATACGTTCAAACACTTTAGACCATTAGATTTACTATGCATAAAAGTTTTCGCGTTTCCTAAGAGAAGAGATAAATATATAGAAATACATATACATATGTATGCATATAAAACGCTTGGTAAGAGGTACCCGCTCGTAGGACCGTTTTATCTGCAGTACTTTTACGACAACATTTTACGACGCTTCTTTGTTTCCGTGAAGATTTTCCCCCAGGCTGAAACGGCGGAAAAAGGAAGCGGATAAAGGCCATTGCCTTGGCCCAACACCAATCGCATCCTTTTTTCTTTTTCTTTCTCCCCTCCTTCTTTCTCTCTCACTTTCCCTTTTTCTCTTTCTTTCTTTTTACCACAGAACATTGCATCAAAATCGACCTTGTTTGGATATTGATCGATGGTTGGATCGATAAGATTACAAATAAGTTAACGAGCAACCAAGAGGATATTTTTTCCAAATTTTGTATCCGCTAGCTTCTCAATTTTTCTCTAAACAAACTGAACCTTCGATGATAAAGAAAACTTAATGGAAAATTCACATTACGCAGCTACAAAGAACCTTTACTTTAGAATTTCTATCCAGATGTTAGCAGTTATCGAATTTAGAAGATTTACATTTTGAGAAATAAAAAGAATATACGATTCCATTATGTTGTTAATAGGAAATGGTTATTTCATTTCTCACGAAAATTGAACTTTTCTCGTAGTAGAAAAATAAAAAAATTGTTTTGTTTTCACTCCTATTAAAAAA